TATGAAGGGCTCTGAGGTTTCCCCCAGCAGCGGGTCTCTCCTGAGGGGCACATCAGAATCACTGCGGGCCTGGGAGACCACACTGGTGCTCCCATCCTCCTCCCTACCACCGCACATTCTGATTTGATTGGGAATGAGCTTGGGCATCAGAATGTTTTTAAAGCTTCCCAGGGGATTCTGACAGGCAGCCAGGGCTGAAGGTTTAAAAACCAAGGATCCTGCCCAGTTCTGGGAAGAAAGAACAACAAAAAGGCAAGAACTGGGAAAATATAAAGCAAGAAGCCTAGGAGCCACAAATGCAGCATACCTCCCCCAGGCACCTGCTCAGTGCCACGCCCAAGCTTGCCCCAGAACAGGAAGAGGGAGAGACACAGTCTCCATCCTTTCCACCAAGATGGGTGGACAACGACAGCCAAGGCAGCCGTGCAAAGCCACAGCGTTCAACGGCACCTTGAAGACACATATAATACCTTAATTTAAAAAAAAATGGGGGGGAGGGGGAGAATGAGTGAAGCTTAGACAGGCGGTGACAGAGGTTCTGACCCAAAGGAGCAGCTGTTCAGCCTCTCGGTGCCCTTGTCCCACACGATGCCACTGCTTCTGGTTCACTCTGAATGCTGCACGGTGCTCAGACATGCCAGCACTCTTCCGAGCAGCTTCTTTCCTAGAGCATCTCTTAGAACCACCTGGGAACTCACCAATCACAGAGTCCTGGGTGCTTCCCCATCCACTGATTCACTCTGGGGAGAAGGTACACATGGGTTGGGTTGGGTTTTGGGCTCCCCAGATGATTCTGTTGACCACCATTTTTCTCCATCTCCCCTGTTCCCCCCCACCACCCCTTTAAACAAATTCCCAGGTTTAGGGGAACATGATTTGTAATTCTTGCTGGTTTCTGTGGACCAATTTTAAGCTATAACATGGTTTAACAATTGGCTTTCAAGATTCCTGAATATTAAAAACAGGCTCTTATGAGCTATTAAGAACTAGCCCCAGCATAACCAATACCCTACACTCCCCCTTTCCCACTGGTTAAGAACCACTACATTCCAAGAAAATGTAGCATATTAAAAAATAAAAAAAATAAAAAAATAAAAAAAAAGCACCACCTTTCATCAAATAGAACACCATTACTAGTTTGTATTGTGATTAAACTAATTCATTAATTGTTAAGCCCATTTTATGCAGATAACTCTTAGAGAAAACTTGGTAAATAAACACTTGGGGGAGAGAGATCAGGCTGTCCAAAGAGGCAGTGAGGACAACGGCCTCCCACCATGTCTAAATGGTAGGACTTTGCCACATGAGGTCACTCTCGTACTTGCTTACTTATGTCTCTGGAAATCTGGAGCAAAATAAGTCTCTCCTTTGCTAAAAGAATGGCATTCTTAACTTTCATACCTCGCCTGATTGTGAAATTACATCATACTTGTTCATGACTTAAAAGCAATTTTTACATCTTTTTTTCCTCCCCCTTGTAAAAGAGATTGATAATTTGTAGAGATAATTTGAACAAGGGCAAAGAGGCCTTTTGGAATCACAAAACTCTGATTTAGCACAAGATTGGTTTTCCAAGCAGATGAACATGGACAAGATTTTTAACCTCTCCAGACCTGTTTCCTCATCTGTAATACTAGAGGCCCCCTGGTGGTCAGCATATGTCATAGCAAGCGATTGAACACCGAGGGGATACTTTGCATATTAGGCTTTTATACATATAGATGGGAGAAAATACTGTGACTTCCTCCTCAAAGAGTAGGAGTAGGTGGTTTCAGTTGGCATGCACTAAGCATCCACTCTGTGCCAGGGTCTGCACTGGTCACGAAGAAGGCTAAGACAAAGAAATCAAAGCTCCTGCCCTTAAGAAGCTCTAAGTCCAACCTCCAAAACAAATATCTAAACAAGAGAACAGGACCACCTCTTAGCTAGGTTTCTGTACTTGAGCATTTGTGTAATATCTGACACTCTCTAATACCTTGATAAAAATTCATCATGTGTAGTAGCTTTCTTATTAGGAAATCAATGAAATGTTGGTCTTAATATTTCAATTCTAAGAGGCCTCTCCAAGCCTGGTCCCTCAGCCTCAGAAAGTTCTCGGGTGGAATACCATTGTTGAGAGAAACAAACACAGTTACAAAGTGCTCAGCAAGCAGCAAACTCACACTCACCTGGTGAAGGTGAAGACTCGCAGAAACACAAGATCTGATAGGAGAGGGCGCCCTAAGCGTGGTTTCACTCGGAGGTCACTGTCGGCAAGGTACCCGCTGAGTTTTACACTTCTTGGCGGGCCAGCTTTCAGCTGGCTCTCGTCCTGGTAACAAATGTGGTTGCAACAGTGAGAGGCCACACACCCCAAGCTTATGTCCACCTTCCAAGTAAAAAGCCTTGATTCCCTCTGCACTAGGGCACTGAAGTCACATGCTCACCCCCAACCAATCATGTGGCCAAACAGATGGGCTGCTCTGATTGACTTAGCTTAAGTCACATGCTCCTTGTGGCAGTCAGCCCTCATCTGATGCCCATAAAGAAACTGGGAGTTGCAGGGAAGGGAGGAGGGGAAGTGGAGGCAGGAACGATTGGTTACACCTGGGGAATGTTAGTGGGGCCTGAGCATGAGTAGAGATTTAGGGACAGGACAAAGGATCACAGGCAAGGTTCATACCTGGTCTTCATAGGTCCCTATGCTACCCTGTGCCCTCTTCCAGACCAGCATGTGGAAGAGGGTTCACCTGCAGCTCTGACTTTCTGCCTGTGTGGTTTGGGGCAAATCACATTCCCCTCGATAAGCCTGTTTCCCTGCTTGTACCTCATCAGGTTGTTAGGATTAGTACTGCTCAGCGGTTCTTAGGTTGCAACCATTAGAATGAATGCTGCCTAATTAGCAAACGAGGCTGAAGCAGCAAGTATATATTAAGTCATCAGGGTAGTAGAGATTTTGGCAACCTGAAAATGTAGGCCTCCCTGACAAAAAGTGCATTCAAGAAAAAAACTCATATGCTGCGCTGGCCGAACAAGATGTGTATGCCGGCACCATCAACCTAAAGCCTCCAGTCTGCAACCCTTCTCTCCTGGAAAGAGCCCAAGTGCCTGCCAGCTCAGGGGAACTCAGACTCCAGTTTAGAAGCCCAATTCTGGGCAATGGCTAGGCATTTAAGACTGTGTCTGGTTCTTTCCCAAGCCTGCAGCCCCTCAGGACAGGGCCCGGGACAGAAGCACCGCAGAGTGCCCCCAAGCAGGTCTAAGGTCAGAGGTGACTCAGAGACACTTGGTAGCCCATCAGGTCACACAGCTCACCAATGTGTGATCCCATGGACATCCGGTGATGGGCCCCTGGTCACAGGCTCCATCAGGAGGTGAAGGTGGTAGGTAGTCAGTCATCAGCTGAAATCTCCCAAGACTCAAAAACTTCTCCTCAGCCCCACAGTCCCTAACTGGCCACCACGTCTAGCACTTCCCCATTTACAGCTTTCCAATACACCACCTCCACCTCCCCACCCCAGGAACACAGCTCAGGCCTCGTCTCCTTACCCAGGCGCTGTACACTGAGTCCCTGCTGGCTGGGTCTGAGTGATCCCAAAGGAAGGGCCACATTCTGGTCATTTCTTGGTCTCCAGCTCTGGGCCTCAGCCATAGTAGATGCTTGGTAAGTAGATACATTGATAACCTGACTGATGTGGTTCAGAGGTTGAGCATGGACCTATGAACAAGGAGGTCATGGTTTGATTCTGGACAGGGCACATGCCCAGGTTGTGTGCTTGATCCTCAGTAGGGGACATGCAAAATTCAGCCAATCAATGATTCTTTCCCACCATTGATGTTTCTATCTCGTCCTCCTTCCTCTCTGAAATCAATAAAAATAGATTTTAAAAAAGAAATCATTGCTATAGGTTGGATGTGTGTCTCCCACTTCCTCCCCCCAAATTCATATGTTGAAAGCCCAGTGCCCAGTGGTATTAGGTGGGCCTTTGGGGGATGATTGGGTGATGAGGGCAGAGCCCTCAGGAATGGGATTAGCGCTTAAGAGGCCCCAGACATATCCCTCACCCCTTCCGCCATGTGAGAACACAGCAAGATGTCAGCAGTCTGCAACCTGGAAGAGGGCCTTCACCCAAACCTTGCCATGCTGCAACCCTAATCTTGGACTTCCAGTCTCCAAAACTGTAAGAAATAAATTTCTACTATTTATAAGCCACCTGGTCTGTGGAATTTTATTTTTATAGCAGCCCAAGCTACAGTAACTGTGTTTGCTTTTCTGGAAATAATTACGCCCTGAGTCAAGAGACCTGGACTCATCTACTGCCACAGCTCCCATCCTCCCCATCCTCCCCGTCCTCTGCTTCCTCACCTGTACAGGAGGAAGAGAATCACGTGATTTCCAAAGGACCCTCTGGTTCCTCCGACATCTTGTGGGTTCAGTGACTGTGGAAACAGCTGCAATTTTGGCTGAAGTTGGAAGTCAGACGGGTAGAAATGATCCCTCCACTCAAGAGAGGCACACCTATGGGCTGTGCCTCTGGAGAGGGCAGGCAGTGAGGGGAGGGCAGGCAGGGAGCCCGGGGCAATCAGCAGTGATGCAGCTGTGGGCAGGCACCAGGAGATGAAGTCAGACACCTGCTTGTGAGTCTCCCCCCACCACTTAACTACATAACCCAAGCTGGCCCCTTATTCCAAGCCTTCATGTCCCACATGGTTCCTGGACAAATGAGCAAGCAACATGTCTGCTGAATTGGGTTTTGAACCCCGAGGAGATAATAGAACAGGAAGCTCTGAGATGATGCCACCCTCATGAGGAGAGAGGTCACCCACCTTCTATCCCTTCTGCTCCCCACCCAGCAGAACAAAAGGTGCTGCTACCTCTAAACCCAACTCCCCATCACCTCCTAAGGCAAGAAATCCAGACGGGACAAGAGCCGTTGTGTTAAATGTTTATGTGAAACTCTGTAAACGTATAGAGTGGCCTACGGTCGCCTGCCCCCGAGGCCTGGCCTGCTGGGCCGCGCTCAGCACTTGGCGTAGATGGCCGCACTGCCCCGCTCCTCAAACTCTTCCTTGCTGACCCAGAGCTGCTGGAAGGCCTGCAGGGAGGCCAGGATGGAGCCCCCGGTCCACACGGAGGTCTTCCTCTCGGAAGCCGCAGCCACGGTGGGGCTGTCCCCGGGGCACAGGAGGCTCAGCTCCCGCTGGAAGCGCTCGGGGAAGCCGTCCAGCATGGTGCAGCCGCCGCACAGCAGCACGTTGGCGGCCATCTCCTCCTTCAGGCCGGCCTCCTGGCAGTGGCCCAGGCAGGCGGCCGCGAGCACGGGCAAGCCGGGCAGGCTGCTGCCCACCAGCGCGGGCTTGAAGAGCATCTCGGCGCCCTGGAAGCGCTCGTGGCCGATGGTGATGACCTTGCCGTCGGGGAGCTCGTAGTCCACGCGCAGCTCCTCCAGGGCCAGGCACACCTCCTTCTCGGGCTGCAGGGCCGCGTAGCAGCACGTCTTCTTGATGTGCTCCACGATGTGCAGGTGGTCGTCCGTGAACTTGTGGCCCGCCTCGTTGAGCAGCTGCAACAGGTAGTTGGTGAGGTCGCCCCCCGCGTAGTCGGCGCGGCCCACCAGGCCCGGCAGCACGTTGCCCTCCGAGATGGGCACCACGTGCGAGACGCCATGCCCGCTCTCCACCACCATGCCCGTGGTCTTGCCGTACGAGTAGATGGACAGCAGCGACTGGGACGTCACGTGCATGGCCGGGATGCCAAAGGTCTCAAACAGGAGCTCGGCGTACTTCTCCCGGTTGATGCTGGGGCTGAGCGGGGGGTCGGAGACCAGCACAGCGTGCTCCTGGGGCAGGATCCGCATGGCTGTGTGGAAGATGTACTCCCAGATGCTCTGGACGCAGTCCCAGTCCACCACCACGCCGTACTTGAGGGGGTTCACCAGCTTCAGGGGGGCCTCCACGTGGAGCAGCTCGTGGCCCACGTAGGTGTTCTTGCGGGCGTCGCCCACCTGGGAGCAGCACCTGCCCACGGTGGAGGAGATGAAGTAGGTGGGCCTCGGCTCGCCCGCGTAGCCACACTTGCAGTATTGCGAGCCCAGGTCGATGATGAGCGCCTTGACCCTGCGCACGTACTTGGGTTTGGCCTTCAGCTGAGTGGCTGAGCTTCTGTCCCGGATGCCAGCCTCTGGGGCTGACAGCGTGCCTGCCTCTCCGGGGTCACCCTGGGCCGTGCCTGCGGGCATGGGGCTTGAGCTGTTCTTCGTTGCCATCTGCCTTCCTTGCTCACCTTTCTCGCTTCCACATCGGTGTGCTCAGTGGAGAGAAATGAGGGCCCACCTCCAAGCAGGGCCTCAGCAGCCACTCAGGATTGTGATGTCACTGGGGGCTGGCCCATTCCAGCAGTCAGGGGAGGCTGGGGCTTGGCTCCATGCTCTGTCATCCCACCCCCATCTGCCTCACTTGACTTTGCACAGGGCGTACTAAGTGGCCAGCACAGTTTTAGAAACCCAAGCACAATGGGGTCTCGCAGGTTTCTTCTGCTCTCTTACTTCCCTGTTCCTATTCTTCTATTCACTGACAGGACACCATTCTCTCCTCTGCTTCTTGGCTGCAAGGATGATGAATATTTGAGCCCTTACAGTAAGCCAGGCACTGTACCAGACACCTCACATGTTATTTCACAGAATTCCACGAGGTAGGCAGAGCTGAGGAAATCGAGGCTCACAATTCCAATGACTTGCCCATGGACAGACAGCTCTTGGAGTGTTTGTACGTTAACTCAAGTTCATGCAACTTCAATGCACCAACTCTCCTAAAGACTGCGAGGGACCCAACAGCACTTTCATTCCTCCAACATTTGAAGGGGTTTGTGATGGGTCCAAACCCGTACAGTCTGCTGGTGATAGACAGGACCTCAGCCACAACCAGAGCCCCATCTAGGTGGGAAGAAGATGGAATGGACAAAAGGAGTTTGCAGGTGAAAGTCCATTGGGAGAGCAGAGGTGTCCAGAGAGGAGCATTCATTGGAGGGGGGCAGGCAGAAGGTTCCCTAGAGAGGTAATGCTTAAGTCGAGTTCTGGAGGAATCATGGGTATCTTCAGGTAGTTAAGAGGTGGGAAAGACATCCCCCGCAGGAAGGACAGCCTGAGCAAAGGCTCTGAGGGGGCCACGGTGGGGAACTGCCTGTAGTTCAGGTGTTTGGAAACATGGATGAAGCTAGAGGGTTACAGAGCCAACCAGGCAGGGCTCAAATGCTAGGAATAGGAAGGGGCTTGGATTGAATAGAAGACAGCTGGAGACTATAAAGACTCCATGCAGAGGAGTGGTCAGATTGACTTCTAGATAACTTTAGAAGATCTGTGTTTAGCTATAAAATAAAGGTGCAAAACTCTGAGATCTGAAAAGAGAATTGAAGAAATTCTTATAAGACTCGAAGGTGGCCTAAAGTAGGGCTGTGATAATGTGGAAGAGAACAAGGGACAGATTCTAGAGAAGTTTAGAAGGTAGAATCTAATCTAACTGGTTGGTTTCCCAACTATCCTCAGTGCAATCCAAGCTCTTATTCTGGCATTTGAGGCCTTCTCTGATTGGCTCCTGTGCCATCTCTAGCCTCACAAACTGCATTTGCATTAGATTATCAGATCAGATGTAGAGAGTGAGGAAGAAAGAATAATCTACTCCCCCTCACCCCCAAAAATGTCCACATCCTTAATCCCTGGAACCTGTGACTGTTATCTTTGATGGCACAGGACTTTGCAGATGCGAGTTAAGGGGTTTGAGAGAGGAGGTTAACTACCCTGGAGTACACAGGGCTCACAGGAATCACAGGATCTTAAGGTAAAGACAGGAGGGTCAGGTCTGAGAAGATGTGGCAAAGAAGCAGAAGTCGGAGGAGTCTTTGAAGATGAAGGAAGGAAGGGGCCACAAGGAAATAAATGAGTCCCTAGGGTCTCAGAAGGAACAGGGCTCTGTCCGCACCTTGATTTTATCCCACCAAGACCAACTGTGGACTTTTAACCTCCATCTCAGAATTATAAGATAATACATTGTGTTTTAAGCCATTAAATTTGAGATCATTCATGACAGAAGCAATAGAGGCCCCTCCAGAAACCCAGGACAGTGAAATGTACTAAGCAGCTGCAGATTTCTCAAAATTCAAGAGGGGGATTGAGGAGAAGGACAATAGATTATTCTAAATTAAATACGCCTTATCATGCAAGTTCTTCTGAAATAAAGTCAAACAATCCAAGTTGGCCATGGAAATCCTTGAATAGCAGAAGCAAGTAAACTATTTTTCAAGTAGCCAGGCATTCAGAAAAGAGCTTTCCTAGCCTTTCAAAATTCTGTGCTTTTTCACCCTCTAGTCAATGAACTAAGAAGCTGAGATTTTGTTTCTGAGATTGCAGCTTAGCCACCTCCCTCAGATAGTCATAAGGCTCATGAGACTGGACTTGGTCCTTCTCTTCACACACAGCCCACAAAGAGCCAAGAACACCCCCAGTGACCGTCTTAAAGGAGAAAGCCCACCATTGTAGTGACCGCCTCTTTTATGAAAAAAAGTGACTGCACAATGTAAGGTTGGATTCTGGGAACCTTAAGGGTGGCAGGTGTCAGCACCAACATGCCCAGCTTCAGAGATGGCATGGGAGACCTATGTTAGGTCCCATCAAGGTGTGTCCACAGCACACCCCTGGGAAGAAGTCGTAGTTAGGAGAGCTTGGCCATGGCTGGCTGGACCATCCTTGGCTGAGTTACGCACCTAAGAACCTCAATGTTGTCATCAGTGGGACTCCGTAGAGTCAAACTTCATTGCTGAACCAAAGACCTAAATAAAGGATCAATATGTGTATCCAAAAATAATTCCTCTGCAGATTGTCCCAAGGAACAAATGAGACATAAGTTTTGGGTACAAGAACCACAACAGCAATTATTTCTGCTAAAATCTAAGTCAGATGGTGTCAACTCCCTGCTCAAAATTCTCTAGTGTTTGCTGACCTCATGCAGAACCAGAGCCGAAGTCCTAGCACTGGCCCCTGAGGTCCAATGGGAGCTGCTGGCCCTCCCTACCCCCCTAGTTCCTCCATCTCACATGCTGTTCCTCACTCTTCCCACGCCAGCCACACTCATCTTTTAGGGATCTTTTAACTTGGGGGCTGACAATTTTTTTCTGTAAAGGGCCGGGTGGTAAACATTTACTTTCTACTTTGCGATTCATTACAGTCTTTGTTGCAATAACTCAACAAACGCAGCCATAGACAGTGGCTGAGTCCAATAAAAATTTTCAAAGACAGGCTGCAGGCCCTAGTTTGCTGACCCCTGCTCTAACACATCAGATGCACTTCTGCTTACAGCCCTCCACATCTACTCCTGGGATATACACCCGGCATTCTCCCTCTCTTTCTGCAGGTCTTCACTCAGTCACTAGTTAGCATATAAGCTCTAAAAGGACCTATAATTTTCTTTTTCTTACTCTGCCTTGTATTTTCAGCTGCTTGAACACTGCAAGCATTCAATAAATACTGACTGGATGACTCAGGCTTATTCCAAAAACGAGAAAAAGGTAAATCTCCATAAAACACTACCCAAATCAACCCTACATTGGAACAAGGTTTCCCAGGATCCAGAAAGCCCCAGGTCACTAGGTTATGTCATAATCAGTGATGTCATCAATGCGGACATTCTCAAGTTGCCTTCTGATTTCAGCCTTTCCTGCCTTGAAACCTGTGGATTCCAGGAACTTTCCGAGAGCGAGATGGCTCTCAATAGCACGTGGCCTCCACAGACAAGGCTCATAGGGGATGGGCCTGACAAGGGGAGGGGCGAACAGGCCCCCCAGAACACAGAGGCCCTCCCGACAGCCTCCCTAAGATGTGGCCCAGCGAAGCGTGCGGTGTGGGTCAACCGGAACTGTCTGGAACCAGAAGAGCCCACGAAATCAGGAGAAGCCAGGGAGAAGCTCCCGGTGAAGGTGACCAAGGCGGTGGTCGTGGATCTGGGCACCGGCTACTGCAAATGCGGCTTTGCCGGGCTGCCACGGCCCACCCACAAGATCTCGTCGACAGTGGGCAAGCCCTACATGGAGACCATCAAGACTGGGGACAAACGCAAAGAGACCTTCGTGGGGCAGGAGCTCATCAACCCGGAGGTTCGCCTCAGGCTGGTGACCCCCCTGCGGCACGGCGTCATCGTGGACTGGGACTCGGTGCAGGGCATCTGGGAGTACATCTTCCACAAGGAGATGAAGATCGCCCCGGAGGAGCACGCGGTCCTGGTTTCAGACCCGCCGCTGAGCCCGCACACCAACAGGGAGAAGTACGCCGAGATGCTGTTCGAGACCTTCAGCACGCCCGCCATGCACATCGCCTACCAGTCCCGCCTGTCCATGTACTCCTACGGCAGGACCTCCGGCCTGGTGGTGGAGGTGGGCCACGGCGTGTCCTACGTCGTCCCCATCTACGAAGGCTACCCTCTGCCCAGCATCACGGGGCGGCTGGACTATTCGGGCTACGACCTGACAAACTACCTGATGGGCCTGATGAACAGTTCGGGGAAACACTTCACCGAGGCCCACAGGGACATCGTGGAGGACATCAAGAAGAAATGCTGCTTCGTGGCCCTGGACCCCATCGAAGAGAGGAAAATCCCAGAGGCTAAGCACATGATCCAGTACACCCTGCCCGACGGGCAGCAGATATACCTGGGCCAGGAGAGGTTCCTCTGCTCAGAGATGTTCTTCAAGCCTTCCCTCATCAGGTCCATGCAGCTGGGCCTCCACACCCAGACAGTGTCCTGCCTGAACAAGTGCGACATCGCCCTCAAGCGGGATCTCATGGGAAACATCCTGCTCTGCGGGGGGAGCACCATGCTCAGTGGCTTCCCCAACCGTCTACAGAGGGAGCTGAACAGCCTGTGTCCCAATGACACCCCCCAGGTGAACGTGCTGCCCGAGAGAGAGACTTCGGTGTGGACGGGTGGCTCCATCCTGGCATCGCTCCACGGCTTCCAGCCACTGTGGGTCCACCGCTTTGAGTATGAGGAACATGGGCCTTTCTTCATCTACAGAAGGTGCTTCTGAACGTCCCGGATGAAGCATGGTCGCTGTGGCTGCTAGGGGTCCGCGTTGCTGGGTGAGCACCCACCCCACACATAGGCCCGGCACATTCACTCCGACAGCATTAAACACTCTGTTCCCTTCCACAGTGTGTCCATTTCCTGACTTAATGAGAACAACTCCATACATGCAGCTCTGCCTTGGAATATACGTTTGCCAACACAAAGGTGGAGGTGGGGGGTGGAGGGACTAGCTCTAAAATGGTGCTCTCTTATTTTATTTTCCATTTTAGGAACTACTGTATTGTTAAGATCTGCTTGGAAGGGGAAGTATGATGGTAGATTATATGCTGTTGTGACACATAAGACCCCTCCTTTCTATTGACCGAATTACAGATGTCCCCCATTTCCTCTTTTGCCTCCCTCCACCCAGTCCTTACCCCATCCCAGGCCTTCACTGCACTACTGTGTCCGTGGGCTATGCATATATTAAGTTCACGAAGATCCCTTCTGGTGAACACCAATAGGAAGTATGTTGTCAAGGTTCAGTCTCCCACGAATCACCTAAACACCAGTGTCCGGCCTCCAGGAGGGGATCACAAGAGTTGCTAGATTATCTTAGACTTCTCTCTTTCACAGGAGCCCCAAAGTCTTTCTATGGTCTTGAGTCTCCTGTAACGCCTATTGCCCCCCACCGCTATCCCACAAAGACACATGCTCAAACACTCACAGGGGAGCTAATGGCATCCCCACCACCCCCAGGTAGAAGCTCTCCAGAACCACCCTCAGAGCCTCCAGGTTTGCCTGGTCTCCCCTGAAAGACCTACATGGCAGACCCTGGACCCTGGCCTGGTGAGGAAGCACTGCTGGCTGGCACCAGCGAGCTGGAGTAGGGCAGCCGATAGCCCTAGACGGGCACCTGGAGTGCCTACAGTTCAGTAAGGATGACAGCCTTATCTCAGCATTGGGAATCAGCTAGAGTGGGTACACTGACATGAGAAAGAGGTATGTCCTGCTCACGTCAGTTTCTGCCCAAACCACTCACGAGTCAACACTGCATGAACGTTCACTGATGGGCAGGTTGAAGTGTGGCTAATTCTTAACCTTTGGCCCTTTTTGGCAGGGTGATAAAGCCTATGTATCTTCCTCTAAGTAATATTTTAAAAGGGATAAAATAAAATAGGGGACCACAGAGGAAAACAATCATATAGAAACATACTATCTTCGAATTCTATAAGGGTCTAGGAACAAAAGTCAAGAACCCTGGAAAGGGAGGGTCCTGATGAAGGGGAGGCAGGGGAGGTAGCTCTGGAGGATGGGACTCTGCAGGCCTCCCTAGGCCTAAACATTATGCTGTATTTTAAAATGAAAAAATGTAAGGCTAAACACCTGCAGTCTTTTCCAAAGACTTTTGTGAATTCCCTCACTTGATCCTTACACAATCAGCCTTGTAGAAAAAAAAGAATACTCCTCATAATGAGGTGAATATATGCCCTAGCCAGTTTTGCTCAGTGGATAGAGCATTGGCCAGCAAACTGATAGGTCCCAGGTTCAATTCCGGTCAAGGGCATAGGCCCAGGTTGTGGGTTCAATCCCTAGTGGGGGGCTTGCAGGAAGCAGCCGATCAATGCTTCTCTCTCATCATAGATGTTTCTAATTTCCTCTCCCTCTTCCTTCCTCTCTGAAATCAATAAAATATATATATGAAAGAGGTGAATACTTTTACTAAGTATTTGAAAATTATCTTTGATTAGTGGTTCTCAAATAGGGGCACTTTTGACCCCTAGAGGACATTGGCAATGTCTAAAGATGTTTTTGGTTGTCATAAAAGGAGTGGGGAGTATGAAATACTGGCAACGAGAGTAGAGGCCAGGGATTTGTTTAAACACCCCACAATGTGCAGGACAACTCCCTACAACAAAGAATGAAATGTCCCAAAGTGTCAAAAGTGCCAAGGCTGTCCAGGATAGGTGGCTCAGTTGGCTGGGGTGTCATTCTGTAAACCACACAAAAAAGTTGTGGTTTCAATTTCTAGTCAGGGCACAAATCCCAGTTGTGACATGAACTTGTTTTGAGGGGGAAGAGCTAAAACTTCACGGAATCCTTCCCCAGAATGAGGCATTCACCACTCCCAGGAATTCCTCCTTTTCCCATACTGCATTCTTCCCCAACTTTGCCTTTACTTTGGAAAGTCTGCTCCCGCTTGCTACTTCTCAAAGTGAACAAAATTCCATCTTTCTCCAATGAGAGATAGTAATTGATAGTAAACTGAATTGAAAGAATTCACACAAGTTCCTTTCTTGATGCTTCACTACATTATTTTAAGAAAACTGACCATCCACGAAATCACACCATTATCAAGACACATTTACTTGTATTTCCAATCCATCAGCAAGTCCTTTTACTATTACCCATACCAAGAGCACTGAAAGTTATTAAAATGCCATAGCAGTTATCATGCTCATTTATCCATGCCAAAGGGAAGCCACAAAGCACTTTTAGCCTTTCAGTGTTGGAAACTTAATTACAGCAAATCCATATGGGTATGAACCAAAGAGCCAGTTTCTCCTAAGGAGGATATACATATCTTTATCTCTTCTTTTTAGTTTTATTTGTGAAAATTTTCAGACACATGGAAAAGTTGAATTACACAGGGAACACACCTAGATTCTACAGCTAACATTTTGTTATATTAAGAAAAGTCTAAAATTCTAATTCTGGATATACTTATACTCAGAATCAAAAGCAGCATTTCCAGTTAGTTTATGTATAGTGATGAAGATCTGGGTCTGGCACTAAAGGCATGGAAGAAATTTTTAATCTTACTTACGAGCCCCAAAACTAGCATCAAGATGACATGAGCATTCTCTAGACTGACCAAAAAGAGAAAATATTCTCATTTCTTTCAAAGAAAATAACTAAAAGAAGAGGTCAGTTAGGTACCATTCAGGGGGGAGAAGGGGAAATGAAATGGTCTAGACACTGACAAAAACATTTTGTTAAAAGCAACAGTATTTGGAGAAAAAGGAGTAACTCACAATCCTGCATGCCATCTGATGAACAACACTGTTCACCATAACAAATTGCATGATGTGTTTCAGAAATTCCACTCTGTTCTGCTAAGTCTCTGGCAGAAAATTCACAGGCAGTGAAAATAGTCCTTGTGGACACTGTAGTGATGGAAGGCTTATCCCAGTTATAACTGGGAGCACATAATCAGGTAAGATACTGCAAAATAACAGGTTAGCCGGGAAAAGCTTTGAATTTCAATCGAAATAGCTAGCTTTTCATTCTGCTTTAGGTCAAGGTAAAAAAAAAAACCCACTGAAGTGACGAAATGTGACTAACTGTTGGTAGCACGAACAGCCATATTGTTGATGTACAATGTTCTCCTCGAGGAACATAAAGCAATTTAAAAACATTTTTTCACATGTTTGAGGTAGAAACCATGAAACATTATTCTGGATGAACTTAGGCACAAATTAATTATGTGACTTGTCTGAGGTCCCAATATGACTTAGACCTGCAACTGGGCATGAAACCCCAGCTCCTGTTTATCATAAATAACAGAAATATGCTCTCAAGCAGCACTAAACCTTACAAAATGATGCTATATTGACTAAAGGTTAAAGTTTAGTGAATTAAAACGAAAAGTTTTATGCAAAATAAAAGAAAACAATTGCGTGGTGTGTGCAGAAGTCTGCTGCATGAGCAGCTCTCGGCAATGCGAAGGTAGATCAGAGTCTTTCTCTTCCCGGTTCTCGGCAGCCAGGCCTGGAGGACTGAGGGGTGGAAAGAAAACGTCTTCTCTGCCGAGCCCTCCCAACGAGGAGCCGTCACTCCAACAGGCTCAGCTTCCACTGGGTTCTTTTGTTGATCATCGGCGGTATCAAAAACTCCGCATCTGGTACAAAGGAGAGAGATGGTGACAGGACACTCTTTCTTGGTGGCAGGAGCTGAGGCAGTAACTCTAAAACTGGGCCACTACAAGGCGACCTTCAGAAACGAGTTAATGTTGCTGTTACCTTCCAACCTCGATCAGAGCAAACGCAGCGGGGAATTCCATTACAACTCCAGGCACATGGGGAATAGCAGGAAAATGTCCACCGAGTGATTCCACGTGAAAGAGTGTCTTACATTTCAAATGGATGGTGTCACAAGGCCATATTATAATCTATTAAATCCCATCAGACTACATCCACCTAAAATCTGTACATTTTACTCTATGTAAAATTTACCTCTACTGTAAGAGCAAAGAAACATGGGGCATGTATTCAATAAGTAAAGATACTGGTCAGAAAATACTTTACGTTAAAAAAAATTCTACAGCCGAAACCGGTTTGGCTCATTGGATAGAGCGTTGGCTTGCAGACTAAAAGGTCTTGGGTTCAATTCCAGTCAAGGGCAAGTACCTTGGTTGCGGCACATCCCCAGTAGGGGGTGTGCAAAAGGCAGCTGATTGATGATTCTCTCTCATCAATGTTTCTAACTCTCTATCCCTCTCTCTTCCTCTCTGTAAAAAATCAATAAAATATAATAAAAAAATAAAATAAATTCTATAAGCACACTGATTGATAAAAATGTCCCTACTTAAAAAAAGTGGGGATAGGGGATGGGTGAGGGAGCATTGTCATTGTTAGATAAAACTCCCAGACCTTTCCCAGTTAGATTTGTGGAATCTATTATCTAAATATGAATTATATCCAGGAAGCAGAGGTATAAGAAACATGTCCATTAAAAGATGTTCTATCTTAGCAGGATTCATTATAAACTTTCAACAGTCTGCACATATGAGCCATTCAGACATTAAAACTTATTTTAAAAAATATTTAACAATATGAGAAAAATGCTCAAGAAAGTTTTTAAAAACATGGTTTCATATTATACACGAATATATGTATGTATACATATGACCAGAAATCATCAAATTTTAATTTTCTTTAACATACTTTTCTGTACAATCCAGACTTTCTCTACTAATCATATCACTTTTATAATTTCACATAATATTGCTGCTCTTTACTCCCCCAAACAAAAACTATATAGATACAAAGACTACAGGAGGTTTTACTGATTTAAGAATAGATATTGGGAAAGGCTACTTAAATAAGTCCACTGTCAATAAGGCCCATAATTTCATATTAAATAGTGATTAATAAACTTTGACCTAGATTTTATCTGTTTCTTAAAGAAAAAAAGTTATGAAAATATATTCTACCTTATTAAAAACTTAGGCATTTCAATAATATTTGATTCCTAAACTTAACTAACAATAAATACCAAGTACTGAATCTGGAAGAAAATAATTACACTGACAAAGTGTATGACAGCAGGACATGATGACTTTCATGTTTGAATTTCACAGTAACTTTTACAAAGATACACCGAAGGCTTTATCAATTTTTCCAAGGACTTCTCTTAATTATTTGAGAGTCAAATCACTTTCACTTGAAGTACTTATTTTGTTATCAATTTTAACAAGTCCAACTAGATTATGATTTAAGCACTCCAATAACACTTGAATCCATTTTATAAAATCATGAATTTTTGCAACACTTGTAATCGATCTGCATGATGTTATACTGCGTTGCAAACATGAACAATCAGAGAAAATGCCCACTGATCCCACTGGGATGTATGAATGTACTTAACTAGTACTGTTAGCTGGAGAGGACTCACTGACAAATATCTGAGTGGAACTACTTTTGTGAGTAGTTCATCTTCTCTCTTCCTACAAATTCTTGTAGCCACAAGGACATAGATAATACATACAAAGATAATGAGGAGCCTCAAACTGCTCAGCTGGAAAGGAAGTGCTCTGCAAGGAGCACTACTCCAGGGAAAGGGTGACTGACGTGACCTGCAGGCCAGCATCAGGCCGGTAAGAAGAAAAATAGGGCAGAAATTACAACTGTCTTAGTCACAGTACAAACTAAGTAATTATTAACCTGCCTCAGGTCTAAGGTGAATTGGTAGCACCTCAGAAATAAGTATGCTTTGGGATCGATACCAAAAGCAGCTTGCGGGGAATGCCGTGGTACTATCCATATACATGTGCTTAGCTGGGATGAAAGGTAGTTAGTAGTTTATTCCTGGTAGCAGCATAAGCCATTAAAGTTAAACTTAATTTGAACTCTTACAGGCTACTTCAAATGTCATAAAAATGCTATTATAGTTCGGCATTTAATTGAAAAATTCTCAGACTGCTGCCTCTCACATGCTAGAAAATATAAATAGTGAAAACTGCCATTCTACACATATCTCTAACCTTTCAAAGCTAAGAGACTGGTATTCTTGATTAATCCACCTGAAAGGCAAATATTCAGGTACCAAATTGACCTGCCAAATGTTTCCATTCAACTTTCAAAAGTAAGCCTTTAGGAGTTTTAACTTTGATGGATATGTAATCTAACTGAGAATCACCTCCCCCCATCAAACAAAACATTTTAGGTATTAACATCCACATGCAATGTTAATGGTCTTCGGATTTGTTTTCAAATTACACTGTCAATCCTAAAGATGATCAAGAAGGTTCAGCTCTTAAGGATTATGAAAACATCCCAAAATTGCAACTGTGAAACTCCTATCGCCAAAAATTATGATTCAAGTGAATCTTTAAACTGTATGTGTAAATTCAATCGTTTAGACACCAACTTCAACTGTGGTGTGCTGGTGCAGGCAAGAATAGGCCACTGTACTGACAAGTGTACAAGAGAACAACTGAACATAACACTATACATTTAAAGTCATGTTGGATTCCACATCCAAATCATGTTGGATTCTCCCCATTAGATGCATTAAACTCATTTTACTAAAGATGCAGTCTTAGATTCTCACCTTAAACTGCTGAATTCTCAACACATACAGAAAGATACTCCTGCTTAGTACTGTAATAATTCAGAGGGTAAAATACTAACCAAGAACAGGAGCTGAAGTCTTCTGTTGTTGATAAGAAGCCATGATACTGTTGGAAGTAGAATTGGGTCCCAGAACCTAAGCAGAAAGAAGACTATATCAGCAAACATGACCTTATACTTCTGACAACTGCGGTACCAAAGGCCAGACCTCTGCCAGCAGGAAATAGCCCGTCATTTTCATTGGATAGTAGCAAATACAATAATTCTCTTTTCCTATGTGATTTTAATTCACCTGTTTCTCCATTTTCAACTCAGACCTCCAAATCTCCTTTCTACCAGAAGAACAAGGTAATAATGGGTTAAAGAAAAGAAAACTTAGGTACTTTTCTTCATGTGGAGCCTGACTCTCACGTGTGGGGGGTTCCCATACATATGTCTGTATTAAGTTTGGTTGTTTTCTCTTGCTAAAGAGAAAGGAAAGAAAATCTACAATATGCGCCTGATCCTTTCACATGAGCAAGTCAGACTCTGAGGGAGAGGGAATAGTACAAGAGGCTATAGAATACACAGTATCAAATTATACTCAGAGATTTGTGGGAATTCTTACAATAAGATAAAAAGGTGCATACCATTGGGACAGAGGAAAAAGGCTACATGTGTTCAAGGTAAACAAGGGACTTCCAGAGCTGCACAAGCCTGAGGGTGTGCATGCCCCTCCCCCGCCCCCGTTTGCCTCCACTCAGTTCTGCAGGGTGAAGTGCAGGCAACGCCCCCTGGTGGAAGGCACCCTGAACAGCAATGACATGCTCCAAGCACCCCCATGTGACTCACGGTATCCTGCACTTATGCCATTACTATACTTTAACAACCAAAACCAAACCACAATATGCCTGGTCACTTTCCCTAAAAGACTCATCAAGTTGATGACTTAGAAGTTAGTATGATCTGAATAGGTGAGGGGAGAGAGGGAAAGAGAAGCGTTATAAACTGCTAGTTTTGAAATCACTAGTTTTAAAAGTGATCACATTTCTTCTAGGAAATACCTATTATATTATAGTAAATCCAAATATCGATATTTGTGAGGGTAATGATTTTTAGTTGCTTTTATTTTTATGGTTTGTAAAATGCTTTTACATCTCTTATTTAACATTCAAAACATATCAGAAGGTGTACAGGGGAAGTATTATCCCTTTTGAGGAGCCCAGTACACTTGTGTGTTTCTACCAGCCTCTCTCAGAGCTCCAAGCCCACCCTTCCACACACTGCTGGGCTGGGAGCCTGAGAAGACACTCTCTTGTCAGCTGCTCCCACCAGAGGGAGAGAGCAGGGCTGGAGGGAGACAGAATCTGCTTTGTCCGCTTCCTTTCACTCCACAGTAGCTCTACACCATCAGCAGCTGCTCATTCGTGTCAGTTCATTACCATACAGGTGTCAGTTCATTACCATACAGAGAACTAGCATCGTTAGGCCCCTTCAGAAATACCAGCCCCAGCTGGCTGGCACCCTCCTTCCAGAGGTCAGGAACCAGTTCAGCAGGCCCCAGCCTGCAAACCTCTAAATCCTAACAACCCCAAACTCTCCCTTTTGCTCTGTCAGCAGCTTCCCATGGTTACTGTCATTCTTGGTGGCACACAAACACCCCTCAGCATAATCAGAAGTTAACAAGTCAGATTTAACATCAAACAAAAGGAAGAGCAGTTGTCTGGGCTTCCTTTAGAGAACTCTGATACCACCCCTAAGTCCAAACACTCCTCACCCCCACTCCAAGTTCATCGAAGGCTAGGGGCAACTGTCTGACTGCCCCACATTCTGCAGGACAGTGTTCCATGCAGAGAGGAGAAATAAAAGGGAACACAACCTCAGCCACAGTGTAACAGTCGCTGTACAAACAAAATCTTAGCAATCGCTTCAACATAAATCTCAGATAATTGAGCTGTGGCAAAGTATATTTTAAGGACAGCAATGTCTTTTGCTTTGACTTGTAAGAGATTGTGTGAGTGACATAACCTGTGAAATGATGAAAAATGCACCTGCTGTCTTTGAGGAAAACTTACAGGCGTAACTGAGTGCTGGTGGCTGAGAGTCCAAATTTCTGGAAGGGACTTCTCCATTAGCTTCAGCGTATCTTCGAAGGCATTCTGCAATTCTCTTCCTTGCTCATCGAACTCGAAGAGAAAGAGCACCTTTAAAATGCAGTGTATTTCGTCTAGAACAGAAATGTGAGGGAGAGCTCAGTGGTGTCCACAGTTTCTCTCTCATATAAAAAACATTTAACATCACATTACAGCTGTCATCTCCCACATTTTCTTCTCTCTTCCCCAAAGTGGGAGTCATTCGACACATCTACAATAACAGGAAAACACACACTAAGGGCCCTGGCAGGAAGCAAGGTCCCGCAGCCTTCACCTTGCCTCAGTGCTCAGCTCTCCCAGCTCAGGCACCGGGATGCCAACAGAAGGAAGGAGGCTTTTGGGGACCGGCTGGGAAGGGCTGTTTCAGGAATGTGCCCTAAAATGACACTTCCTGTTGATAGTTTTGGTCGTTCCTCTAGTTGGAGAAATTCTGTCTGTCTGTGCTGTCCATTGACTGTCTGTCTGTGGGCAGGAACTGTCAGTCAGTATTGAGCAGATACCTTTCAATTTTTCAATGCCCTGCACCACTTCATTCAAAGCCTCCAAAAGGGCCAGCTCCTCCAGGGGGTTTCCTTCTTTGAGGCTGTGCTTCTTCCGCTCTGCCTTACGGCGATTCTTCGATGACCGCCTGTTAGGAATTAGAGAGCTGTTTATAAAGACCTCTTCTTGTGCTGAACATATTAAAATGTTCATGTTGGCCACTAACTTTCTGAGAAACCAGGCACCTACAGATGGCATCTGTACTTGGGAGAAATGGTGATGAGGTGTTAAAAGTGATTAAAAAAAAAAAAAAAAAACCACCCACAAAACTTGGCAAGGAAAGTCTTACAGGCAGGAATAAGAAAAATCCTAAAAAGTATTATCTGGCCTGATGCTTTCTTTGAAATACAGACGAAAATGAGGTCACATCTGATAATAAGAGCTAAACAATATACAGAACACTGAACTTGAATTTTATAATAAAAAACAAATTTAAAGGCAACAAGATAAAACTTAAATTTAGACGATAAAGACATACTAGATTGGAATTTGAACATAATAAAATCTATAAATCCAACAGTCCTTCCTGCCTTGGGTCATCAATATGCCATTTCTTTTGTCTGGGGCTCTCCCAGTCCACCTTTTTCCCCCCACATGTATTTGTATTGATTTCAGAGAGGAAAGGAGAGGAAGAGAGAAATAGAAACATCAATGGTGAGAAAACATAATTGATCAGCTGCCTCCTGTACACCACCTCCTGGGTATTGAGCCTGCAACCAGGCATGTGCCCTGACCAGGAATGGAACCATGACCTGCCTCCTGGTTCATAGGTTGATGATCAACCTCTGAGTCACACCAGCTAGACTCACCCCAACTTTTAAACGCCCAATTCTAGTCGCCTTTCTTACAGTTTCTGATCAATTCAGTTGAATTATATAATCTTGCATTGTTCAGTCTCCCAAGTAAGGCTCTAACTCTTATAACTCAAGATCTCCTTAAAAGTTTTCTGCAACCTTCACTACAACTAGCATATAGGTGTTCAGTAACAAATGGATACACTGAGAAAAATGTGATGATATATTTATTTCCTCTTTCAATCCTGAGTTTGAACTGAAGCCTAAAATCTTTTTTCTTTGTAATATTTTTTTTATTTTTCAGTGCCCACCCATTATAGTCACATTGTATTTATTGAGTGAATAAAATCAGATGTTTATAAATTGATATGCAGTGTGAGGTCTGTGTGGGCACTGGGTGAGCACACAGGCCATGAAGCTGCAGCGGAAACATGTGAACACCAAGTCTAACCTATTGGATGTGCTGGGACAGGCCTTGCACAACTTCCACGTGGCCTGGAATGACGGCTCCTGCAGCAACATCCTGGTAGAAACCAACCCATTTACTTGGACTTTTTCCATTGCCCAGAGTACGGTGGGTGTGATGGGTAAGCATGATACATACGCTGATATCCTGGAGTTGCTGTGGGAATATCTGCCACTCATGTCACTGCCGTTCATGACACTGCTAGTTTCAGAGTAGAGGTCAGACTGTTGACCGCGGGACGCCTCATCATCTAGAAAAGGACCAGATGCAGAATGAAAACTTCCTGCTAATGTGGGTTTACCTTCAGTGGGGTAGGTGGGTTATAGTTAACCAGGGCATAGCTAAGGATGGATGAAAATTATTACAAAGTTGATCTCAAAATGAAGTGAGATAATATTAAATACAATTATTACTATATAAAAGTACACCAGTACCAAACCGCATTAGTCTTTTCTTCCTTTTTATTACAGCAAAGGAACTTTTAGAAATGACAAGACTTATTTTATAAAACACAGTGGCCTAACACTCTGGCTGGATGGGATGAGGGGGAGGTTTGGCAGAGTTCTTCCCATTCGTGCTCGGTGCTGCTCCCAAGCCCTCCACACACACACACACACACACACACACACACACACACACACCCCGATACACAGCCCCCAAGGATTTTCACAGAGGCTTAGACTCCCCACGACACAGTACCCACACCGCACGAGACACAATAAGCAGCCAAGACAAAGCGTGATGATGTTGTCCACCCCTCCCATCCCAGCACCGATGGTTTTCATGTAACACTCACCCAGATAGACACGCTGCGCTTGCTCCTTGAGCTCTCGAACCACCAGTAAACGTTTTTTATGGTGACTGAAAGTGGCTGTCTGAGAGTCTAAAAAAGCCATGTAGTTTTTCTGGGCTGGAGGTGAAGATGGAAAATAATTTCAGCATCATGCTTAATTAAGCACAAAGAAAACTAGAGGGGAAAGGTGAGAGCTGGAATTTACCAAAAAGAAATAGGTTACTAGGTTTTCCAAGAAAGATTTTTTTTTCTAATGAGTATTAACCTAAACCGTTTTAGGAGAATGAACCAAAATGAGATTCCAGATCTTAGAATTCATCGACATCATCCTAGAATACTCTTACCACTAAACATACAAAATCACCTGAACAGACTTGATACCTAACCCAAAACAGACCTGGCAAACAAAAGGAGCACAGGAAGCTGTTAACAAACAGGACGAAAGCCACTGACATGCTTCCCAAACACACGTGTGCGGCCCATGAAGATGAACTGTCAGCGTTTTCCTATGTTCTCAACAGTGGGGACAGTTTAAATAAGAGCTGGCTAGTGGATGCTGTGGGCTCAGGAAGGGTGCCTCAGTACCCGAATCCAAGTACCCAAAGTGAATGGTACAGAAAGAACCCTCCTCATTTTAATTAGAACGGGAGGAGGGAGCAGGCTGGGTAGGAACGTGAACACATGTCAATGTCAGGAAGACTAGGCCTTACTTACACCCAGACTGCACTAAAAATGGCAGTGCTGGAAGTCAACCCCCCACCAGTCAAGCTGATGTCCTTCTTTCCAGCTGAGCTTGGGAGGGTCGCAGTGACACCAGAGTACTCTACCCCTGGAAACACATATCTGGCCTCTAGGAACCAGCAACCTCATTTTCAAAAGTTCTTATTTTCATTTTGAAAAAAATTCAAACCTACAGAAAAGTTGCAATAATTCAATATACATATGTAAATCCTACCCAGAACCTCAATTTACCAATTCTTAATTTTTTGCCATATTTTGGGCTTCCAGTTTTTACACACTCTCTCTTACCATTATTTTTGTAGAATCTTTTGAGAATAAGTTGCAGATATGACCCCTTATTAATACTTCAGCAGCTCTTTCTTAAGAATAAAGACATTATCTAATATTACCTAATATAAACACAATATAATGATTAAATGTGGAAATTGTGTATTGATACAATACTATTCCTTTCAAGATAATCATCTACTCCCAAATGCAAAGGTTCTCACTCCTATCTTATCACAGACTTTTACCTTTCAAATATTTCATGTGCTACCACCTAACTGGTTAGCATGTGAAAAGCCCTGGTCAGAATTGAGTACTACACCAGTGGAGAATTCTGATGGACTTCATTTGACACATGAGCCAAGGATGTAATAACACCAGGAATGCTCTCCCACCTCAACCCTCCATTTCCAAATGAGAAATTCTATTTAAATGGAACCCTCACCTTCTAAAATGGAAGGCTTTACGTTGGTTTCTATAATATCCAGCCTGTTATACTTGTAAACCTAAGAGGAAACAGACAGTAATTTCAGGCAGGATACATTCAAATTGCCAGAGAGTTTAGACACTTAAGAAAGAAGTGAATCACTTCAGAGAAGTGAGCTTCCTATAAGACAACTATTGGAAATGCAACTCATTTCAGTAGAATACAGCAATATTTCACATTTAGAGGAGCAACTAATTCCCGACATCAAGAATAAATTTTTACATGGTTTAACGCTTGTCCTTAGAGGGGGAACTGAACTATCACTTCACTTCACGAGCTCAGAGGGAAGGCACTGGGGCTGACCATCCCCCCTGCACTCCTGCTCTTTTCTGCTCAGCACCTAATGCTGGGAGGGCTGCAAACATTCCCCTACCAGTCTCAGAGCATCTTCCCAGGCAGCTCCTTCTAACAGCAAGAGCACAGCTTCTTCATAATCCTGGCAAAGAAACATCAAGGCAAACAGCAGGTTAAGGGAGCAAGCATGTCAGAAGCCCTTCTGCCTCCCCAGCTATCCTCGGGTCCCAGTTCTATCCCTGGTCTGGCCTAGAGCTCATGCTCAATACATATTGATCCAAAACACAAAGGAGGGCATGCATTCTGCAAAGAGCACAAGGTGAGTATCATCTCCCTATTTTCCTAAGCATCAAAGCCACCAAACAGGTCTGCTAAAAAGGCCCACTTCCCCCTGGCCCGGGCTCAATTGGTTAGAGCGTCGTCCTGTGCACTAAAATGATTTCAATTCTGGGTCAGGGCACATACCTAGGTGCAGGTTTGATCCCTCATCAGGGTGCATAATATAATTTAATTAAAAAGATAAAATTTTTCTTCCCAGACAGACCCCTCTGGATCAGCTGGCATGCGCCACAGAAACAGGCCTACTCTACAGGTTCACAAAGGGACATAGTAGGATGTTTGGCCTACATATGTGTGTACTGTATTGAGATAAAAATCTACTGAAGTAAAAGAAGTATTTCTAAGAGAGAGCATGAGTGTAAAAACCTAAAAGGTATTTAAAGTCAATCACCTTGTTTGAGAACGGTTCTTTCTTACTCTTTCTATTTTGCCAAATTAACATAAAAAGTACGACTCCCTGGAGATTTAATTTAGTACTTTCTACCAAGGTCAAACCACTAGAACATATTATAGTACAGCTCTCGGGTATTCTACATACAAGCACTCATACAGAGATATATTGAATTTAGATTCCCAAGTCAAGATGGGAGACATTAGGGCAAACTATCTCTGAACATCCTAATTATCCACTGTTGTTCTTTTTGTATCACAATAAAAAAAATTTTCTGATTAAGAGAGAGAGGAGAAAGGAGAGAGAGAAGAGAACATCAATTTGTTGTTCCACTTATTTATGTATTCACTGGTTGATTCTTATATATGCTCTGACTAGGAATTAAACCAAAAACCTTGGCATATCGGGGCGATGTTCTAACCAACTGGGCTCCTTGGCCAGGGCCTACCATAGTTTTTTAAATTTTCATGATCTGTAAGTCTTTGCTTGATAATGGGGCACTTTTATAAAGGAGGAAGTGAGCTTACCTGAGCGTACTGTTCCAAAACTGTGGCCGCCTCACTGTGCTTACTCTGCTCAACTAGCTTTCCTGCAAAGGTAACAAGAAGCATTTCACCACAATTGGCTTGCTAAGAACAACAGTTCTACCAAAACCCAAGGTGAAATGGTTTTGGGTAGTACTATTTAAGTAAATATGGCCTCATACAAACTGGAGATTGAATTCTACAGAGCACAAGTATACATTCCAATCTAACTGCTTTAAAACAGCATTTTCCTAAGTGCTCACTGTTCCAGAGGATAATAAAAAAGTTAAACAAAATTTTTCTGCTAAAGTATTTAATTAATATCTCTTCATTATGTATCAAATTATATACTTTGTGAATTTCTTTAAGAGAAAGAGGCAGGAATACCATGGAGTTTATCTTGAATGGAAGTTATAATCTAAATTTAGCATGAGATGTGAAAATCATGTATAATTAAAATTAGCCATGAAAAAGACATTAAATTAACTTACAAAGGCATGGATAAGGGAAGCTGACCTAGTAACTCACACTTTGATTCATTTTGTCCTCCTATTGGAAAAAATTGCTATTTGCTTGGTCGAACACTAGGTGGAGCTAGTTGGCTTATGCTTGGGGTCATGCAGTGTTGTTTTTAGATCCTAGAATCATAGACAGCCCAGTGGAGATAATCACACTATGAGAGGCACATAGTATGACTAAGGGGCTGGCAGATTCATGCCTCCCATCTCATGCTACCTCCTGGTCACATTATGACTGACAAAAACAGAGTCACCTATCTTTTCTTTCTTTTGCTGGCTCATGTAAATTAATAAAAGTAAATGTGCACATGAAGCAACTCTGCCATATAACATTTATCAAATATTACCATATAATATTTCTCAAATATTTCTGGCCACTGCCTTCCCCACCATTTTCCACTAAACATCTGGAGGTCTAGGTGTTCACCATAAGGTAAATGCAAACCAAGATTTATAAATAATAATAAAAAAATCACAGATCATAGGTCATAGAGCTAGAAGGTACAAACTACCAAAAATACCAGTTTCTAAAGCAGAAGTAACAATGGAGCCAGAATGAATAACTAAAAAGGCTAAAATAAAAAATTCTCACACTTATAAAGAGTTCAGCTTGAAAAATTGGGAGGGCTTTCTGAAGAGCCTACATACAGATCTAACCAGAAAATGCCAGAAAAAGAAAAGTGATCTTACACATTTTTATATTCCCAAGGAAAAGAATAATTCAAATGAGACTATGTACATACATTTAACAGGATATAATTTGTTTTTTCAGGAATGCTTTTTTCCCCCCCATAGAGATAATAATTAATAAAGAAGCTGAAACCGGTTTGGCTCAGTGGATAAAGCATCGGTCTGCGGACTGAAAGGTCCTGGGTCAAATTCCGGTCAAGGGCATTTACATTGGTTGCAGGCACATCCCCAGTAGGGGGTGTGCAAGAGGCAGCTGGTCGATGTTTCTCTCTCATCGATGTTTCTAGCTCTCTATCCCTCTCCCCTCCTCTCTGTAAAAAAAATCAATAAAATATATTAAAAATAATAATAATAAATAAAGAAGTAATATGTAGCCAAAACCAGTTTGGCTCAGTGGATAGAGCGTTGGTCTGCGGACTTAAGGGTCCCATGTTCAATTCCAGTCAAGGGCATGTATATTGGTTGCAGGCACATCCCCGATGGGATGTGTGCAAGAGGCAGCTGATTGGTGTTTCTCTCTCATTTATGTTTCTGGCTCTCTATCCCTCTCGCTTCCTCTCTGTAAAAAAATCAATAAAATATATATTTAAAAAAAAAAAAAGAAGTAATATGCACAAGTCTCCTGGAAACATAAGGGGAAAACATACTAGTCAATCTCTTTAAGCACAGGCGAGAGGACCAGACCCTCTCCTCACCTCTTCTCACAGGCAGACCTTAACCTTTCCTCTGCCCTAAGGAGTCAGACTCGGTATAGCCTTGCCTCTGGTCTGATGAGTCCTTAGACCCTGAAACTCCTAAACTGACTTTGTTTCTAATCTGCAAATGCTCATGCATTTGGCCTCTTCTTTTACCTCATTACTGAAAATTGCTATTATGGTTTCCAACAATCTACTGCCTTTACCAAAGAGCCTCACCTCAAAAATCATCTTTAGCTTTATATAGGGAACATGGCCATCCAGTTACATTCCATTAAGCGTGGCCACATAATGTTAGTGTTGGTGAATGAGATGGAGAAATAACAGTGTGACTTGTAGGTCATTTCCAACTTAAAGGTAAGTGTGCGCCCCAAGGAATGGAATGAAGATTAGATTAACCCCACTACAGCTCTCTGCCCATGAGATGGCAGAGCCATACATCGGGAGGACTAGTCAGATGAGACAGAAACTTTTATTAGCAGTTTAACTTTTACTCTACTTAGTAAAGCATTCGAAATTAATTTTTATTGAGTATGGGACTGCATTAAAATATGTTGCCCTAACTTTCTTTGCAAAACAAACAAAAAAATTAAAAAAAACCTCTGGAGAAGTTCTCATTTTGGGCAACCCTTTACATGTGTGTTTACCTGCAAGAGCTCTGCCGAGGGCAGCCAGCTGCTCTTTGCTCAGCTGAAGCTGGGCCGCCACACAGAGAGCCTGCTGCCAGCTGCCAGCAGCCACAAAGGCATCAAGAGCTTTTTGGTGGGCACCACAGCGGGCAAACACTAGCCCCCCCGCCTCATAGAGGAGCTCCTGCGTCAGGTGTTCCCCGTAAGCAATGCTGATATCCTGTGACAAGAGATTGAGGGTTGGTGAGGAAAGGTGACAATTATATTTAAGTTCCATTGTAGGCTGCCTTAGTTGTTATGCTTGAAACTATTGAATTTAGGGAAGTCCTACCATTGATCAGTGAATCTAATCATTCTTCCATTCAAAACCTTACTGATGATGTGCCATTTATTCACTTAACAAATAATTACTGGGTACTATTCAGGACAGTGACAAAGATGCTGCAGTGCAAAAATAAAACCAAACCAGCAAAAAACAAACAGTAACAAGAACCACCACCAAGTTCCTGCTCTAGAAATAGAGGAAGGATTTGCAGCGGTAAAGGCCCAGGGAGCGGTGAGAATAAACCACATGAAGAGTGAGAAAGAGTGTCCCAGGCCGAGAGCAAGGAAGGCACCGTGGCCACCGGGCAGGAACATGTATGGAATGCCCAGGAGGAATATGCAAGAAGGCTGGTTTGGTAAGCAGAGAGAATGGGCTTCCTGACAGAGGAGACCTGAGCATTTTGAAGGACAAGTGGGACTAAAGGAAGGGGAAGGCAGAGGGCGGGCAGAGGCAGTGGGTGCTAAAGAGGTGGTCCGGAGCCAGAACACAGAAAGATGTGAGCAATCTGCAGATGAACTGGAAATGATGGCGATGGATGAGGGCACAATGGGCAGTGGTTAACAGCAAGGGATCCATAGTCTAGGTCAGCCGCTTCACAGCCCAGGTCCTTAGGCAAGTTGTTTTCTCGTCTATACACTGCACAACACTAACACGTTTTTATGGGAATTATATGTTTAGCTCATCAATGAGAAAGATCTGCACTTTGCAGGATGATATTATGGGGCAGAGAGGCCAGGCTGCGGAGGGCGGTGGAATGAGGGGCCCATGTGGAGGCTGTGTGGGTATTCCCCACGAGGAATCTGGGACAATACCTAGGTTTCTGGCCTGAGCAAGTTCTTCAGAGTAGGAACAGGTCAGAACCACTGTCTCAGATAAGAAGTTCAAGGTGAGGCTAATTTGTCTGAAGATGAACCTTGAAACCAAGGCCAGTGTTATGGACTCAGGACCCTCACTCTTTCCAACTAAGGCACAAAGCAAAACCAGGAGCACAACGTTACACACCACACACCTTGTGCTGCTGCGAGTCTGGTGGATATAACTTCAGAGCCTCATTATACAGGTTCTTATCCTTTATTAAGTTTAAGCATTCTGGGAAGTGCTCGGGTCCTGCAGGAATAAGATTCATACACACATAAGCTTAAGACTTGGAAGCAGAAAGGATGTCATTTTTACTAACCGTCTCTAAACAAAATCAACAGGGACGATTTCTGCACAATCAGAAAATCTGGAGAAGAGAATTTTAATGAATACCCCTGCCGATTCTAAGGTATTAGAACTGCCTGGGATCAGAGTTCTACTTTACAGAACTTTTTCACACTACCTCTGACCAATGACCATACAGCCCAATTGGTTCAACCTCCTTAAGAATCACCTGGGATGTGTATTAAACATACACACACCGAGTATTGCCCAGCCCTAGTGACTCTTCCCTGTCCCCCTCCCAGCCCTCAGGAAGGAATCGCAACTGCTGAAGCCAGAGGCTGCAGCCCAGGCCAGGGGGTAGGGGATGGAATCAGAGCACCCAACACTGCGCTTGGCCCACCCCATCATTGATGAGTAAGACCGGCTTCCAGGACACTGCAATGGGCACCTCACAGACAAGCCAAGCTTCCTTTAGGTGTTTGCAAACACCATGAGAACAGTGAGTTATCTACTAATTTTGATTCTGAGACACTGAAGTGGATTTAGGAGCCAATCATTCTTAACCCAAAAAGGATCTGCTCTATTTCCCTTGTTGCAGAGCCCCTCAGCTCTTTAAAAATCACATGCTTTATCCTCAGTTCTTAGAACATATAAAATCAGGTATATTTATGTAATTGTTAAAGATTTCAGGAGTGGAAATTGAAAGCAGTGTGTGTTTAAACTAACATTTAAATTTATACCTGCCTAGTTCTAAAGAAAATCTGAAGTGGAAATAAGCACAGTAATCCTCATACTCACCACATTTGCTGAGGTGGCCAATGGCTTTTTCATACCGTTTCAGGTATTTGTCAATGGTGAACCGCTGATAATTAGTTTCCATTTTCTTAAGTGTATTAAGAAATGGGAGATATTCTTTTGGATCCTAGAAAAAATTATAAATAGAACTTTATTGCTTGTGATCATATTTACTTATAAAAATAGACATATAATAATTATAGCAGTAAATCCAAAGCTACATAATTTTAAGAACATGTACCATATTAATATATTAATTACTTTTTATATAATACTAGTGTACCAGTGCACGGATTTGTGCACATTGAAAGAAAATTAATTAGAAGAAATATTTTAATCTCTATTTGCCCTTTATCTATAATAGAAGTGTCAACCAAATTAATGATTGACAATGACAGATCAAAACACATGCATGTGATTGGCGCCAGTGAGAGATTTATATGTATTGTGTGTTTGCGAGTCAACTGAGCCTTTTATATGTTTGTGTGTGTGTGTATATGTGTGTGTGTGTGTGTGTGTGTGTGTGTGTGTGTGTGTATATATATAAAACTTGCCTTTTATATGTTTGTGTGTGTGTGTATATGTGTGTGTGTGTGTGTGTGTGTGTGTATATATATATATAAAATTTGCTTAATTAGATGTGCTTTTTGATGTAGCTAAACTTTTTCCGACCCAGTGAAACACCCTAACTTCTCTTTGTCATAAGTATAAGGTGCCCACAGTGACCGTTTCCAGGCTTGGCTGGGCTGTGGGCCGCATTTTGCACCATGGGGTCTTGGCAGCATTGGGTGCGATTTGGTGGGATGTCACTCCAGGGTGGTGGCGGGGCTTATATCCCACTTGGGAAAACTGAATGTTGGTTTGTCTGCACCAGGTCCGTGGTGCTATTTATTTTTAAATGGCCAGTGCGCATCATAGCAGCTCCTGTGTTGAGTGTCTGCCCTGGAGGTCAGTATGTGTCATAGCTACCAGTCAGATGGACACTTAGCCTTTTACTAGAGGCCCGGTGCATGGATTCATGCATGGTTGGGGTCCCTCCGTCTAGAAGAGGACAGACTGGATGCAGGGGTAGACACGGTGCAGTGGAATACACGGGGGCCATCTCCTCAGTTCCTAGGCAGTGGGCAGGGAGGCAAAAATGGCTTACTGGAATGCCTGACCGAGGTAGCTCGGTTGGTTGGAGTGTCACCCCGATTGTGGGTTCAATCCCGTCAGGGCACCAAAAAAGAAAAAGAACCGCTTACTGGGCATATGCCACCTTGACATCCTTTGACCAAGAGTGAGAATTAGCCAGGTGAATGGGGATGGTGAGAGGGGAGGCAGAAGTCATGTTATCCACAAAGGTGTGTGGTGGCTAAGGCAACAAAAGCACTGCCTTTCCTCTACAGGCAGAGAAGAGGGGACCACGTGAAGAGATGAGGACAGAGATTCCCAGGGAACAGATCACAGAGGATGTTTAAATAATATTATGGTCTTTGAATTTCATGCTGGGGCCATAGGAATTATAAAGTGTTTAAAACAGAGAAATAAAGAATCAAGTTTCCTTTTTGGAAAGGTCACTCTGACAAGAGCAAAGAAAGGAAAGTTAGAGGATGAAACCAAGGCTGCACAATAGATAAAAAAGGTGCAGGCCAGGGGCTCTCAAACATTTTGACTGTAGCATGCTAAGGGGGACAGAGGCCCCGAACCTTTCTAATCTCTGTGTTCCTACTTTCCTTTAGTAACTGAGCTACAAAATAGACCTGAATTGAAATACGATTTGTTTGTTCTATTTCCTTGATAAGAGAATTTGTTCGAACATATGCTATAATCTTAAAAATAATCACATAATTTTATTTCACTTGCTCAACCTAGCAATCAAAACACTTTGATAAGCAAAGAACTATGATAGAGAATGGTGCTTAGAAGTGTGGGCCTGTAGACTCTCAGATCTGCCTCCAGGCCTGTGCTCCGAACAATATCGGGCAGAACACTGCACCATTAGAAGAGGGATTCATGCTGCCATAATTACATAAATGAGAACCAAAAAGATGGCAAAGTAGCAACTCCACATACCTTCTGTGACTTCTCAGCTACCATGAGGACCAAATCAAAGTCATAGGTCCCAAGAGAATGATCATATAATTCATTCACATCCACCAGCAGCAGCAAATACTTGAGGGCCTCTTCAGCACTCACACCATCAGGAACAGGGGTAGCACTTCCTGTCAGAAAACAAAACAGAACAAAACCATAGGGCAAAAGCCCCCACACCTGGCATCATAACCAAATGACAAAGAAACACATTTTCCAAAAGACAGACATTTCTGACTCTTGTACATGCAGCACTGAACAGAATGACACAGATCTTAAAATGGCCAGTCAAAGGCCACACGTTAAATTTGTACTGTGACACTGGTCCTGGTCAGTGCACTCTCCCGAGCTGGGAAGGCTGAGACAATCAGGCCCTGAAAAACACTTTCTGTGAACGAGTCTCTACCTTGAAGCTCGTGTACCTTCTGCAGCACAACTTCCAGTTCTGGGGTTGTTTTCTTCACATGAGAGGTGAGGATGGACAGGCAGTACCTGAGGTCAGATGCGAAGAGCAACACAGGATGAGAAGGATGAACAGAGTAAGGACAGCTATGTGCTTGTGTCATTCACAAGACACCCCTAACGCGGCACACGTACTTGTCAGGGTCTATGCTCTCCATGGCAGCTCGCATGGCATCGCAGATAAGGTCCACTTTACTCCCCTCGAGACCCTTGGACTGTGGGACAGTGTCGGGAACTGGTGGAGGGTACATGGTAGTTGTGACATCTTCTTCCCTAAGAACAAGTGTGTATTAAAAAGTCACTAACTGAACCAGTCCCCCTTCTCAAACCATTCACATAAATCCAGGTGTGGATAAAAATAGCTAGCTATTAAAAAAAAAAAAAAAAAAAAGCTACTGGAAAAGTTTAATTATAAAAATACTGATATAAGATAAAAATGGAGAAATTTATTGAGAAATAAAAACACGTCTACAAAAGATCTGTACAGTGATATTCATAGGTGTTTTGTCCAGACAGCCAAAACAAGGCACAGACCAGGTGTCCATCAACTGGGGGATGAATGAACAAACTAGTATATTTATACAGTGGCATTCTATTGAGTGATAAATAAGATGAATTTTAAATGCATGTAAAGTGGATGAATCTCAAGATAATATACACTATGGGAAAGGAGCTTTATTTACATAGGAAAGTAAGTATTCTGAAACCATTTATAAAGTTCCTGAACATGTAAAACTGATCCAGGGTGTAAAACTCCAAACAGTGGCTGCCTAGGGGTCAGGGACTGACTGAGAAGGAACTGGGGGGAACTTGGTCGAGGTTCAGGTTACAAGGAAGTATACATTTGTCAAAACTCACTGAAGGTGATTGCATTTCACTATAAATACAATAGGACCCCATATGCAAACAATGCACTCTAGATAGTGCTATGCATAATGAAATAATTAGGTAAAGGTAGACTAATGTCTATAATTACCTTGAAATTAGTCTAAAAATAGATGTTGCATGAACCATGAACCGTTGGCAAACAGTGATAAAACAAATACAGAAAAATATGAATTCAGGATTCTCATGTGACAATTCTCTCAACTTTTCTGTATCAAATTTCTCATTAAAAAGTTGGAGAAATGGTCAATACAGACATAAGAAGATACCATTTTCTTTTAAATAGATAGAAACAAAGTTTTATATGTCTACCTAAAAATAAAGTCAAATAATAATTCTGACCTACGTACTTAACGTCTTAGTTTTAAATACTGTTTTAAAAAGGAAAAAACCAGTATATATGATTAAGAGTTATAGTGATTAAAAAAAAATACTAGACATTAATTTTTCTCCTCTAGAAATCTAACTATTTGATTTCCTTAACCAGAAGAGAGAAAATCATGTCTACGATACTCATAAATTATTCTAAATACTTACTTCAATTCTGTGAAAAACAAATTAATGTGATTTACAGAATCTATCTGCTTTATGAAGGACTCCACATTTTCAAGAAACACCTACCCAAAAAAAAGACAAAACATTTTAATTCAGATCAAATTAGTTCAAATCTAAAGTAAGCTAGGATAAACAGCAGCATGAGGAAGTTACCTTAGGGTTATGATCATAAATCAGGTTGAGATTAATTCTCAGTTTTCTCATGCATTCAAATGCTTCTTTAAACATAAGCCTGTGAAGAGAAAAGACAGAGAAGCCATTTAACAAAAAGCAAGCTCCCTGGACCCAGCACATTTTCATTATGATACAAACCAGTTCTAAGGACATTACAGCCCAAATCCCCAACAACTGCTAATGGGTTTTCACTCTGAAATCACAGAATAAGAAAATTGGCTACCAAATTCATTTACCTTCTGAAAAGGAATGATTTAATCATCATGACAGGATGAGGACTACATCCTCACAGTCACACTCATCATGGAACTTGGGTCTGTCTTAACAAAATAATGCAAAGCTTCTCCTGTACCGAGTCAGACCATGAATCATTTCCCTGCTAATAGTGGCTCAGGCACTTTGGGTCATGGCCCCCCTGTGAATCTGAAAGCTGTGGGCCTCCTGCTAGAAAGACATGCAGACACACCTGGTGCAGTGGCCCAGGTTTACAGGCCATTTGAAGCCAGCGGGTCCTTTAGGCCAGGAAGCCCTGATCTACACGATGAGCTTCATGATCCCTTCTGCTGGAAATGTCACTATATCATACGGCATTAAAATCAATGTGGACCATGTCACCACAATCAATTTAATTAATAAATATTAAAAAGAAAAATCAAAGTGTAAAAAAAAAGCCTCTGAGAATCTGATTGGTGACATCTGTAATGAAGGTTTTCCAGACTTTTAGGTTTTAAATCTTGAAAGGATACTTATGATCTTCACACATAAGTCATAACAAGCTAACTACTCCTGTACGCGGTACTTACTTGTCCAACCACTTCCGAATCTGAGCTAAAACCAGGGCTCGATGATGAACAACTTCTAAGTTTCCCCTTGGCATCTTAAAATATATAAATCAAAATAATAATGTTTTAAATTAAATAGAAAACATTTAAATACCTAGGCTACACAACTTTACCTAACTTCACAGTGAACTACCACGCGAGGTAAAATGAGCCCACTTTTAGCAGAATCTTGCTGTGCTAAATATTTATATTGACTTTCCAGAAAAGCTTCCCTATAAGCCTTACTGGTCAGAGCCTGTAATAATGCTAACAGAACCTGGCAAGGAAAGACTTAAGAGTAAATTACTGAAAATGAAAAGAAAGCCTAAAATACAATCTGCAAGAACTGTTTGGTATTGACTGTCCAACGGCAATCAGAAACACAGCCTGAAAAATCAGCTTACCTGTAATATCAGCTTTGTGTCCTGGGGCACAACAGTGACAATGCGTGAACCCCTCTCCACCATCCGCAGTGTTTCCCCGTTAGACGCGTGACTGCTGCTCAGACCTGCCTGTAATGCTAGAGACAACATGGGCCTTAAGAATCACTGTCATGACCAGGCATTCTCCATTATCTGGAGCTGAAACTGCATGCTATCTGAAATACAGGAGAGCAGTTACTAACCAGGCTCCTTTGCTCTCCCACTCAACCTCAAGACCATCAGCCTTTCTGATAAATGGTCTCATCCCTCGAACTTGCCCTTTCTCAGAGCCTTCATGCATATTCTCACATAACTCATTAACTGACTTGGAAGACAGGGAGAATGGGCAGCATCTTAGCACTATGATCATACCAGGGAATGATTCAATTTCCAAGTTAGAAACTAGGAAAATAAATGGGGCTTTTCAGAATAAGGAAAATACACACACAAAGGGAAGTGGGGCTGAAGGTGAGGGGATGGGTGGGCAAGGAATAGAAGAAATAACAGAACCAATTTCCTACAAACTGAGGCTTGTGAGCCACATGCAGCTCTTTGGCCCCTTGAGTGTGTTTTTTCCACAAAATACCATGTGCGGGTGCACACGTACAGTGCAACTGAAACTTGGTGGCCAATGAGCAAAAGTCAGTTTTTGGCTCTCAAAAGAAATTTCAATCATTGTACTATTGGTATTTGGCTCTGTTGACTAATGAGTTTGCTGACCCCTGTCTCAGACAAAGTCCTTCAAAGGGTACAGCGGAGGGTGGCCACAGTAAGAAAAGATTACAAAGAAGTCTCAGCATATTGCTTGCTTGGTATTTACTGGTTACTCGAGGTAAAATATTAATTATATATTGAAATTTCCTGAACAATTTTTATCTATCTTTAGAATATTCTGCTTAAGGAAGGATTTCCTTTTCTGGAAGTCTTTGCTAACTGGTGCAGGATGATTGAACTGCGATGCTATGCTGAGGTTAGGGACGAAGGAACTAAACCCTAATGATATTCTCCTGTCCAGGACTCCACAGTCAAAAGCCAAAGTAGGTGAAGAACTTGAAAGTCATCAAGACCTCAAAGGACAAAAGATAGCAGAAGAGGGACCACTTTCTATTTTATACACCGAGAACTTACTTTTTAACGAAGCATCACTCAGACAAAAACACTGGCAGGTGTGAGAATGAGTCGTTAACAACAAAAACTCATCATATACTGCAAATGATGTGATATTGGAAGCAACCTACAAGGCAAGGGAGATAAGAGGAAATTTAGCTTTATTACTTGAAGGCAACCCTGAAGAAGATCTGTCACCAAACCAAGCCTTTATACCTCACTGTCATTGATGAAAAAGCGACACCTGTTAGTCAGACCAAGGACATATTCCTGCAAAGAAATAAAACTGAAATTATAAACAATTCTAACCAAACTAGTTAAACCTAACCTTTCAATCACACAGTTCTATTGACCTGTGATTTCACATCTAAATCTCTATAATCAGGGCTGAATATAGACATGTTAGATGTGGTTGGTCCAGAAGCCATCCAATCCATTGCAGGCTCTGTCATTTCTATCTTCTACCTGCATCGCAAATATGCCACCTTTCTGCCCTCTCTGCCTCTATCCCAACAGTCACTTCTGGTTCCTTTCCAACCTACTCCCCATCTGGCAGCCAGAAAACCATGAAGCAAATCACATTATTCTGCTGATTTAAAGTTACTAATAATCTTCCTTTGTTAAATAAATAAAAAATTCACACTCACTCCTTGAATAAGCTGAGCTCTTTCCAAGCTCAAGTTGTATACAGTTCCTTGTCCCTGGAACACTCTCCCTTCCTTGGGGAGCTTTCTCTTCCATCTCAGCTCAGTTCACACACCATAACATAGAGCTTTCCACCAAAGTAGGTCCCAATTCCTCACAGCTACCATCTTCCACTTAGTTCCCAGCAACTCAACACTCTGTCATCACACCCTGCTTGTTTTTTTTATTCTCCCATTGGAAGGGCTAATTATATAATGTTGATAGATTATAAAGTCCACAAGAACAAGGGTTTGAAGAGCTATTTTGTTTTATAACAACTGTATCCTACCATCCACCACAATTATAGGCATTTTAATATTTGATGAATGACAACCTACTGAATACTACTTTCAAGATTACATTTCTGTTGTTCTCAAAAGGTATTTAATAAAACTAACTTTGACTGTTCTGTACAACTGGGGATGAAAGTTTGCGAACTGCATTCTATTTTTAAATTTATAGCTCCGAGGAAAGGACTAACTAAAGCCTGCTTGCCAGGCAACCTCTTAATTCCATCTCACAGAGCAAGCTGGGGCTCAGGGAACTGTACCTTCTCAATGCTGCCTTACAATTTAGTGGAGAACCAGGCTCACATCCAAAGCCCATATTCTTTGTACCTAATGCTATCAGATCTTGGATCCCTGCTTTTAAGTGGTAAATTTTTCTGCCCTGTGATCACTTACCTTCCCTCCAATTATGGCCAACTCAGTCTGTGTGCATTCATAAGGAATTTGAACAGGAAATCCACCCGGGTTCTTCCAGGGTTCAACAATTGGAAAAGGTGATTCTGCAGGATTAGCAGATGAGGTTTACCAAGAGCTGATCTGCTCTTTGTAAAACACTGTCCCATTAATACTTACTAAAACACTTAAATGCAATTTGGATTACTTTCCAAATGTATTCTGCAAACTTATTAGGGTATTCCAATTCATTACAAGAGAAAACAGGAAGTAAACACTGGCTGCCCTGGCCTGTGTGGCTCAGTTGGTTGGAGCATCATCCCATGCACTGAAAGGTTGTTGGTTCAATTCCCCATTAGGGCACATGCCCAGGTTGTAGGCTTGATCCCTGGTAGGGGGTGTTAAGGAAGAAACTGATCAATGTTTTGCTCTCACAGTGATGTTTCTCTCTCTCCCTCTCCCTTCCTCTCTGTCTACAAGTCAATAAAAAAATCTTTAAAAAAAAGAAAACACCAGCCAATCGTTGCTATAGCTTAACGTTTTCCAGAGAAGTTAAAAGACCTTACAGTCAATGTAGCACAGACAAGATACAAGTCATGTTTTTAACAATGAAACATCATATAAATCATAAATATGCTTTTCTAACTGTGATACTCACCCCAAAGGTACTTAAGTATCTGACCACCAGCTAGTTGCAATGCTACTGTCTTGGTCTTGGAATTACAACATAAGCTGATTATGTCCCCATCCACTGTCACAGATGAACTGACAAAAATAATCAAAAGGAGAAAGGGGATGTGAACAGATCTAGTTTTTCTCAAAAGTAGTGACATTTCAGATTTTACAAAACAGAAAAATAAACAAGCAATTTCCTTTTAGTGTTACTCTGCTTATTTCAATACAATATACACGTCACACACAACAAACTACTGCAATCACAGATAAAGCGATTACCTGTCACATCACATTATTTTCCACAATACAAATAAACTGGAGTCTACATTGTGAAGTCCACCATTCCTATTCTGGCAGCAACTCATTATAACTTACTGCCACTTATCGCCTTCATTAGACATACCTGGTACCAATATTATTTCTGTATTCTTAAAATATAAACTACATTAATAAAGCAGTTCTTTGAATAAGATGGTCTGTAGGAACATAGAACACTCCCTATCATTATCATATTCGTTCATGGAAATCTGTGGGTCTTCATTCATGGGGAGAGGGAAAATGTGCTGTTGCCATCATATTTTTTCCCCCGAGTCAATGAACGAATACATCTTAAAGAGACTAGATATGTCTTAAAGGAAGTGAAAGAGATAGTGATTTAAAAAAATGATTCCAATGCTAACATTTATTCAAAGATTTTTTAACCAATTTATGAAATACCAAAATGTCCTAAGTTTTATGAGGATAAATTATCTGTAAGTTAAGAAAGCAGACTCTGGAGCTACTCTTCCTGGGACTGGGGTCTCAGGCAAGTTATTACCTTCCCTGTGCCTCAGCTGTCTCAGCTGTAAAATGCTGACAGTACATATTCCAAAGAGGTACAGTGAGAAATCCGTGAGTTAATAGTGGTAAAACATTAAGAAGAGTACCTTTTACAAAGACAAACTGTAGTATGTAAGCTATTAAGAGTGCAAGCTAATCAAGGGACTTTATATCCCTCAAAAACATTGATATTGTATATGAACAAGCAGTCTTTTTTTGAGAAACAAAGGTCAAAGCAACAGAAATATATAAAATATATTTCTCATTACCTTTTCAATAAATGAAATGACTGCCTCTAGCTTTTTTTCTATAAATAATTTTAAATTTTATGTCTCATCACTATGTTGTACACCAAAAATATAATATTGTTTGTCAAGTGTAATTAAAAATAAAAATAATAATTTCTTAAAAAATAATTTTAAATTTTGAAAAGTAGAAATTTCATAATTTAAACATGTCTAATGAAAACTGCTCTGATTTTTAAAAACCTTTAAGTGCTACATGTAGCTACAACATTTTCTGCACCGAGACATATTTAAAAATACAAAGAGTGCCGAAACCGGTTTGGCTCAGTGGATAGAGTGTTGGCCTGTGGACTGGAAGGTCCCGGGTTCGATTCCGGTGAAGGACATGTACCTTGGTTGTGGGCACATCCTCTGTAGGGGGTGTGCAGGAGGCAGCTGATCGATGATTCTTTCTCATTGATGTTTCTAACTCTCTATCCCTCTCTCTTCCTCTCTGTAAAAAAATCAATAAAATATTTTTAAAAAAGAAATAAAAAACAAAACTATTTTAAAAAATAATAAATAAATAAAAATATAAAGAGTTATGAATCAAGATTAGGAGTTCATGACTGCATCAGAATGTTTGATGCATACAATGAGGAAAGGTTCCTAATTTTGCAATGAGGGTTTTCAGAGTTTAAATCTAAGCAGATCTTCCATTACAAATGAAGCTAGAGAGTAATATCAGTGTAGGCCCATGGTGCCAAGGGTGACATTGGAAACCTGAGGATTTCCCAAGCTGCCCAGACAATACTGCACAACAGGGCTTGCCTTACAGAAATCAGCATTCATGAACTAGAAGCTGTTACATGACAAAGACGCAGTCAGGGATCAAAAATGAAACTCAAGGCTAGAGGGGCAGTAAAAAAAAGAAGAAAAATAGAGACTTTTCAATAGTAATGCATCAGGTGCCAAACAGAATATAAAGAGAAAGAGGCCAGATATCAAAATGCAGCACATATAAATAGATCTTATAACTTAACTGATTTTAATAACTAACAAGAGTAATCAGAGTGACTGATTCTCATGGGCTAGCAATTGCCTTGCTAGAATGTAAGCATATGCAAATTTTAACAAACTTCAAAATGTTTTGCCTCATCTGTTGGTATTTGTCCTTTTTTCACCACTTCTTGACACATTTTCAGCCTGTATTCTGACATGACTCAAAACTAGACTTAACCTCTTGCCAAGTGTGTCTAACAAGAAAGCTACTGCCTCTTAACCTACTTCATAACTAGAGTTATGCTTTTCTGTTTTGTCCTATGCTCATAAAGACAAAACAGAAAAGCATAACTCTACCTATTACCACATGGAACACAGAAGGACTCTGATACCTAATAGTGAGCTGTCCTTGCTGGTCATCTGTCTCACAAGAGACCACGGTGAGACGGTAAATGACGGACTGTGGGCTGGACGGACTGTGGTGTACAGCCAGGAAGACATCTTCTTGGATCCAGGTGAGAAAGCTGAGCTTCAGTGGATTTACTTCTTGATCTTCACCATTCTCAAATTGAATTCTGTTTTAAATATTAGAACAAACAAAGAATATCCAAGAATGAAACTTTAATACCACCGAGATTTGCCTGAATGAAGGAAGAATGAACCACCCTGTATACAGTCAACACAGTTATTTGTAGGGGCAAACTTGAAGTGATGTCAAATACTAAAAACCCCAAAATACTGTTTGTCTGGTTCGAAAATGTGGTTTCTGTTTACTTAATATTGTTTCTTATTCTCTGAGGCTTTAGATTTATGAATCCGACCACACAAGAAAATTACCTGCCCCGGGTTGACCCTTCACTAATAAACCCAGATGTTTTCCACTGTCCCACTTACCAGCATTCAAACCGAACTGCAGCAGCTATTTGGACTTCAATAGAATGGGTCCTTTCCCAAGCATCCCACACCAGAATGAACCCGTTAACTTGAGTCTCTCTGCCTCTAACATCTTCTGCAGTGTTTAAGCAGCAGAGGACAGCGCTGTTTGCTGCCTCATATAGGAACTCATAACGGTCACTTTTGGCTTTTGAGTTCGAGCAGCAAACCCTCAGGGCGCATGAAGGAGCTGGGTCGCTAGCCCAAACTTCCAGCTGTACCAGCTCCTAGGACTGGACTCAGCCTCTCCACTGCACGCAGCCCCATGCAGGAGCATCCCCACCTGGTTCTTGCTGACATTCTTCTGCCCACCACACCCAATGGTCCCAAGCCTTCTCTGCCATCCTAACCTAGTCCTAGTCCTTCTTCAATGATTGATAAGTATTGGCGTCCTCCATGAAATCTTCTCTAAATGAAACAAACATTCTACATTGCCTTACATTTTCTTCCTTTAGTGATTTTAAGTTTGTGAAATAAAATCATCCATATAAATGTTTTTTGAAAACTTTTAAGCACTTATGAATCCGACCACACAAGATCATAACCTGTGTATGATTTAGGCAGCCCCTAAATCATATACAGGTTAGCTACATATATACATTTATGAAATATATTGCATATATTTAAGAAACATTCAGTTATTTGCTCGAGTTATTTTATTATTACTATTAATTTAGGAATAAATGCTCCCAGGAGACAGAATAGAGCAGGAATTGAGAGCACAGACTTATCAAGAATAGACTCAAATCCTGGATTCTCACAGGAATGGCATTATAATTTATAAATTGGCTTCTGGGTCATTTTATAATGCCTATAGTGTACCTGAGGTATTCAATTATACCCAGTCGTTTCTAGTATTATTTCCATGGGAAATGTATTGTGATTTCCAAACTGAGCCTCAAAACACAGCACCCAGAGATTTTGGAGTGTAGGAGGAAACAAAGACAGAGGCTGCTATAGGACAGCCGTATGTGAATAACTTAGACATCCTCATTTAGGTACGTGAATGCATTCTGCCCTGTCATTCATCTCCATCTTTCCCATGCAATGTTTCCCTGGAGAACCAAGGACTGTTGAGAAGAATGGACTTTAGGCTGGTTTATCACTTGGGCTCTCCTGCGCCCATCATCCTACATGACATTCAGAATCCAGGTAAGTGGCTTCCCCAAAAGTGTTTAAAAACTAGCCCCCAGGTGTGGTATCCACTTGTTCCACTCAGCAACAAGCACAGGACAACTGGGTAATTTAGGAGTAAATGCTGGCTCCTTCTGTTCCCAGACGTTCCCATAACTAAGAACCACCTACTTGTATCTCTTTTCCAGATGAGGTGTCTCAACGGAAACTTTAAATCCACTTCCACCCACAGCTCCCAGTTTCACCGTGGGATCCACAGTCGAGCTATCACCTAGAAAACAAAATTTCAAATTCAATGATATCACACTATCTATGCACACTTCTCCTCATACTAAGTTTATGGGGTTCTAGAAGTCAAACTACTTTACAAATAAAGCAATCTAGAAAACAGTCACATCTCAAATTCTTTTTAAAATCTCTGCCTACCTTTTAGGCTTAACCAAATCTTCTTTCCTCAGTCACAGTCCTTGCTGTGCCTCAGCAAGACCAGGGGAGGCCTGCCCTCTCACCCCAGTGCATTGCCCCAAGACCACCTCTCACCAACCTGGCATCCTTCATCAAAAGGTATTCTCTTTCCGTTCTTGATCCAGTTTATTCACTGTACAGCAGTCAATACAACCCTTTAAATAACTGAGTCAGAACACCACACACTTCTGCTCTACACCCTCCGGAGCTTCCTGAATAACACTGAGGTAGTACCAGAGCCTTCGAGGCCCCTTCGAGGTCGACAAGAGCTGACTCCACCCACCCACCCTCCCCTTACCTCCTCTGCTGCAGCCTCCCTGAAATCCTGGCTATTTCCTACACAGAGACAAGCATCTTAGCCATTGCTCTCTACTCTGCCTAGAACGTTCTTACCCCAGGCATTCGCATGGCTCCCTCTCCAATTACCACTAGGTCTCTGCTTAAATGTCACCTTCACATAGAGGCTTCCTGACCACCTAAAAGCAAAGCCACCTTTCCCTGCCAGCACTTATCCTCATGCTCTCCCATACCCTGACCTTGCTTATTTTTCTCCACGGCATTTACCATCTCACAGACTTTAACTTATTTACTACCTTTCTCCCCAACTAGAAGATAAACTCCACAATCGTATGGACTTGAATAAAACGTGTTATATGAAAGACAAATCAATAAACATGGAGGGGGAAAAGGAGCAATAACTGGGGACACATAAAATGTCTCCTATGCAAATTCTGGCATCTAATATGTCTCCACTGGACTCAAATGTGCACTACTCACCTCCAAGTTGTTCATTTGTAACACAAGCTCTTTCTCTTCGGCTCAGGAGCCTTTATCAGTATTCTGACTTGTCCATTCTGAGACCTCAAACTGGAATATTCTGACTTCAACATCAACTGCCAATCTTTCCTTTAATCCTAACCCAATGCATTATTCCTCAACCTTCACTGTCACTTGCACAACAGCTGACGTCCGCTGCTTCTACACAGCAATTCTGACTCTCCCACCCACTCTCCCTCCTGCTGTGCTCCCCTCGCAGGTGAGCTGTCCACACCATGGCCATCGTCTGAAATCGCTCCGTGTTTGAAAGGCTAATCTCTACATCCTACACTCTAATAACAACTCCCACAGGCTCTTATACCCAAATACGCTACAACATGCTCCTAACTCTCAAAGGCTTCCAGCTCCCCACTTGGTATTTTTCTACAGACACTTCCCTGGCTCAAACTCTCACCATCTCCTGCCTAGTCACTCTGAACAGCCTCACTGGTATGTCTGTCTCCAGGTGCCCACACCATGGCCTGCCCGCACACAGACACCTGACACATCGCCCGAGAGCGGAGGTCTAGTCTAACCTGCCCTATCTGATCATGGGGTTGTAAGTGTCAGTATCATGAACGCAGGGTGCTACAGAGTTTCATTCTGGGGAGATAGAGTAGAGGTGTTCTAAAACTGACTGTGGTGCCGAAACCGGTTTGGCTCAGTGGTAGAGCGTCGGTCTGCGAACTGAAAGGTCCCAGGTTCAATTCCGGTCAAAAGCATGTACCTGAGTTGCGGACACATCCCCGGTGCGGGGTGTGCAAGAGGCAGCTGGTCGATGTTTCTCTCTCATCGACATTTCTAGCTTTCTATATCTCTCCCTTCCTCTCTGTAAAAAATCAATAAAATATATTAAAAATAAATAAATAAACAAATAATTTTGTTTTATTTATTAAAGTTTTATTTATTAAATAATAAATAAATTTTTATTTATTTATTAAATAATAAATAAATTTTTATTTATATAAATAAATTTTATTTATATAAGTTTTATTTATTTATTAAATAAATAAAACTGACTGTGGTGATGGTTGCAAGATGCAAATATACTAAAACCATAGAGTTGTACACCCTAAATGGATGAGTGGTATGAATAAAGTTATTTTTTAAGTGAATATAGGATAAAATATTTTGTACATAGTAAAACAATAAAAAATATACAATCTTAAATTAGTATCATCTAGTAAGCACCACAAAAGCTTAGTACTCTACATCTGATTCTTTTAAGCTAACAAAACTAGCAGTAACAATAGTCGAGTATAAAGACAATCATTTGTTTACTTTTCATATTACAGATTGATAAAAAAAAAAATCTACTTCGAAAAAAAGTTAATTTTTATTTTTTCTAATTTTCCTTAACAATGAACACATTACTATTACTTTTTTTTTTAACGCTATTAAGAAATAAAAAGTTTGCCGTAGCTGGTTTGGCTCGATGGTAGAGCGTCGGTCTGTGGAATAAAAGGTCCCAGGTTCAATTCCGGTCAAGGACATGTACATTGGTTGCGGGCAATCCCCGGTAGGGGTTGTGCAAGAGGCAGCTGGTCGATGTTTCTCTCTCATTGACGTTTCTAGCTCTCTATCTCTCTCCCTTCCTCTCTGTAAAAAATCAATAAAATATATATTAAAAAAAGAAAGAAAAAAAATAAAAAGTTTAAGGAGAACTGTTATAGCATTTATAGAGGAAAACTAAAATCAGAGAAGATGGAGACATATTCTAGTACAGTAAGTCCTTCCTTAACACCGGCAATGGGTTCTATGACTTTAAACAAAATGATATGTAACGAAATCTATTTTATCATAAGGTAAGTGGAATAAACAAGAGTTCCTACATAGCATCTCATCAACGTTCCAACAAAATGACACTGAAGGAAGGAGGGCCCACTGTTATTGTTAGTATAAACAGAATCCTGCTGATTCAACAGAAAAGCGGATTAGCAGGGAACTCCAATTCAAACTAGTTAATTTTAATCCTAGCAGCTAGCTATCTAGATTGTTCTCTGAGAATGCATCAATTATTTGAAAACAAGGCCACCAGCGCCATTTGCCTGTATAATTTGTGACATGAACATAGAACTCACAACTAAAAACAAGTGTCAGGTTTTCCCAGCCCATCAGGCAACTAGGAACTGAGAGCAATGTAGCTGTGGAAAACAACTGATTAGAAGCTACGGCACCTTAGTTGGACTCCCTGTCCATGTTTGCTGAAGCAAATTGCAAACCCACTGGCATTCTGTCCTTCATTATAAAAAAAAAAAAAATCCAGCCCAACCAGTTTGGCTCAGTGATGGAGTGTCATTGACCCATGAACCAAAAGGTCACTGTTTTTATTCCTGGTCAGGACACAAGCCCAGGTTACAGGATCAATCCCCAGTAGGGGGCGTGTGGGAGGCAGCTGATAGTTGTGTTTTTCTTTCATCAATGTTTCTCTCTCTTTATCCTTCTCTCTTCCTCTCTAAAGTCAATGCAAACGATTAAAAAACACACACAAAGAAGTCTATCGGTGACACAATTCCTAGGAGTGCTGTGAGATCAACTGAAAATTTGTGCAAAGGCAATGAAAACTGTAAAACACATTACAGGTGTAATAAAATAGCGTCCTATTTCCAGGGTTGAATGTTATTCTTTAAATAACTGACTCTTTCACAAAAAGCAAAGGAATAGCTCTTATAACCCATAGTAAGACTAAAACTTCCCCAAAAAGACCCCCACAAGCCAATTAAATATCACGATGATAAAGTTATTAATGATAAATTTCAAAATTTTTAGAAATGCTAGAGCGAAGGCAACATCAAACCATAACTTGTTTTTTAGAGGGGAAACCTGACTCAGAGCATCTTGTAACAGTTGTAAGCATACCATATTTGTAGACAGAAATCTGGTTGCTGGCATCGAGGATAGCGAGGTCATTACTCCTCTCAGGGCATGAAGAGAACGTGACTTGATTCACAGGCTCTGGAAGCAGCATTCGATGGGTGTACATGGGAGGTGGAACTACACTCTGCCGGAAGACTGTCACCAGTACCCTGTCTGCATGTGACAGAGAAGGAGAAGGAGGATCAGGCACATGGATGTTCAATTGTGAATTAAGGCATCAGAACAGCACAGTACTACTAACAAAATGATGGGGGTAGGAGATAATATAGCAATTCTTTAAAATAATTTGTGGTGTTTTATCATGAATAAGCTTAAACAGTGTGTAAGGGAGGAAGGAAATATCATGGACTCTGTATCAAGCTATTGTCACTTCCAGACCTGGAGAAGTCCATCTCTGGTCTTGGAGGTTTTAGGAGCAGGAGTCAGGACAAGGTCAAGAGATCAGAGTTCTAGTTTTGGCTGCAACCGAGCCAGACTAATGCAAGAAAATCAATGCCTTTAAAATCCTTGAAGCACTTCCCTCTGCATGGATTTGGTAATAAAGCATATATGATTAAGTCCTCTACACAGATCATATGATTATTAAATCAGTATTATGACCATTACATAGAACATGAATTAGTACAGCAAATCACATTACTATCTTTGAAGCAAGGATCAATGAAAATCTGAGTCAGGGCAATAGACAAGGCTCACACATCCAAAACCCTAACATGACTGTGCCTCTTCTGCCCAGGGTGAGAATTTTCAATGTCTTCAAAGGTGGACCAGTAAACATGTGAAGACCATGGATGCTGCACAGTGAGGAATTGGGGTGGGAGGTGGATGGGGGAAGGAGGGACTATGGTAATCAGGAAAGTACATGCTCCAGCTATAGGAATTCTCATCCAAACAAAACAACAAATAAGTAAAGATAAACCAACCAACCAGCCAAATAAATATTCCCCATTGTTTTAACCAAACCACCACTTCTGCAGGCACCGGCACAGGGGCCCCTTCCAGGCTCACAGACACCTTTTCTAGCTGCTTACTTCCATCGATGACGGCCACGTTGGCCATGTCGCTTGAAGTATCCCCCGAGCTCCGGTCGGTCGTCCAGCACCAGTCATAGCAGAGGTAGTGCCAGCCCTGACAGAGAACATGCAGCCGGTACGGGCTCACCGGGTCCCACATCAGAGACACAATCTTGCTCTTCCCGCAGGCGCTGAAGATCAGACTTTGCTTGAGATACCAGTGATAGTTCCCCACAGTCCAGAGCTGAACTGCAAGGGAAAATGAAAGAAGGCCTCATATCATTTGCTAGAGGGGGATGGACAATCTTTTCTTTTTTGAATGACCCTTCCTGCTCAGCCTCTCCATTTAAACAATATTAACAATAACTGGTAAAAGGCAATTTTCCATGAAGACAAAATGTCAAGCACAATAGTTAGAAATGCATGTTTATTTTTGCCTTTACCTTCAAACTTTTTAATCATGAGGATGGACGGTTAAGACAAGACAGTGTTTTAGTCAGTTGTTTTTTTCATAAAGAATTAGAAAGAAGATTAAAAGTATTAAAACACTCAATCCAGAAGTACTGGACTAGTACCACTATGTTCTATTAAGCTTAAGTTGCTTATTACTTTCTCCCAAGTGCTTTGCATGCAACTGGGTGCAAGGCTCTCTGGTATTAATTAGGATTCAGCAGTCCAAAGGGAGATTAGCACGCAATTATCTTTTCCAACATCTATTAAAAGTAGAGACCTAATCCTGGAGGGTAGGGAAAATGAAAAGATGTTGGTCAAAGGGTACAAACTTTCAGTTATGAGTAAGATCCAGGGACCTAATGTACAGCATGGTGACTACAGCTAATAATACAGTAACGTTTACTTGAAACTTGCTAAGAGAGTTGATCTTAAATATCCTCTCAACAACAATAAAAATGGTAATTATGTGAGGTGAATCTCATTGTGGTAAACTTTTCACAATATATACATGTATCAAATCATACATTGTACATTTTAAAGTTACACAGTTGTATACCAATTATATCTCAATAAAGCTAAAAAAAAAAAAAAAAAGACCTAATCATGTCAAGTCAAAACCAACTTTTATTAAACAGATGACACATAAATGAAGCTCTTGATTATATTAAGAAACCTATTTTCTTTAATTATCTCCCAGCTCACTAATTCTTAATCCAGTGATCACAGTAAATCTAACCTAGTTCTCTAACCTGGCTATCGCAATGCATCTCCCTAGCAGTGAGTTGGTAAACTAGACTTTCTGCTCACGCTGTGATAACAGGTATCATGGCTGTGCTTATGTAACATATATCCTGAGCATATCACAGTTCTTAACCCTGGGTGCATGTTAAAAGTTATCTGAAGCATTTTGTTTTTTAAATTAAATACAGATAGTCTTCATTCCAATACAATAAGTCCACTAAGATGAGGCCTGGAAAGTGTTGTTTTGTTTTCTAAAGGTGCAGCCAGGGTTGCCCAGCTGGTGTGGCTCAGTGGTTAAGCTCAACCTGTGAATCAGGAGGTCATGGTTCGATTTCCAGTCAGGGGACATGTCCGGGTTGCGGGCTCAATGTCTAGTGTGGGGCATGCAGGAAGCAGCCAATCAATGATTCTCTCATTGATGTTTCTATCTCTCCCTCTCCCTTCCTCTCTGAAATCAATAAAAATATATTTTAAAAAATTAAAATTAAAAAAAGTAAAGGAGCAACCAGAGTTGAAAGCCACTGGGTCAAATGAATGAATGAGTGAATAAAAAAATATTCAATGCATTATTGTTGATAATGAAAAAGTACAAAACTTTAAAAGTCTAACAGAATAGGATTTAATAAACTGTGGCACAAATGAATATTATCCAGTAATTAAGAATAATATAGATGGATATCTGAAGTGGAAATATGTTTGTCGCAGCAGAAAAGTAAATTACAAAAACTGATGCATCACACATAACAAAAATGAGATCATGGCTATACTGAAACATATCAATAAAATCTGGAAGATGAGAAAATTTCAATAGTAATTTATTATAGAGACAGAATTACGGATTAACTATTTTCCTTCTAATCTTTATTGTTTAATGTTTTCACTTATATATACATTAAAAAATACCTATTTACACAATTTAAAAGGTATAGAGACAATTCTTATATCTAATCTAATTTCTCTTTCTCTTTCACTGTATAGTATTGGTCAACGTTGTAACTTCCTGCAGCAATACCACCTAAGAAAATAAATTACTGGTGACCTGTAATGGTCAATTTTATATGTCAACTTGGCTAGGCTATGGTGCCACGCTGAACACTAGTCTAGATATTGCTGGGAAGGTAGGAAGGTATTCTGTAGATGTGGTTAACATACACAATCTGATGACTTTTTTTCTTTCAATTTCCTAAAAAAAATTATTTATTTGTTATTGTGTTAACACTGGTTGGTAACATTGTATAATTTTTCAGGTGTACATTATAATTTGACATCTAACTATACTATAAAGTGCTTTCACCAAAATTCTAATTTCTACCTGTCATCATAGATTTGATCCCTCTTAACCATTTCACCCTACAACAATCGGTTGACTTTACATAAAGCAGATTATCCTCCACAATGAGCAGGTTTCATCCAATGAATTAAAGGTCTTAAAGATAAGGGTTTCCTGGAGAAAAAGGAATTCTACCTCAAACATATAACGTAAGATCCTGCCTGTCTGCAGACTGCGGGCCTGTCCTATAAATTTCAGATAAGACTGAAACATCAACTCCTACCTGAATTTCCAGCCTGCTGGCCTGCCCCGATTGTTTCTCTAAAGACCATGACTGATGCATGACTGAAACCATAAATAATTAAAACCTAACCATCTCCACCTACCCCTCTCCACAATCTTTTATTCCACTACAGGACTAAGTAGAAGGGATAAGGGCAACTCCACATCTATTTTCAACTCTATTTTATGGGGCAAAAGGCGGAACCAGTGCTGTCTTACCATAGGCTTTTAGAGTAGAATTTTCTTCCCTCGGAAGGTCTTCCGACCAAACTGCAAGCACAGTGGAATCTGCATTCCAGAGCAGGTAATTTACCTAGTAGGGAACAGACCTGTCATTGTCCTTTAATTATGCATGCACAAAATCTTTATGATACCTGAATTCCCTGTTCTCACAAACCAAACAATCCTCTCCAGGAGCTGACCCCTAGCTATAAATTATTAACCTACAGAGTCATTAAACAAATCTGTGTAATCTGTCCTCTCATGCAGAGGACTCTAAAAAATGCATTATGCTTAAAGATTAAAAGAGATTTAACAACCAAATGCAAGTGACATTTAGTCGATCAGGGACATTTGAATATAGAATAGGGATTAGATAATACTAAGGGATGATTACTAATTTTGTAAGCTATGATAATGTAATTGTGGTTACTTATGATTATTTAAAGGAAAATGTTCTTACCTGTTAGAAAAAAATATTAAAAGTACATTTCCTAGAATTAAAAAACAAAAACAAAAAAACACCCTAGGAAATAAAATGAAAATGTGTGTGTATATATATTTGTGTGTGAGACAAAGAGAGAGGGGATAGATAAAAAAAATTTGCAAAATGTTATCTTGCAAATAATATGTACATGGGAGTTCATCCACCTCTTCTCTCCACTTTTAGTATCTTTAATTAAAGATTACCTTTGGATGTGTATCTGCTCCAACAAAGATCCTAATGGTACATAAGCTGCTTAAGGTTTCAATGTTATGAATGAAAGGCAAATTTATTGCTGGAAGAATTGAACTTTTGTCAAAATAAACAATAAAAACCAGCATTTCTATTTTCTGTCTATGTTTTATGTAGGGTGGGAAAGAAATACCACTTATTATTTAAAAATCTCTAAGGAAAAGAATTTCTCATTTTTAAGAAGAAAAAAAAAAAAACCCACAAAAGAACTTAGTTATAAAAAGCCACTATTTCTATTACTACCTACACAGGAGCTTCTATTTACACACATGCCCATATCCAATATAAACCTTCTCCATAGCTGTGGGAAGTCCCTAAATTTGATTCTGAAACAACTCAGGCACCTACCTTCACCTCGTCTTTGAGGAAAGGAAGCATAAACTGTCCATGGAGAAGGCCATTTTTCTCAAAAAACACCACATCCTGCTGGTTGGGTTTATCTTGTGTGGATGCAATCAAACTGCCCGAGGGCCTTAAAGCAAACAGAGAGTTAGAAGGCCCGCAAGTACATGCAGCTGGCTTTAAAAGGAATAAAATTAGGAGAAATGGTCTTTTTTTAGCAAAAACAAAAAGCATCTGAGGAAGTTTTAAATTCTATGTCAGTAGGTAAGCAATGAGAGACTATGCCTGTCCAGAGGAAAGAGTGCCTTTTCCTAATTTGCACAAAGCCTCCACTTGCCCCCAAAGCTTCAGACTTAGAATGCACTTGGTGACTTTTTAAAAAGTCAATACCTTACTTAACTCATTGCATGTATAACATCCTGTAGCACCCTAACCTATTTCTCCTTCAAGTAGATAACTTCAGCAAATATTCCCTGCTCAGGTAGGTAAAAAGACTTCTCAGTCACCTCATCTCTAGGTTTTAATTCAAATACATTTTCCTCTTTGCTCTATCATCCAACTGCTACTCAAATACTGGTGGGAAATGAGATATCTAAAACCTGCAGACCTAGTGGCATTGCTTATAACCGATGCTACTGAGACAGTGGATGAGACACCTCCTCTCTCTATTTTAAGGGCAGCCACAATCACAAGCAGGCTGTGACCACACAAGCATGCTGGATCATGCTGGATCCACCCCGCACATTCCTCAGCAAACAGATTCCCTTGTGGGAGACTGTACACAGGAAGGAAGCCCTCTTCCTAGTCCTCACCAGAACTCCTCTGCCCACTGAGCTGTGCATACAGCGACTTCCCTTCTAAGCACCATTTTCTGCTTTATGCAATAGCTTCACGGAGACCCTGCCTATAACCTACAAAGCATATGGGTCTCGGAATTGTGAGATCTGTGAAGGAACTCAGAATCTATTATTCAAATTGAAATCAGACTCCAGGGAACTAAAAAAGAAAAAAAAAAAAAAAAAGGCTTCCATATAGGCTTACAGCCAAATGAAAAAAAGTAATTCTCTTTTTGTGTTATATAAACACCCATATTCAATAGGTACTACCTCTACCCCAGTTCCAAGAATCCTTTTTTTCTTTATTGATTAAGGTATTACATATATGTCCTTATCCCCCCACTGCCCCTCCATCCCCCCCCCCCCCATGCCCTCACCTCCCTGGTATCTGTGTCCATTGGTTAGGCTTATATGTATGCATACAAGTCCTTTGGTTGATCTCTCTCCCTTACCCCCACCCTTAGTTCCAAGAGTTCTGAGGAAGGAATTAAAAGATTTCTACTCCCACTCACTTCCAGGCCAGAGCTGGGCCCAGTCCTGCCACAGGCTCACTGGTTGACTGTAAAGCAAACTCACGATTCCACACTCGGACCTTCCGAGCCCCTGTGCAGTAGGTAGAGAGAAAACAACAACAACAAAAAAAACAAGCTTAAAGCATTAAGATAAGCATTGTCAAGTCAGAACTTTTCAAACACCCTCCCTTATTAATAAAAACTGTCATAGTTTGCCAAAACCGGTGTGGCTCAATGGATAGAGCGTCGGCTTGGGGACTGAAAGGTCCCAGGTTCGATTCCGGTCAAGGGCATGTACCTTGGTTGCGGGCATATCACCAGTAGGGGGTGTGCAAGAGGCAGCTGATCGATGACTCTCTCTCATTGATGTTTCTAGCTCTCTATCTCTCTCCCTTCCTCTCTGTACAAAATCAATAAAAATATATTTTTTTAAAAAAAACTGTCATAGTTTTATTACAATCTAAACAATTAATCTTGGTAAAAACTTGTGTCCAACACACAGGAGGCTGGATAAAATAGCCTCAAAGAACTCTTCTAATTCTTAGTTCTATATTTGTTAACATCTAAAGTATATCTTTATGTAATAAAACTCTCAACGACAAAGAAAAAATTGCCCTGGCCACTAGTCTGGCTCAGTTGGCTGGGCGGCATCCCAGGTAAGACAATGTTGCCAGCTGGGTTCTCACACACCAAAAGGGTGCCTGGGTTGTGGGCTCATTCCCCAGTGGAGATTGAGTAGCAAGCAGCAGATCAATGTTTCACTTTCACATTGATGTTTCTCTCTCTCTCTCTCTCTCCTTTCCTCTCTCTCTAAGAATCAATTTTTTAAAAATCTTTAAAATGCTGAGTATCACATAAAAAAAGAGAGAGAATAAACTTTTCTGAACTTAATAAGATAAACTTCTAGTTTGTTTAACTGCAATTAATTTCCGTACCTGTCTCTGGGCAAACAACACTCACGGCAAAAAACTGTCCATCACCACGCCAGGTGATTTGTGGCTTCTGGTCATCCCAGGGCAAAGCAGACTCAATCTAAAGAGATAAGAAAAGACAAATGTCACTGAGGGCCTTCAATAGCCCAGAATCAAACAAGCCTCAGGCCATTACATGTCAATCTTTCATTCGCTATTAAGCTACCTAGAAAAAAAAACAACTTCACAGAAACCTCAGGATCTCTTCTAATAAAAGGACCCTTAGAGGCAGAAATCATCAATAGAAGAGAAAAGAACTTCTAACAAAACAAAATTCTTCTTGGAGCATTTAAAAAAAATAGCCTTCAAGCAACAGGAAAAAAGCTACAGATTGAGATATTAATATGAGTTGAGGAATCTATCAGGTAACTTTGACAAGAAAATAAATGTTGTTTGTCTAAATATAAATAGAAATTTGTTGTGTAAGCTTCACAGCAGTGCACAGAAGAGCCGAGCCAGAGGTAATCAAGGCAGCAGCAATGATGAAAACGGTCCAGTGCCACTTGCATCTCAATCCTGAAGGCCTCCAAGACAGAAACCAACTTTTCGGGATTGGGGACAACTCCGCCTGAAAAGCCATCATCCATTCCTCTGACAGGTTAAATCAAAATGGTGCCACAGTCTGCACCCCAGGAAATACACTGGCAGCTTAACCAGATTCATTCTAGGCGAAATGAAACCATGGTATAGAACACAAACTTCCTAAGGTGCAGGGTTAAAAGATGAAATACGATTCAAAATGCAGCTAGAAATAATGAAAGAAAAAACGGTACATGGTAGGCAGTGTATTACTGACTCATCTACACTAACGAAAGAGTAAGATGCAAATTGACCGTACCTTCATGACGCCCACCAGCCAATCACAAGTATGCAAATTAACCCAACAAAGATGGCAGGTTAATTTGCATACATAGGCACTGAGCACCCTAGCCGCTCCAGGCCTCTGGACAGTGTGGGAAGGTAGAAAGGCCGCTCCCGGCCTGAGCGAAGGCAATACTGGCAGCCAGGGGAAGGAAGGCCCATTGTTGCACAAATCTTTGTGCATCGGGTCTCTGGTTTATACTATAAGAGCAGTTCATGGAAATTTCTACATATAATATACACACAATGCTTTCATTTGCTCAGGCCCCAAATCATCTTCAATTCCACTTTCTCACACCCCACACCTGATCTATTATTAATAAATCCTGTAGCTCTACCTTCAAAATACATCCACAATGAAGGAAAGTAAGTTTCATCCAAAAAGAAAAATCAGGAAAAAATATCTGATATCTCCATATGTAGTTAAGTATAAAAACAGTTCTACATATTAGGAAGAGATACACAGTGTTTTATTTCTACCTGTGATTTATTTTTTACACTGAATATTTGTTATAATTATTCCATATGCTGAAAAATAAAAAAGATAAAGCCAATGGCAATAAAAAAGAAAGAAGGATCTTCCTAGGATGACTCATTCCCTGATGTTTTCTGAAGTGTCAGCTTTATAAAGCATAAGACATCTGTCCCTTATTAGCTTCTAAGTGTCTTTATCCATCAGATCAACCTTACCATTTGCACCTGAAAGGCCGCTTGCCTGCCTTCTGATCCGTGGAACTGGGTCTCCTTCCTGCCCCATCCAACTGTGATAAACTTGTCTAGAGAACAAATGATTGAGAACATGCAAGACAACCAGTGAGCTAAATAAAATTCAATAAGAGCTGTTTCATTGCTAGTTTCCAAGAAGTTAGGGTCTGGTAATTACTTGGATGCTCCGAGACCTCTCAATAAATGGACCAGCAGTCAACATTATGAAAAAGGTGGGATTAGCTAGACCCAGGGTACTTTCCCATGCAAAGGTTTGCTGGTTACCATTTATCTCTATGACTGTCCTCAAAGCTGAATGCCCAGAGACCCATCCTGGATCCCGTACTCTTTCAGGACCACACCTGCTCCCTGAGCAAGTTCATCTACTCCCCAGGTTGTAAAGACTCCTACATGCCAATGACTTGGCCCCTTATATTTGCCTCCTTCACATAGTGATACCAGGTAGCCCTGAAACAAACCAAAAACATAACTCACCACCGACCCCTTACAGTCCAGCACTTCCCACCTTTCCTCTCAAATCCTGGCACCTTTACTCCCACCACCTGAGCTTCAGGCTGGAGTCCCATTAAACTTTCCTCTTCACCTTACATACCCAAAGCCTACTATAGTACTTCCTAAACCTGTATTTCTCTAACTGGCTAGGACAGGAGAGGAACCATGCACACATATTCCAAAATAGTTGCTCAGATAATTCCAAAAAATGTACTCCCATCCTCATTGAGAATCAATTTTTTCCTGAATTTATTACCTCTTTTGGGCCCCATACACATCTTCTTTATCCCTCACCTATATTCCTCTGGCAACCTCTTACTAGGTCACCCTTACTCTTCCCTCTGTACCAATCACTCAATCTTTTATCATCAAAACCTTTAATGGCTGATCACCTATAACTCAACATCCAAATTCCCTTCCTACCAAACGTAATCAAAACCCATCCTTATTATTTCATTCCACATTCACATCCTTGCAACCATCAATGCTTAAGTATTCACAGTTGTCTGAAAAAGTTATGATGTGTAAAAGGCTTCTGGGAAACATTTTGCCTTGGAATGAGTTTATTCACTTGTTTGAATCACTTCTCTACCCTCTACCCTCATTTACCCAAGACCCATGGTCGGCAAACTGTGGCTCACGAGCCACATGTGACTCTTTGTACCCTCAAGTGTGGCTCTTCCACAAAATATCACGGCCTGGGAGAGTCTATTTTGAAGAAGTGGTGTTAGAAGAAGTTTAAGTTTAAAAAATGTGGCTCTCAAGAAATTTCAATCGTCGTACTGCTGATATTTGGCTCTGTTGACTGAGTTTGCCAACCACTGCCCAAGACCAATTCAGCCAAGATTCAGCTGAGGAAGCCACATCTGAGAAGCCTTCCCTCTCCATTACTCCCTTCCTCCCCTTATGCTACCCTAATACCTGCACATCAAGTCATCTGTGAATTAATGGGACTCCTTAAAAGAAAAGCCAAATTCTCTACAGCTGCTGGGTTCATACCAACCCCAAAATTATTACTGAACAAATAAATTACTATAAATGAAAAAACGAACAGCCTTTTTCTAAATGATTTTTTAGAGTTGGTGGAATAAGGAGACATGAAATTAGACCTCAGCAAAAGTTAAAAATCTGTCTTGTTTTCTCCCCAAAGTTGTACCCCAGAAATGGCCTCCTCATTCTCAGAGGCGAGGAACCTTTTTTCTGCCAAGGGCCATTTGGATTTTTATAACATCATCTGAGGGCCATACAAAATGATCAACTTTAACAATTAGCTTGCTATATTTGGTCAAACATTTAATTAACTCATCCCTAATGTGTTGGCAGGGCCAGGCCAAATGATTTCGCAACCTTATACAGCCTCTGTCTAGCCAGTGTAGCCCCTTTCCTGGGTTATCAAGAAGACCCTAAGCATAGTTTTCTATTCCCCACGTTATTGACAAAGCTAACTCTCAGACTGGGAGAGGCTCTGAAGTATGCCTTTCAAGATCGGGAGTGTATCAAAGGAACTGGGCGATCAAACACTTAATGAACTGTAGTTCAAACATCCTTTGAGTTATGGCACGGAGATTAGTGCGCAAGACAATGATCAAACTTGAGTGGAACGCAGGGCACAAGACATTTCAAACAAAGCTATACTCACTTTCACCAAAATCATCCTGATGGATCTGATGTTCCATGATCGGTTCAAAGTCTTTTGTCATCATAATCAGAGTCTGTTGACCTTGAAGGGGCACAAACAAGAATGATTTTATTTTCATACAACAAATTTGCCATTCCGTAAGTATCAATGGCACTGGAAGTGCAGAGCTGGTGTGAAGGAGTTTATAGACAGAACAAGACAGAGAGAATTCATTCAATCTAAGTGTTTGACTTTCATAAACACAAAGAGCTTCTGACGTGGTGCTTATTCTCAGCTATTTATGTTGTAAGGCTAACATAAAAGTTCTCTCTAAATTATAACACTGGTATGACTGTTAAAGGAAAAATTTGAAAACTACACAGCTTAACCCTGTGAGATATTAGGAGCCATGTTTGATAAAAGTCAGATGAAATCAAAGACAAGTTTACCTGTAGCAAGAAGCACCAGCTCTTGGTCAGGACTCCAACTCATGACTGCGATACCACTGGCTACACTCCCTACACATTCCAGCTGAGACAGACAGAAAAAATAAGAGATTAAAACCCCACTGTCTCAGTGAAAATTTACCACAACCATAATCAAAATAATTAAAAACAAAACAACCATGAATTTACTCAACAAACATTTATTCAGTATCAGGTATTGAGAGACTAGGCATCCACAGGAAGTGGATGTGACTATGGACACGCCATTCCTCCCAGAGTTATCTCACAAAAGAGATGAAAAGATGACTCTACAGTAGGATTAGAGATATCATTGAGGTTTCTGGGAATTAAGTTAAGGCTCAGAGCAGGAAATCACTAGTGGCCCAGGAATTCAGGAAAGCTTTTCTGGAAAGGTACCTTGAAGGGTGATAATAGGGTTAGGAAAAAGACATCAGGGGGAAATGCAATATTGAGGCACAAAATAAAAAAAATTAAAAAAAAAAAGGAGCAGTTAAATAACAGCTGCAAGTAGAGTATAAGGCATGTGTGAACGCGCGCGCGCACACACACACACACACACACACACACACACACACACACACACACAGAGGAATGATGGGGGAAGGGAGAAGCTAAAAGGAATTTGGGGAACACATAGTGAAAGATCCTATAAGGTACAGTAAGAAAATGGATTCTGTCTTGCATACACTGAAAAGCCACAAATAGGGAGGATTAAAACCATTTGATTATATTAATGGACAGGAGGGAGCTCAGTAATCAGGAAAAATTGCTACAGAAAATTTTGAAAATAAAAATACCTTTTAAATATGAGAAATACTATGTAAGTTGTACTTGATGTCTTTGATATTTCTTACCATAAACTGAAAGATTTATTACTGCACTAAATGCAATGATTAAAAGCAACAGAATCAGATTTAGACAGCCAAGTTTTCATATCCCCTCTGAAAACGATGACTTTGGCCTAGTTACTTGAGCTCTCTGAGCCTCAATTTCCTCTAATTTTAAAGAATCAGAAAACTATCTCATAAGATTGTATATTAAATAGATTATGATTGAAAAGCACTTGACAAAGTGCCTGGCACATTATAAACATTGAATAAATGTCTGCTACTACTATCATTGTATTATAGTAATACTGCAAGTCTCATTGCACAATCAATGTTAAAGAGATCACACTCATATTGTAATCAAAGAAGTTTAAAAAGACTTAGACTATTTTAGGGTGAAACCCTTGCTGTTAAAAAGGTAAAGAGAGAAATCCAGAAAGTCAACCTTATGCTAGAGTAGAGAAAGAGGCTAACGGTTGAAATCTATCTCCTTTGGCAATCATAAATATTTCAAAGACTTTCTAATTGAGAAATATAAATTACAACCCAGGATCAGATTTTGATAAGAGGTGAACTACACCACACAAGCATGGCCAGGGTGCTTTTGTTTTTTTTCCAGGTTGTAATTGTTCTGATTAACAAACGCAGTAGACAAAACTGAGTTTTAGAAGAATCCTGAAATATAGCTGAAGCCAATAATTTTTTGTAAAGAAATATATATTGCAATGACTGTAATTCTGCTACTTGTAAAATGCTTAATTAGTACATCGCCTGAACATTTAAACTTCTATGCAAAACAAGGACCTGTTGGAGGACACGTGAGACTTCCTCTACACTGCCTCTTGCACTTACCTGGAGCGTGCTGAGATTGCACAGTATGACATCTCCAGACGCCGTGGCCAGGCACACAGACTCCTGATCCAGCAAGTCCTGAATACCAACAATGCGGCCACTTCCATCCTCTGGGAGAAAGCCTTCTGCCACTAAAGAAATTTCGTTTCTCACCTTCCATTCAAAACAAACACATAAGCAAATTAAGCCCATATACTTACAAGAACAATTGACAACATTTCCAGAAATAAAATGCTTTTTAGTGCTTCATTTATAATATAAAAACTTTCAAAGAAATTTTTTATATATAAAAATAAAAACTTTCACTTAAGGACTCTCATAACCCTACCTATCTTTAATAAGAAAAATAGTTTATGCAACATTTTTGATAAGCAGACATAAAATAAAAGCAAAAAGCCTGGTCTCTTAAAAAATATCCAATAAAACATGAAGTTAAAAACTATTGCTTTATTTTTTTTTCTTTCTTTTTCTGACTATGGTTTCCTGAGATTTCTATCGATGGAGGGAGGGGACTAAGAATGTAATCACCTAAAATACATTAGTAGCAAAATATAAGGGAAGATATTAAAATCAATCCAAATAGCTTTTAAATATATACAGGGGTAGGCAAAAGTAGGTTTATAAGTGAGTACATGACACAGCTTATCCTTTTTTAAAAATTTTTTTATTGTTGAGGATATTACAGATATCCCACCATTTCCCCCATCCGCCTGGCTCCCACCCCACCCCACCCCACGCCTTCACCATACTATTGTCTGTATCCATAGACCTTCACCATACTATTGTTTGTATCCATAACATGTTCTTTGGTTAATCTCGTACCACTTCTCTCCCCATTCCTTCCCTCTGAGATCTGCTAGTCTGTTCCATGCTTCCATGTCTCTGGACCTATTTTTGATCAGCTTATTTTGTTCATTAGATTCCACATATAAGTGAAATTGTATGATATTTGTCTCTTTCTGATTGGCTCATTTCACGTGGCATAATAATCTCCAGGTTCCTCGATGCTGTCACGAAGGGTAAAAGATCATTCTTTTTGTACAGCTGCATACTATTCCATTGTGTAAATGTACAATGGCATTTTTATCCTTTCACCTACTGATGGGCACTTGGGCTGTTTCTACATCTTAGCTATTGTAAATAACGTTGCTATGAACACATGGGTGCATATATTGTTTCTGATTGGTGTTTGGGGATTCTTAAAATATATTCCCAGAAGTGAGATCACTGGGTCTAACGGCAGTTACACTTTTAATATTTTGAGGATTCTCCATACTGTTTTCCATAGTGCCTGTACCAGTCTGCATTTCCACTAACAGTGTACTAGGATTCCCTTTTCCCTAAATCTTTGCCAGAACTGGCTGATTTTTTTATGGTAACCATCCTGTCAGGTGCGAGATGGCACCTCGCTGTCATTTTCATTTGCATCTCTCTGATGATAGTGACATGAGCATTTTTTCCTGTCTCTGAATCAACTGTATATCCCTTTTACAAAAGTGTCTATTCAGGTCTTTTGCCCATTTTTAAATTGTATTGTCTTCCTTTTTTTGTATAAGGTCTTCCCCTCCCCCCCCCCCCCAGAGGACACACTATATTTTTAGATATTGTTCTCCGTTTTTAAAAGATATATTTTATTGATTTTTTACAGAGGAAGGAAAAGGGTTACAAAGCTAGAAACATCCGATGATGAGAGAGAATCATTGATCAGCCGCCTCCTGCACACCCGTAACAGGGGATGTGCCTGTAACCAAAGTACATGCCCTTGACCGGAATCGAACCTTAGACCCTTCAGTTTGCAGGCCAATCCTATATCCACTGAGCCAAACCGGTTTCAGCTTTTGTATAAGGTCTTTATATATTTTGGAAATTAACTCACCAGATGTAACACTGGCAAATATGTTCTCCATTTTCATTTTGTGATATCTCTGCTGTGTAGAAACTTTTTGGGTTGATATAGTCCAATTTGCTTATTTTCCCTCCATTTCTTTGCCCTAGGAGATGTATCAGCAAAAATTCTGCTACTTGAGATGTCTGAATTTGATGCTTCTAGTTTTTTCTGGGATTTTTATGGTTTTTGCAATTTACATTTAAGTTCGTTATCCCTTTTGGATTCATTCTTGTGTATGGTGTAAGTTGATAATCTAGTTTCTTTCTTTCTTTTTTTTTTTTGCATGTACCTGTCAAATTTTTCCAATATCATTTATTGAATAGATTGTCTTTACTCTGTTGTATGCTCTTGCCTACTCTATCAAGTATTAACCATACTGGCATGAGCCAATTTCTAGGGTCTCTGCTCTGTTCCACTGCTCTATATGCATATTCTTGTGCCAGTACCAGGCTGCTTTTATTGCAATGGCTTTGTAGTATATTTTGTAATCTGATACTGTGATCCCTCCAACTTTGCTTTTCTATTTTAAGATGGCTGTGGTTACTGAAGGTCTTTTTTGGTTCTGCATAAATTTTTGGAATATATGTTCTAGATCTGTGAAATAAGTACAAGGTATTCTAATGGGGATTACATTGAATCTACAGATTGCTTTGGGTAGTATGGGCATTTTAATGATTAATTCTTCCAATACATGAAGAAGGTATATTCTTTTACTGTTTGTATTTTCTTTTTTTTTTTTTTTCAATGACCTATAGCTTACCGCGTACAGAATTTTTAGCTTTTTGGTTAAATTTTTTCCTAATTTTCTTATTTTTTTCATTGGAATGGTAAATGGTTTGTTTTGTTTTGTTTTTAGTTTCTCTTCCTGCGAGTTCTTTATTGGTATATAAAAAATGTTATCAATTTTTGGGTGTTGTTACGTACTTTGCAGAAATGTAGTTTTTTGGTAAAATCTTTAGGGTTTTCAATGTACAATATCATCTCATTTGTGAATAATAACAGTTTTACTTAGCTCCTTTCAATTTTTCTTGTCTTATTGCAGTAACTAGGACTTCCAGTATTATGTTGAAAAGGAGCAGTGAAAATAGATAAGACAACCTTGTCTTGTTCCTGTTTTTAGGGAAAATGTATTTTAGTTTTTGCTCATTGAATATTATGTTGGCTGTAGATTTGTCATATATGACCTGTATTATGTTGATATTTTGAAGCATGCTTCTTCTATTTCCACTTTGCAGTTTTTAATTAAAAAAAAAATGGGTGCTGGATTTTGTCAAATCCATTATATGAGTCTATCGATATGACCATGTGATTGTATGTAACATAACACATTTGAGTTGTGAATAATGTACATGCCTCACACCCACAGAATGAATCCCACTTGCTCATGGTGTACAATCTTTTTAACGTATTGCTAGATGTTTTACTGATATTTTGTTTAGGATTTCAGTATCTATGTTCCTCAGAGATATTGGACTCTAATTTTCTTGCTTTGTAGTGTCTCTATCTGGTTTTGGAACTAGAATAATGCTGGCCTTATAAAAAGGAGCTTATAAGCCTTCCTCCACTTTAATTTTTTAGAATACTTTGAGGATGATAGGTGTTAGTTGTTTTTTGAATGTTTGGTAAAACTCTCCTATGAAACCATCCAGGCCAAGCCTTTTGTTTGCTGAGAGGTGTTTTTTTTCTGTTTGTTTGTTTGTTTTTTTAATTGCTGCTCCAATTTCCTTAATTGTTACCAGCCTATTCAGGGTTTTCTTTTCTTTTCTTTTTTTTTTTTTTAAACCCTGAAAATTTCTTTATATATTTTTTAAAATATATTTTTATTGTTTGTTTGTTTTTTCAGAGAGGGAGGTAGAGAGCTAGAAACATCGATGAGAGAGAGCCATCGATCAGCTGCCTCCTGCACCTCCCTCACTGGGGACCTGCTGGCAACCAAGGCACACGCCCTCGACCGGAATCGAACCCGGGACCTTTCAGTCTGCAGGCCGAAAGTCTATCCACTGAGCCAAACTGGTTTCGACCTATTCAGGTTTTTTTTATTCTTCCTCATTGAGTTTTGATGTTTTTAGGAATTTGTCAATTCACCGCGGCTGTCCATTTGTTGGAATATAGGTGTTCATAGTATTTCCTTACAATACTTTATATTTCTGTGGTGTCAGTTGTTACTTCATTTCTTTCATTGCTGAGTTTATTTATTTGTGTCATCACTTTGTTTCTTGATGAGGCTGGCTAAGGTATTTATCTTTTTTATAATCTTGTTTATCATTTTGAAGAACCAGCTCTTGATTTCATTGGTCTTTTATATTGTTTATTTAGCCTCCATGAGATTTATTTCCACTCTAATCTTCATTATTCCTTTCCTTTTACTTCCTCCGGGCTTTTCTTGTTCTAAGTTGTAGGGCTAGATTGTTTATTTGAGCTTTATCTTTTAAAAAATTTTTTACTTTATTTTAGTGATTTTTTACAGAGAGGAAGGGAGAGGGATAGAGAGTTAGAGACATCAATGAGAGAGAAACATGTATTCAGCTGCCTCCTGCACAGTCCCCACTGAGATGTGTCTGCAACCAGGGTACATGTCCTTGACCAAAATCAAACCTGGGACTCTTCAGTCTGCTAACTGACACTCATCCACTAAGCCAAACCGGTTAGAGCTTGAGCTTTTTCTTGCTTCTTGAGGGGGGCCTGTAATACTATGAACTTCCCTCTCAGGTATGCTTTCACTGTGTCCCATAGACTTTGTTCATTTTCATTCATTTCCAGGACATTTTTTAATTCTTCCTTGATCACATTGGTAACCCATTTATCATTTAATAACATACTCCTTAGCCTTCATGTGTGTGAATGTTTTGGGGTGTTTTTACTATAGTTGATGTCTAGCTTCATACCATTATGATCTGAGAAGATGCTTGACATGATTTCAATTTTCTTGAACTTGTACAGACTTGTTTTGTGTCCTAACATGTGGTCTATCTTTGACAATGTTCCATATACACTTAACAATGTATATTCTGGCAGAAACCGGTTTTGATCAGCGGATAGAGCATCAGCCTGTGAACTGGGGGGGGTCCCAGATTCTATTCCAGTCAAGGGCATGTACCTTGGTTGCAGGCACATCCCTGGTGGGAGCTGTGCAGGAGGCAGCTGATTGATGTTTTTCTCTCATCGATGTTTCTGGCTCTCTATCCCTCTCCCTTCCTCTCTTATAAAAAATCAATAAAAAATATATTTAATAAATGTATATTCTGCAGCTTTGTGGTGAAATATTATGTAAATATCAATTAACTCCACCTGATCTAGTGCATTATTTAGGGTCATGACTTCCAGGGGGGGGTTTTTTTTGGTCTAGAAGAACCACCCAGTGATGTCAATGGGTTGTTAAAGTCCCCTACCAAGACTGTATTGTTGTCTATCTTCCCTTTACAGTCTCCAGTAGTTTTAAAAATATATTTAGTTGCTCCTATGTTGGGTGCACATGTTTAACAGGGTTATATCCTTTCGTTGGAATGATCCATCTAGCCTTATATAGTAACCTTCTTTGTCTCTTATGGCCTTTGTTTAAAAAAAAAATTTTTTTTTTATTGATTTCAGACAGAGAAAGGGAGAGAGGGATAGAAATATCAATGAAAGAGAATCATTGATTGGTTGTCTCCAGCACACCCCCCACTGGGGATTAAACCTGCAACCCAGCCATGTGCCCTTGACCAAAATCAAATCCAGGATCCTTTATTTCACAGGCCAACGCTCTAGCCACTGAGCCAAACTGGCTAAGGCAACAATTAACATTTTAATTATGATGTGTCTTGGTGTGGGTCTCTTTGAGTTCCTCTTTTGTTTATTTTTTAACTGCCCAGATCCCAGGCGCTCGCCACGCAACCAGCTGCTTGCCGCATGCCCTCTCGCAGCTCTTTGGGTTCCTCTTAACTGGGATTCTCTGTGTTCCCTGAAATTGTGTAACTTTTCCCTTCACCAGGTTAGGAAAGTTTTCTGTCATTATTTCTTCAAGCAAGTTCTCTATCCCTTGCCCACTTTCTTCTCTTCTGGTATCCCAACAATGCAGATGTTGTTCTGTTTCAGGTTGTCACAAAGTTCCCTTAAACTCTGCTCATGCTTTTTAAATGTTTTTTGCCTTTTGTTTCTCTGAGTGTCTTTCCACCTTAACTTCCAAAATGCTTCATCCATCCTCTTCTTCATCAATCGTGCTTTTAATTCCTCGCAGTGTGTTATTGATATTAAATAAAATATGCTTCATTTCCAATTGGTTCTTATTCATGATTTCTATAGACTTTTTCGTGCTGATGTATTTCCCACTAAGGTCCTTGTAGTTTTCACTAAGTTTCTTGGGAATCTTTGGAACTATTACTCTGAACACTATGTCTGGTAAATTGCTTACCTCCATCTCTTTTAGTCTTTTACTGGAGAGTCCTCCTTTTCTTTCATTTAGGGGTTCTTCGTCTTCCCCTTTAAGTTGTATCTTTTTGTTTGTTTCTATGTATTAAAATCCCTGCTATGATTCTGGTCTTAGCAAGGGTGGTCTTTTGTAGTAAATGTCCTGTTGGACCAATGGTGCAGACTCTCTGAATTACTGAGCTGCATGCTCTAGTAGTGACCCTTATGTGATTTGGGCTCTTCTGTTGTAATTGGGTCTTGACCGTTGTTTGCCCATTCATTGGTGAGATGTCCTCTCAGGCTGGATAACTGTTATGCTCAAGCCTGACAATGCCATGCAGGTGCTGACAGAACAAAACAAAACAAAACATACAAAAGAACCCTACAACAACAGCAAAAACAACTCCAAAAGAAGAGGGAATTAGGAAAAAGAAAAGACAACAAGAATAATAAACAAAAATGATACTACTACTACTAATAAAATAAAAATTAAAGAATACTAGAAAAGAGAAGAAAAAGGGAAAGAAAAAAGGGGGAATATTCATGCAATATAGCCAGCCACTGATGCTTCCTGAGATTGCTGCCTCCTGAGCTGTATCCCAAGGGGTACGGTAATTGCCTTTTCCTAAGTTTTTGTATAGGGAGGGGCTTGCGCATCTCAGGAGAAATACTGCTGTAATATGGGAGAATAGGGGTGGACAGCACAGGTATCATGGCAACTGTCCTTCCTGCCCCGCTGTCTCTCCTCAGGCAACTCCAGTATGCACCTCCCACTCCAACAAAACTTGGGCACGGAATTCCTGAGCTCTGGCGGTCTGAAAAAAGTGGCTTTGCCTCCAGCGGCTCTGCTTCCTGGGTGATATAAGCCAGGCGCTGGTTGCTATGTGGGTGGCTGTTGCCAAGCTGCTCAGCGCTCTGACTGTTAGAAGCTCTACCTCTGGTTGTTGTGTGGGCAGCTACTGCCCAGTGGCTCAACTGTCTGGCTGTCCTAGACTCTCTCCCAGGGAACCCTCCTCACCCTTGGCCCGTGGCTCCTGAAAGCTCAGCCAAAGGCCGCTCTAGACCCTGCCCTTCCTACAAGTCTAGAGGCGGTTTCTGGCCTTCCTTGTTTAAAAGTCTCCCTCTTGTGTGCATGTATATGGGGCTGGCCAGTGGCCATGGACAACGGGGTGTGTGTGTGTGTGTGTGTGTGTGTGTGTGTGTGTGTGTTTGAGGGCATATGTAGGGAGGTACTTGGGATGGGATTGGGGGGATGAGGACAATTATGTGATACCATAATCAATAAATAAAATGGGGGGGGGGATAAAAAAAAATAAAAGTCTCTTCCCTCAGTCTAAAGCAGGTATGTCAGGGTGAGTATTTCCCACTTTAGTATTAATTCCGGTTAGATCCTGGGAAAAGGTAGGAGAAAGATCCTCCTACTCCTCCACCATCTTTCTTCCATCCAGAGTTTATTCTTGTGTTACTATTTATTAATTATATTATTTTCCACATAAACAACCATTAACCTACTTTTGACCCATCATATACAAATATAAAAATATAAATATAAATATATATATACATATACATATATATATATTGTATGCACTCAAGATCCTGGAGTAGATTCTGATTTAATTGGTATAAGATGGAGGCTGAAACAAATGGCAATTTCCAGTTTCCAGTTGAAAACCACTGTTACAAAAAGTACAAGGTAGAAAGGGTAAAAAGTAGGGTACCCACATAAAACAGGAGGTCAGAGTTTTGCCAACTCACATTTAAAACAGTAGCAAAATAAAAGGTAGGTCACTAAATTACAGCTAATATGACATCACTGTAAAACAAAGGGAGTTCTCACTTAGGAGTATAAAAAATCAGTACGATTTAAAGACTATCTGGAGGAAGCAAGTTTGGAAAAAAACAAGTCAGTGCTCATGCCAAATGCTTGCATTCTCAATCAGCAACTCACTTCTCTTGTGACAGGGTCCACTTCTATCAGTCCGTGTTCTGAGCCAATGAGCACTGTGCTCCGCTCAGTTCGGAAAGAGAAGCACTGAGGTGTCCCCGGAGCCTGAATATCCCTGAACTCCAAGGTCCGAAGTAACTTCAGATTTCTCATGGTGAAGCAATTCCTGAAAGAAAAGTACAAATATCCATTGATAAAACACTTCTAATACAAAAATATTTAACATCAGTTAGTCCTCTGTAAATTTGAAAGAAGAAAATGAAAGGGAAAACATTTTATTTTTTTAATATAAGGATAACTTATAACCCAATAGATTTATAAAATCATGTAAAATACATATAAATATTTGAAGAAAATCTGGAATGAAATTCCTTTAATATCACTAAATACATTTATTTATAAGCTGGAATATACTTCCATTAAAAAAGTTAAAATTCAAATCAAAAGTGGAAGTAAATGTAAGTACATACTGTTCTAAGAGGGAAAATAAAAACGGTAAGATTATTAACAGTTCATTTCAAAATGATAACCAATGTTTGTTTAATGAATTTATATAATTACTTCATGTAATTCAACTTTCCTGGCCTGGTTTTTACCAGTGCAAGAGTAAGGAGAGAAAAGAATGATAAATAGGAAACCTACTTCAATCTGGCAAAATCAGACTTGCTTTAATGTATATTATCTAAGTGAGAGAAAAACAAATATTAATGTGCTGGGTATTTACATTCTGATCCCTCAAAGGTTTATAACTGGAAATCCCTAAGTTATGTTAGGAGTGGCAATTACACAAACCACAATGGCCTAAAGCTATCATATTCTAAAATAAATCCTCTTATCTTGGCATTTCATCCATATGACATTGAAAAAGATGAGGTAATCCTCCTACACAGCAGATACTGTTAAGTGTAATATGAAGGATATAATCTAAAATGTGGTTTAAGAGAAAGGCAAAACCATGTATGGTGGAAGGAAGAAAAAAAAAATCAAGGTAAACAATGGTTTTATAAGCTTAGGTAATGTTTATATTCAAGAACTTCTAGAAATTATTTGAACCTGTATTATACCATAAAGGTTTAATTCTACACAGAAAGTTTAGACTTTCCAAAGTATATAAAAATTACATCCTTGATCTTTCTTTAAACATTGGGATGACCACTGGTATATATCTGAAAGGACTGGTAGATTTGAGATGAGAGACTGCCTGGCAGGTCTGACTAGAGGGGATTAAACAGGTGATACAGTACCAAGATGTGAGGACAGACAAGAAGGGGACCAGATGTGTAGTTTCCGGGCTCTTTTGTTCTAGTTCACCTAATAATAATAAATATTTTTACTGTTGCCATAGTCAGATCATCAAAATATATTCATATCCCTCCCCGTGACTAGTCACCAATAACCTGTGGAGCCCCGAGGTCCATGTACCGAAGAGTAAGAATCTGGAGGGTAAAGGCAGCAAGAGCTGAGAGGAACTCACTATTTCCTGTTAGCTTACTGTTCCCATCCCTGCTGCCCCAGCAATGGGCTTTCATCCTTGCAGGGGCCTTTGATCCCAGGCTTTAGTATTCCCATGACCAGCCTCATCTCCCCATCCCTAGAGGTACCAGCAATAGCCATGCCCCTTCCAGGTGTCTGAAATCCAGCCACAGGAGGGCTCCTCCTCTGAATTCCAGAAGTCTGAGTCCTTGCTTTATGAATGCCTCTGCTCCACGTTTAGGCCATGATAATCCCCAAGGATTCCCTTGTTTGGATCCCCAGCCCTAGCCAAGTGTTGTAGCTAGTTCCTCCAATAGCTATTTAACCAGTTCTTCATATTAAATTCTGTTCAAATAATAATGTGATTCCTGCTTTTCCAACTGGACCCCGGCTGACAAATACAACCAACAACAGGGAGTTCTCAAATCACTGAGCTTCCAGAATCACCTGCCAAGGTGCGCTCATCATTCATCTCCCCACCCCCCAACTCTCCCCAACTCAAAAAGAACTTCTCTGAATGTTCACACCCATCATCCTTACTCCCTTATCTTCTCCAAGTTTCCCCACAACTTGCAAGGACAGCAAAGGAGTATCTTCCAAACTCCCCGGGACCTCAACTTATTTATTAGTGCCCTTTCTCTTACATGTGCAATCTCCAACTCCTAGCCCTCAATGATTCAACTTTTTTGTAGTTGAGAACTCTCTACACTAGAGATCAATCCTGATCTCCAAAATATCTGACAACTCCATTTTCTTCCCTTGCTCTTCTATACATCTCTTAGCTAATTTATGAAGCCCCTGATTACAAGTACCAGGCAGATCACTAATATGCTGCGGAGATGGAAACGTCTAGCCCTGACCCTAAATTGGATACTAAACCCACATTTTCAACCTCCTGATGTTACTACAAGAATGTCTCACAACCACATCAATGCAACCTGGAAAATGAAGGAAGTACTTGCTCTTTCCCCACCACATGTTTTCCCTATTTAGGGACATGGCATTTCTACTCTCTCTTCTTCCCCAACTTGAAAACTGCCTACTTTCTGCTCCCACTTTTCATTCTAAACTATCCACTGGTTACCACCGTGGCCGTCAGTATACAGCTGGAATCCTTTATACAGTAAGTACCCAGTCAATCCCAAGAACTGGTGGTGTGACCTACATGACACACAGAAAGCGTCCTGGCCGTGTGGCTCAGTAGTAGAGCTTGGGCCTGCAAGACGAAGGATCGAGGTTCCTTTTCCAGTCAAGGGCTTGTACCTGGGTGCAGGTTCGCTCCTGCACCTGGCTGGGGGGCATGCTGGAGGCAACCAATCAATGTGTCTCTCTCACATAGATGTTTTTCTCTCTGTTTCTCTCTCTTACCCTCCCCCTCTCTAAAAATCAATGGAAAAAAGTATTTTCCGGTGACGTCTAAAAGCAAACCATGGAATGAGAACTTGGTAAGTGCTCCAATCTGAAAGACAAGGAATGATTCCGTCACTGCCTCCAGGAGGCCACAGCTTAACGGTATAGAGGGCCATGAGATGGAGAAGCACAGGGGACATCACGAAAAAGTCCCATTCGCGAGAAGGGACCCGCCACCGTATCTGAACTTCTAATAACCATCGCCTTCTATCGCGCATTCACTGATTCGCTCTCGGCGGTACTGCCCACTCCTGCAAGGAATCCGCAGGCTGGACAAAGCGTGCGGCCGGGGAGCAGGGCCCTCCCCCTTGCCCAGGGCCGCAGGTGGAGGCAAACCTGCAGAAAGAGAATTTCAGGCTCGAGGGACGCCTGGGCCTGCACCAGGCAGAGGTGCGCGCTGGGCGTTCCCGGCATCAGGACCTGGCGGACCACGCCGGGCCGCGAGCCCCGGCCCCGGGAGTCCCTGGAACGCTCACCTGGTGCCGCGCTCACTCCCAAACAACGGGGCGTCCCTCGCCTCCGGGGCCACGCGCGGCCGCCTCCCGGGGTCCGCCTGGGGCCGCGCACGCGCCTCTCCGACCGCGGCTCCGAGCTCTCGCGGGCGCACTGGGCCTCCGGGCCACTGGGCCCCCGGATCCCCGAGGTAGTGAGTGGCTGAAGCCGGCGCCGAGGCAGCCGAAGGGACAACGACTTGCAAGCGAAGCAGGCCGGACCCAGGCGGAGCGGCGCGGGGAAGACGTCACTCGTCTGGGGGGGGCGTGGCCGGCCTTTTCCGCCCGCGGCCCCAGACAGACGGAGGAATGCTATTGTAGTCGATCCTCACGTTGACGTCTACCCCAAAGCCCCAATGGGTGGCGTCGGTGGGCGGGGCCTGCAGGCCAGTGTTGCAGTGCGCACGCGCACGCCACGGGCCGCTCGCCGGAAGGACCGCCTCCTCCTCCGGGCCAGCATGGAGGAAGTGCTCGGGTCTTCGGGGGCGGAGGGAGCGGTGCCCCAGGTCGCCATGGCTACCGAGCCGGTGGCCGTGGGGCCCGCGGTGCCGTCACTGGTGGATCGTTACTTCACTCGCTGGTACAAGGCGGGTAAGTGGGGATGATGTCTATCTCTCCTGAGCTCTAGGGGCCTGATGCAGTAGGGACTGGGGGGACAGCCACGCGCGCTCTCTCTGGCATTTCAGCCCTACGATGGAAGGAATCTAACAATTGTGTGTGTGTGTGTGTGTGTGTGTGTGTGTGCGCGCGCGTGTGTGTGTATTGCTTTGTTTAGGCAGGAGGGAATGGGTATTTGCAAAGGCTGAAATGCCAGCAGAGCGCATTCTGGGCCTGGCAAGCGCTGTGCGAATTCCTGGGTGGGTTGCTGGCGAGAGGATGGTTGTCTAAGGTGAGGTTGGCAGGGGCTGGATGGCCATCTCCTCGGGTGCCTGAAGGGTTAGAGCGGCAAACCCTATAGGGAGTGGCCATACAGAAAATGGCTTAAATGATCTGGTCGGAACCAAGGTAAAGACTGTAGAGATGGGGAGAAGGTGGGTTAGAATAGAGACATTTAGAAAACAGAATCTAACCATTTTGTGTATTGCCTTTTTTTTTTTTTTTTTGAGTGGGTTTATTAAAGTTGGGGACAAGGAAATAAGGAAGGGCTTAGGATAAAAGCGACAGGAAAGAGAATAGGCGGGGCTGCTTTGGCTCTCTGGAAACCTGACTGGAGAGAAGTGAGGGTGCTGTCAGCTCCCTGGGTCAGAGAAAACAGGGCTTTGGGAGCAGGTCCAGGGGTTAGCTTGGGATGAGCTGCCACTGCCCATTGCTCCCCTGGTTGCAAGTTTCCTGATGTTCCTTAGAGTTTTGATCAGGTCTATGGGGGAGGGGATAGCAAACCAGAATCCAAGTTTTACTAAAAGAGAAGCCGCGGGCATTCTATACATCTGCCACTTAGTCATTGGGTATTTTGTTGTTTGCGTATGCAGTGCATATGGTGGTGGAAACATCGTTGGGTTCCTTGTTCTAGCCCCATACTTGCTCCATTGCATTCAGGAATAACAGGTGTACTCATTTTTAAAAATACTGTAACATAGGTGTTATTAGCCAAATTTTGGATGACTAACTGTCCCTGTTTACCAATGACTGAGGGATTTTCCGGAATCCGAGACATTCAGCATTAACATCAGGACCTAGGCAAACCAGGAGTTGGTCCCTCTAAAACATACTGTATTGTATAAAAAATGCATTGCTGGTCTCATTTTTCTAATAGAAATAATGTGTACTCATTTTAAAGCGAGGATAAAGCAAGATGGAGCAAAGAGTCATCACTTAAATGATGAATGAATGACTCCATCTGGGCCACATCTCTACTTTATAGCAAGCCTTTTTTTAGGTATATCTTTTCAAGTAATGAAAGGATACAAGTGATTGTATGTGTACAATCTTCATAATTTACTATCTCTGTGAACCAAAGAAGTGCTATACAGTAAGTAGTAAATATTGACTCCACAACCTCCTGACCTGTTCATTCTTCTAGATGTCAAAGGAAAACCCTGTGAGGACCACTGTATACTACAGCACTCTAACCGGTAAGCAAATTGGGAATTTTAAATTAAAAAAAATTTTCTTTTTTCTGGTATAGTAGTCTGGTATGGCGTTGGATTGAACTAATGTTCAATAAATGATCATTTTTCACTGTGTTGAAATAGTATGATTTATGATAGGAGTTAGGTTGACAAGAAGGAGCCTTTCGGTGCCTACTCACATTAAACAAATGTGATCATTCAAATGGACCACCATGCCCTCAGTCAGTTATTAAGGCCTGATGTAACCAGCCTTTGCTTAATCATTGAATTGCCAGAGCCCCTGGAGAAGGCTATGGTGGAGGTCTAGGTGATATCCTGTATACATTGAGTAGCCAGATTATTATGATCTCTGAAGTGTGCCTGTGTGTGTGTGTGTATGTGCATGAATTCATGCATGGGTGGGGTGTGGCCAGGGGGCCAGAAGGAGGGGACATGGGCGATTGGCCGGCCTACCTGCTGGTCAAACTCCTGGTCGAGGGGACAATTTGAATATTAGCCTTTTATTATTTGGATATACACTGAGTGGCCTGATTATTTATTATGTGTTCAGAGATCATAATAATCTGGCCACTCAGTGTATATGGGCATGCCTGACTATTCTCTCTTCTGCCTCAGTGCTACCTGAAGACCCATATTCTTCTCTTCTCTGGGAAGTATATAAAACCCCATTTTCTCCCATTTTATTATTGCATTCCTTTCTACAGAAACCAGAGGAAAATGAGGGAAATGATAGTTTGACTAAACAAATGTCAGTTCAGATAATCTTTGGTCAGGAGGAATACTTTGTTATATGAGGAAAAATTATATCAAGCAGTAATCAGGACCAATTTTTGCTCCTTATAGAATATGTGTCATCACATTGGCAGAATCTCATCCAGTTCTTCAAAGTGGAAAAACAATTAAAAGCATTTCCTATCAAATCAGTACCAACTGTAGCAGACTTCAGAACAAGGTCTCTGGGAAATTTAAACGGGTATGTTCCTATAATTCTCCACTTAAATCCTCTCCTTCATAGTAAAGATAGATCCACTCAGTCTTAGAATCCAGTGATGTATGCTCAGCATCCTTCCTTGGCAGTTTGAGATTGCTGATCTTAAGAAAACATTGACCCTAGAGAAATTCTCAGACCAAAAAAATGAGGTATTTCAAGAGGTATAGGGTCTGTCATTTCAGGTTCTATGTCACCACCTGTCACCCCCAGGATGAAGGGGAAGGTGGGCTTTTGAAAGGACAATGTGAATACCACTATAATGAGATACTTTGTCCCTCCCAGTTTTGTTAAACCAGCTTTTGAGCTCTGTAAAATTTAGGTGACCAACTCTACACCACACATTTCCACAAGTAACTTAAAAAACAATAAGAACATTTCCTGAGGTGTGAGGGGAAAAAAGCAATTGTGTGTTTTTTAAAATATATTTTATTAATTTTTTACAGAGAAGAAAGGAGAGGGACAGAGAGCTAGAAACATCGATGAGAGAGAAGCATCTACCAGCCGCCTCCTGCACACCTTCCACTGGGGATGGTCCGCAACCAATGCACATGCCTCTGACCGGAACCGAACCCAGAACCCTTCAGTCAGCAGGCTGACACTCTATCCACTGAGCCAAACCGATTTCGGTAAAAAAAAGCAATCTTAAAAAATATATAGTATTTGCACCTTAGCATTTTCCATTGCCTATTTCATACACATATAGCCACCCCCTCTACTTCCACATAACACTCGGTTGTACAAAATGCTATCTCTACCCTCTACAACCCGAGGTAGGATGAGCACGTTAAAGGAGAGGATCTCTTTTAGTAGATCTATCACAGAGGATGACTTAGGTCCTTCATGTACTGAGTGCGTACTAACAATTTCTGCCAATAACCCTCACTGTGCCAGGAGACCCTTGTTTATACTCCCCTTTGTTGGCCTGAAATCCCCTAACGACGTGGCTTATGAGTATTGATATTTTCCTCACCTCGGGAAACATGCACTTAGAAAAGCACGGGCCATTCCTAAAAAGACAAAATCTGCAAATTACAAGTAAAAACACTTAGTACTTGTAAAAGTCCTGTGATAAATCTTTACCCAAAATAGAAACACTGTTGTTACTACTGAAGAACAGAGAGAGAACAAATAGAACCCACTGCAGATAAGTTTTAATTAGATCTCAGCACTGCCTGTCATTTAGTCTTCCAAGGGAGGTGATAAAAAGGAGTCAAAACACTCTGCTCTTTTGACATAGTCCCAGTGGTAGACAAGCCCTCTGGAATGAGTACCTCACCCTTCTAAAGGTGGGGAATCCTGCCGAAACCGGTTTGGCTCAGTGGATAGAGCATCGGCTTGCGGACTGAAAGGTCTTGGGTTCGATTCCGGTCAAGAGCATGTACCTTGGTTGCAGGCACATCCCCAGTAGGGGGTGTGCAAGAAGCAGCTGATTGATGATTCTCTCTCATTGATGTTTCTAACTCTCTATCCCTCTCTCTTCCTCTCTGTAAAAAATTAATAAAATATATTTTAAAGGCAGGGAGTCCCATGGACTAGTATTTTGAAATGAAGTATCCACATGCAGAGGAGTGAAGCCAATGTGGTACATAGGAATGTTGTATAAGAATGTTTTGAGGGGTAAAGATCATAAAGCAGAGCAAATTGACCTCAAATGTCTATGTTCACTCTGGGAAAAATTCCTGGATGGGGGAAAAAGAGCAATATATCGAGTCATGGCTGCCTCAGTTCCCATGAGCCTCCTTGTAGATTTTTGTCAGAAACTCCCCAGATATGTTCATAGGGTGTGGAGTATATGAAACAATAATGTGCCTTAGCATTCTAACAGATGTCAAAATGTGGTATTGCCCTAGCCAGTTTGATTCAGTGGATAGAGCATTGGCCTGTGGACTGAAGGGTAACAGGTTCGATTTTCTTTTGTTGGCTCAATCCCCAGTAGGGGGCGTTCAGGAAGCAGCCGATCAATGGATCCCTCTTATCATTGATGTTTCTATCTCTCCCTTTCTCTCCGAAATCAATAAAAAATATGTGTATTTTTAAATGTGGAATTTACTTCTGGGTTATAGGATAATGGATAAATGGCTCTTATTTGCTACTTATAACTTACCTGTTTTTCAAGTTTTCCTCCAAGTTCATTACTTGTTAACTAGAAAAACATCCCTTTTTCAAACCATCTTAGAGAAGGTCGGAATCTTAACGAAGTTAACTTTGTACAATATTGGTGTCACGCTCTCATGTCGAATTTTCTATTATTACTTATTGATGGACTTTCCTACACTGTTGGAACCTTTATAGCTATATGCAGATTTCTCATTTGAAGTTCAAAAAAATATATTCTTAATCTTTAAACTACCTGTTATCACATGTGTCTTAGTTTGCTTTTTCCCCTAGAACCCAGGTTGGTACCTGGCCCATAGCAGGCACTTACATGTTTAATAAATGATTTTTAAAACACTAATTCCATAAATATATCTTATGATGACACTGAGGACTCCCTCTCAAAGGAAAGTGAAAATGTATATCAATTAATTACTTCCTCCCTTTCATTTTCAGGGAGCACAGTTTCTAACAGAACTTGCACCTCTGTGTAAGATTTACTGCTCAGATGGGGAAGAATATACTATATCTAGGTGAGTTACTATTTAACCACAATTTAGGAGATAAAAAAGGAGGTAATATTCTTTTTCAAGACAGTTCTTTTTTTCAATAGCTGTGTTAGAGGACGACTGATGGAAGTGAATGAAAATATTCTCCATAAGCCTTCTATTCTTCAAGAGAAGGTAAAGGGGGAGAAGTATGATCCCATCCACATACTTTTCATCTGATTTTTGTCATATGACAGTACTAAATTGTTCTGTTTCCTTTGTAGCCATCCACTGAAGGTTACATTGCAGTTGTGTTGCCCAAATTTGAAGAAAGTAAAAGCATAACAGAAGGGTTACTGACACAAAAACAGTATGAAGAAGTTGTGGTAGAACGCAGTAATGCTACGACAGCCACATCGTGAGGACTGAGATGGCATAAAAAAGCAATGCGGCACTCGACCCGTGCACTGACGTACCACCGTGTGGCAGGCGCATACTCCGCAGCCAGCCTTCGGCAGGGAAGCCTGTTTGTCTCCCCCCTTCTCTTACAAGACAAGCCTTGGTTCCCATTCGTCTCAGATCTGCCCAGCCATGGACCTAGCCTGCTCCTCTTTTGCTCTTCTCTTTCTAAAAACTGACAAGCAACATTTCTGATTAAAAAGGAGAGCATTTTGGGGGAAATTTGGAAAAGAAGACACAAGTTTTAAAGTAGCAAGTAAAAATAATCTATGCATCCTATAACTCATTAGTAAATACGACATTTTGACATACTTCTGTTTGAATGCTATGACATGGTTAATTGTTTTTGCTCAAACTTCCATCAGTTTGATGGCAAAGGAAACAACAGCTGACCTTTATGTGCTTCACTGTGACTACCAGAAAGTCTAGTCTCACCCCTTCTGCCCCCAGTCCTCTCCAGGCTGTAATAAGAGGCTGGGTGTAGATGAACCTTCTCTAGTCCTTATGCCACTGGATGTCCTTTCTCTCTGAGGCAAAGCAGAACTAACACTGTGGCTTCTTCTATGAGGAACAACATGAAAAGGCTTTAATTTATGAAAGCATTATAATGCAGTACATATACATTAATAGTGATACAGTAACAGTCTCACACTAGCTACAGGGTAACAAGAAAGGAGAAGTTACTGTAATTCAAAGACAGGCCTTTGAATAGAACAAAAGCTTTCACATTTGAATTAAAAAACAAAATTGAATTTATGTTTTAAGATTGTATACTTATTTATACTTAATTTTAAATAAAAGATTTTAAAAATGTTATTTTTTAAAGGCTGAAACATATATGTCTATCTGTTTTTAAATCCAAACAGTTGTTTATACAGAAGGAATCAACTGACATGTAAATTCCTTTAGTTCCCTATCTTATGCTGTAGAAGTCCTAAGTCATCCCTTCCCCTTAAATAAGAGAATATTATTTCAGGTCTGTAAAAGTATCTTGTAAATAAAATTTAAAAATTATTTCTGACTTACAAGAAAAACTTCTTGTAACTTAAGTGCCAGCATGACTGTCCCCAGGCATGATCCAGGTGGTAACTCTGCAAACATCTCCACTGACCCGGCTGTGCACTGAGAATGTATCAAACCAGCAGGCCCTGGTTTGGGCAGCACAATGATTGTAAAAAAATAATAATAATAATAAAAATTATATATTTTACATATAATTAACTACCTTTCATCATTCACCATTATTTCTATTTTAATTTTAAAATATTTTGGTTCCAGGGAATAAAAATCATGCTTTATGATTTTTATAAAGAAGAAGCACATACAATTCAAGTTTCCTTCAATAAAATACTGACTACCTAGTTTGTAGTACTGTGGGTCTTTGGAATCTTGTGACTGTTGTGATGGCTAACCCAGATAAGAGTCAGACAAGCTTATAAAACTAGCCAATTGGCAACTGACATGTCCTGTTAAGATTTCAAAGCTTTGGGATACAAGCACTATCACAAGTCCAAACCAAAGCTAACTGCACTATATCAGGTAGGCAGGGCCTATAAACCTTCCATCAAATCCCACCCCACAAAAACAAGAAAGGCTTTAAACCCTGAAATTAAAAAGAATAAAGATGTTTATTTGTTTTACAATGAACATTCCAAAAGCACTTATATAAAATGTACGGTTCAGAATTTATTTTAAACCACTTCTTAGTTCTATCATTCTCTTATATCTTCCATTCCATCAGTCACTACTGAAGACAGTTTAAAAACTACTTTTTTAAAGCCAGCACAATAGGTTCAAGATTCCAGCTAGTGTTCGGGGTAGACAGGCTGCTCGGCTACAACTGGAACTAAAAGCCATCTTCTGTGAGTTCCTCCAGGATTCCGGGGCATGAGCCCCATGACCCAGCTTTGCGGGTGGAAGGGCTATGCATCACAACAGATGGTCTTGGCCTGTGAAAAGCTTGTTAGAAAACAAAAGTGCGCTCCTCGCATGGATGGTCTGTGACAGCGGGTGGCCAAGAGGCCCACTCACACTTAGAGGGATGGAAGAAGAGTCCACAGGCTTAAGAAAACTGCTTCCCACCAGACTACTGTGTATTTCCAGCTTAAATTAGTGTTCTAGATGATAAGCTTAAATAAAAAACGGAAAACAAAGTTAAAATATGCCAAAGGTGAGCACATAATCAAAATAGATTCTTTGGATTAAACCGTCATTATGACAGCTGGGATATTTGGCTTGATTTTTAAAGAATATTGGTGGCAATGTCTCATTTTAAAATCACACTGCTATTAGAGGTCTAGCAACTACCACAGCACTTGTCAAAAAGCCACAATCGGTGTCATGATCAGAAAATAAAGCAGAACTTCAGTGTTATTTTCTTTATAAAGTGACTGAACTCCAAAAAATATAAAAGATGATTTGCTTTAAAAATGTCAGCTTTGCCATATGGTGTTCCCGAGATCTGTCCTCAAAAACTTCTCAAGTTTTGCCATCCACGGAGTCTTTATTTGTGACTGAGACCCATCTGTTGTTTTCCATCTGAAGCTGGAAAGAGTTAACATAGTTAATTTATTCTTTAATTTCAGAATGAAATTTGTAAAATTAAATAACTATTTTCTTTTGCATTGTCCTTTAAACTAGTTTTTTAAATGTGAGAAGATAGAAAACTATCTCACCTTCTTCAGTAGTTTAAAGCAAAGTGAGAGAAGCTGAACCAAAATAGCCATCATCGATCTTGTCTTTGTAATACATTTATCAACCTATAGTGACAAAAAGTGAGCAAATCAAACTCCTTTACAATGGTTACTTCAAAAGACTTCATCACCATTTAACTTTTAAATGATAAGGTTTCTCCATTATGGAACTCTAAGGGTTCTTGATAACCTGAGACCCTAGAACACTGTACCCAGTTCATGAATCCCCAAAGAACGGATGGAAAATCGACCCATTCTAACTTAAGGCTATTTTGAGTATTCTCTAAGCATTTCTAATAGTGGCAGTGAACCCCCTACTTTGTAATTCCTCCGGCACCATGCTTTGTGGCACTCCAATTAATTCCCTATGAATGGAGCCCCTTCTCAGGAGTCTGTCCCTTAGACATGTGCTGACGTTAGGTTTTAAGGGAAGTGACTTAATGCTATGGAATTAGGCATATCAAAAAAGCCGATTTATTAGGTGAACCTACTGCTTCTTGGGTCATTTAGAATTGCAGATAATAGGTGACTCACATTCATGGCAAGAAAAATGGAAATAAATTGCTCTTCTGTGGTTATTATCTTTTTATTTGAAGAAAAAGGGCTGGAGGCTAACCTGCTAAAGAAGTGCCCAAGTCTCAAGTGCCTCCCTGGATAGCCCACCCTCACTGTTACCTTCAGAAGCCCTTGATTCTGCACAGGTGTCTTGGTTATTGTCTGGAGCTGGTGGCATAGAGGGATTAGCTTGTTTATTTCCAGGAGAAGCATAAGCTTGTCGTCATCTTTCAGCTGAAATGTAATTTGGGAAGTTATAACATAACTCCAACAAATTCTATCTTTCAATCTTAAATAATATACCCCCAAAATGGGTATTCATGACATCACCACCAACACATTACCTGTTTTGAGAAAGCTTGTGCACTTGAAGCAACCTTTAAGCCCTCTTCAGCGAAAACCTAGTGGGAAGAAAGAAATATAACTACTTTCAATGTACATCTTCTGGATAGTTGGAAGGAAAAATACTCATAAAAGGCCTGTCATGGTGCACATACGTTTTCCGTTGCACCCAGGAAAACACAAGATTTTAGTGGTATCCAGAAGCTTGCTTCCCCTAAGGAGGTTCCTCTACACCTGGACACTTCCAAGCACTTGAGGGTTCATGAACCTATGATACTTAGCCATACAAATTGTGTCTGAACTTCTGGAGGGATCCAAAGCTCACCCTATAATACCCCTAATTATAAACGGGTGACAAATTTTAGAACATGAGCCGATAAGGCTTAGAACATCCCTACTTCCAGCTAAGCAAGATAAAATTTGTCACCCACACACATTCTTTAACCAGCCACTCCAGGGGAGCAATTCAGATTGGTTTTTGCCTGGTCACCACACATTTCACAACCCAGTAGGAGAACAGGATGATGGGAAAAAAGTGACAAATGAGTTGGACTGATAAGAATATTTAGTTTAAGTGAAAGATACTAGGGGAGTAAAAAAATGAAGACTTAACTTTAAATGGCAGCAGTAAAAATGAAGTGAACAGGACAATCTGAGAATGATTTGTGAGGAAAAAAACAACAACAGGTTTTGCTCATAAATTACCATAGATGAGAAGTATGAATGCGGCAATAATTTTAGGGATAACTCACTTCTCTGTCCAATAGCCTTAACATGTGCTGTCATTAGATGAACTGATCTCAAGGAAAAATCATCCTTTGCATCCTTCCCTCTCCTTTAAAAGGAAGACCAATGAGTTTTATACCGAGCTTCTAAACAAATGGATTGATTCACTCATATATTCCTCCTCATTCTACATTACCACTTTCTATTTTACCTATCTCTTTTTCCCTTCTAGCCTATAAACCTTTTGAGTGCAAGATCCACATCAGTCTCATAGTGTGTCTTGGTGTGTTTTTTTTTAAAACCAGCATTTTTGTCATTCTTTTTATTATTATTATTATTGATTTTTTACAGAGGGGAAGGGAGAGGGATAGAGAGTTAGAAACATCGATGAGAGAGAAACATCGATCAGCCGCCTGCTGCTCACCCCACACCGGAGATGTGCTCGCAACCAAGGCACATGCTCCTGATCGTAATCGAATCTGGGACCCTTCAGTCCGTAGGCTGACACTCTATCCACTGAGCCAAACTGGCTTTGGCATGTCTTGGTTTTAAAACCACCATAAAGCTGATTACTTCCAAACCTCTCTCTCCATTCCTGAACTACCCTGATATCAGTCTTTAGCAAAATAATGTTCAATTTCCACCCTGTAGATCTGGTGTAGTCCCTTGGTGTCCCCTATCTCAGCAAACAGCACTACCATTTACCCTGTTGATCAAGCCAAAAAAGCTTTATAATGTAGTCAGATCATACTACCTCTCCTCAAAACCCCCAAAGAGTTTTCCTTCATACCTGGGAGAAGAAAGTTTCTTCCGTGGCTACAGGGATGTCATATGCTACCAGTTTCTTTCCGGCTCACTCCATGTCACTGGCCTCTTTATAGATTCCCCCAGCCTAGTTTCATACCTCAGGCAGGGCCTTTATACTTGTTCTGTCTGCCTCAAATAGTCAATCCCAAGATATCCATCCATCTCACTTCCTCAATTACTATCTCTATGCAGATGTTACCTCCTTAGAGATGTCTTTTCTGATAGCCCCTCTATCCCCTCTCTGTGCTTATCCTACACACTTTCATCTCTAAGTCCTTACAAATGGGCATTATATACTCGTTATTGTCTATCTCCTTCTATTAGAATGTAAGCTCCATGGAGACAAGGGCTTTGCTTTGTTCACTTTTGTCCATAGAGTCTGACCCATGTGCCCAGGGTCTGACATCAATAGTCAATGAACAGTTTATGTTCAGCAGTTTGTAGGCAATTCAACAGGCATCAGTGTCAGCTCACACAAGAAGAAGGTAAGGAATGGATCTTCAGCAATGAAATACCTACTTTGCTGTGTATGACTTGGAATGAATCTAGAATTTATTCCAACTGTTTCAAGAGAAAAAGCTCATGTATAGTCAACTTTACAGAAAAATCCAGAGAAATATTTCTACAATTCTTCTGACTCAGTGGACAAACACCCTCTCAAGCTGCACCTCCCTTTCCTCGAGAGGCCCAGGTGGAAGCATGGGGAGGCCAAAGAAAGTGGTATAAAGGTGATTAAACTGACAGAAGCAAGAATGCTCTTGGTTCTGGAGGGGCGAACAGACTGACATGAGAGTCGGGAAGATAAGGAGAAATCTTGTCATCTGCTTATCATTCTAAAGCATCTACCTAAGTGAGAAGAAATAGGTAGTTCCTAATGTGCAGTTCCATTACACACACAGGGCACAAGCGTGGGTGTTGGTATACCTGTCTCTCCCTGATTGCCCCAAATCATCAAGAATATGGAAGAAAAAAGGAGACTAACGTGTACCGAGTCCGCTCTGATAGTCTCAAGTCTATGACTGATACTTTCTTGTGTGTTATCTCATTTAATCACTAGCATTCATCTAAACAATAATGAAGAGGCCAAAAAGCCTTTGAGCATTCAGGAAAATATGAGAGAAATGCATCTGCTGACAGCATAGTTTCACCTATTGGGAAAACCTAAAACTTATTATGTCATCTATTGACTATCAAAGCCCAATCTACTTTACTCCTATTATATTTAAGGGTGTGTTTCCCCCCCAAAAAAGCTCCATAAAAAGCTACAGCAAGCTCTCTACTTTTCTTTCACTCTCTGTAGTACACATGTGTGCATAGGTAAGCACACAAACATGATACCATAATTATTTAGAAATTAGTTATTATCCATTTTAGCCCAGAATTGATGTAGCAGCAAAAAATAGAAGTAAAACTTACCTCTAATTGATGAATTAAATCCTGGGAAGTTTTCAGTGGCCCCTCTCCCCTGAAATAAATGAATTAATAAGAAGGTAAGAAAAAGTCATTGCCTGGGAATTGGTTTTGCAACATTAAAGTAATCAAACATTTTATATATTAAGAGATCCCAAATTTTGAAGACTCTGGAATAGATTCATAATATTATGATTTTATTCTTAAAGCAACTTTAATTATTATTTCTTGGACACTTAAAATTTTTTTTAAATATTATACATCTTAATATTACAATTAAAAAAACATATCTCACAAATTATATTAAAGTTTTATTTTCCTATTTTTCTCATTTCTCATTCCAATTTCAACTCAAGGAATTCAGTTGTCTTTGATAAAGTATGTTATTTAAGTTTCAATTCTGAGTCTGTAAAATAATCGTAATAATATTTGTGTACCTCATCAGAAGGTTAGGGAGTATCAGATTGAAAACCACCAAGAAAAATTAGATCCTACAAATGAACAGTGAACTACCACAAAGAGCAACACAATGCATGAATCTGGACTCATAAGGCATGAGTCGGGAGGCTAAGAAGTTTATATAAACCGTTAAGACAACATTAAACAATAGCCTGAAGAAGAGCTATAAAATTACCCAAGAAAACTACAAAACTGGATACTGCGAGGTCCAACAGATAAGTCTCTGAAAGAAGCAACTAGATGAGATTGGTAAACCACACAGTCTTAAGGGAAAACAGAAAGAATTGGAGAAAAAAACGGGCCTACTAACTATGCTGGTAGAAAACAAAGCCAGCTCGAGGTTGTACAATTCTCTTAACAAGACTTGCCCAAACAGCACAACGTGTTATCTATCCATCACAGAATCTGATTTCCTTGTCCTGAGATTCAGTGTTACTGTCCAATAACCATCTTCGAGCAACAAGTCCCATTCCACAGAACTTGAGTGTTCCCTCCCCCTCATAATGCAACCCCTCATGCTTCCCATCTCTGAGTGATGCATGTCATCCTTTATCAAAAACCATTATTCTGACTGTGAAGCAAAAAAAAAAAAAAAAAAAATGCTGACCATATCATCCTGAAACATTCTGAAATAAGAAACAAGAAATAAAAGGGGAATGGCAAACAGGAAAAAATCTACTCATGAAACTTTTCTTAGGGCAGATTTTATATACAGACTTTGTTCATTAATAATGTATTTCTCCCATTTTTATTAGTCAAAATAAAGTTTTTTAAAAGATCTGATTTTTATCACCATGAGATTATTAGTATGATTCCAGCCAAAAGTAAAGATCTTTGTTATTTCATTTTATCTGTGCACATTTTCTTGTTGAGAAAACAAAGGAGTTCTATTTTACTTTCTTTTGTAGACTTGACTTAACAGATTTTTAAAAGATATGAACTAAAGAAGGTCATAGTGCTGGGAAGATTTAATCCCAAGAGAAGCTCACTAAAACAATTAAGAACAAAGAAAGGAAATCACCAAAGAGGAAAAATCACCAATGATGGAAAATATGGTAAGGTGTTAACAAATGACTGCTCAACACAGAAAAAATAGCTCAACTGTCATTTTTCCTTTGCCCTCCAGAAGAATGGTTTATCTTAAAAGAAACAGAAGACACACACAAAATGGAAATGAATGCTGAGTTCTCAAATTCTTTCCACTAGTACACATCCCTCCCTCATGTTCCCATCCCTCTGAAGAGGTGGACATTTATTTATCTTCTCAGACTTTCTGAAATTAATTGGACATGGTAGCTCTTTTCTTTTTCTCTTGAAAGTAAAGCTACCTTACAAAGATTCCTGCTCTTTCAAGAGACACAGTCTGTTCCTGTGGAGTAAGATTTCTTAATTATAGAATTTATTTGTTAAAACCTACCAGCCTGTGGATATAAATTGCATTGTCCAATATCAGCTTTACCAATATAAATGTAACTGCCCCGCCCCCATCTGTCTCGTCTTCTGCTTATTTTTGTATTTTGTTCCGACGCTGGGTATTTATTGAGAACTGATGCCCACACAGTAGTAGAGAGCCTACCAATTTTAATCAAGCAACTTTAATCTACCAACTTAGATTCCAGACTAAATGGGTTACATTTCAGAATACTGAAACAACATGCAGGTGTGAACCACTGCTGACAATATTTCAAAATCAAAATGAGTAAAGGAGGGGCCATAACATTGGATAGATCGAGTACTTTCTGGTTCTTAAAGATAAAAAAGATAGATTTCAGAAAATTAGTGAAATGTTTGAAGTCATTCCAGGAGAAAATTCTAGAACAGACTATTAAGCTGACAACTGATATTTATCAAGATGGTATTACTACCACATACACATACTAGTATACATTATTATACCATATAGGGAGGTTATTATAATGGAAGATTTTGGAATATTTGCTCAAGAGTCTTATGATAATTGCAAAGTTATTGAAAATCTGTGCTATACAATAAACAGTGACTCACAGACATTTGGCACTCTGTTGAGGTGGTAGGCCTAATGGTTCTATTATTTGATCTGTTTCTAATCAATCATTTGTATAATGATTTAAAAGGCGTGTTTTATAAACTTACTGATGCTGGCTAGGTTGATGTATAGGATTAAAAAAGTAGAATCCAAATTTTGAAAAGAATGGGATATAAACCTAGAAGAGAATCCCTACTATATCTAAGTCTTAATCGTGTTCTTGTTGCTTTCACATAATTGACATAAGAACGACATATATAGACTTCTACCATGCATACGAAACTGACTCAACCTATCAGTGATTTAACATGGCATTTTTTTCTCTACACTAGATATTAAATTGATTTTATTTTATTTATTTTTATTTTTTAATTTTTAAAAAAATGTATTTTATTGATTTTTTACAGAGAGGAAGAGAGAGGGATAGAGAGTTAGAAACATTCATGAGAGAGAATCATTAATCAGCTGCCTCCTGCACACCCCCCACTGGGGATGTGCCCGCAACCAAGGTACATGCCCTTGACCGGAATCGAACCTGGGACCTTTCAGTCTGCAGGCCGACGACGCTCTATCCACTGAGCCAAACCGGTTTCAGCTTAAATTGATTTTAAAGGATCAAAATATATTTACCTAGTAAATAAATATACAGAATAGGCCATCTTGGACATGTTCCGCCCATATCGAACAATCTCATTCTCCTGATTCTCCCACTTCTCAATCTCGCAGTTGGCATCGGAGGTGAGCAAACCCAGCTTAAGTCCAAGCTTTGCAATCTTGGCTTTCTCCTATAAAATATGGAGAAGATATTTTAATCACAATAATTTTGTTATTACCAATGTAAGAGGGAGATTAGAAGTAAGATTATGAAAAAGAAAAAGGTCTTACCTCAGAGTCAGACTTCTCTGGCTTTAATGATTTCAGGTTTCCATTATTCTTCTGTGACATTAAAAAGATCAAGATAAAAGATTAAGGTCACTATGAGGAAATACAATAGTACTAGAAAGCATAATAAGTCACCTGTAATAAAGTTGTAACCTAAACATTTTCAGCACACACTTCTTAAAGTACATTAAATTGTTTAAATTAAAACAAAGAACTGACTGCAAGTCCTCTGCCACAATGTGAGCTCACTTGGAACAAGTAGGTAGTTAGAAGTATGGGGCGAGGGAAATGGAGCAGAAGGACCAAAGGACTTGGGCATTTTCCCAGAGTTGTTATTATAATTATTCTTCTGAAATGATGTAATAAAATTAGCCACCCTCTGTAGAGGTCCATCTGCCCTTAGTATTATGACTGGAATTCAACGCCTGTATCTGATGTGCCTTTGAGGGCTAAATTTCAGCACCCTCATTTCACTGACATCCTGATTCCCAATTCTTCACCCAGCTTGTATGGAAGATTATATCCAGAATTTAGGGTTTAATATTTGAACCAACATGTTGGACATGCCCCTATATTTGAAACAGCAAATCTGTTTCTATGTGAGCTATTGGAACTCAGAATCTATTTCCCCTGGGAAAGCAGAAAACACTGTCCACCAGTTAGGTTACCAGGCTTGCCTGCAGGTGCCTATTGACTAGACGGATAGAAAACACTACTCATAGCAATGGTCCTTTGAAAAATATGTTCAGAAGTCCTCAGTGATGGCAGACCAGGTTGGACATCCCTCTCACGCTGAGATCTATTGGGAGCTCCCATGGTTGGGACAGAAGTTCCAGAACAGCTGGGTTCGTGGACATAAAGGGTCCAGAAAATGCAGGAAAACTTTTTAAAGGAAATAGTTATTTAAATAACTAGAGGCCCAGTGCACAAAATCCATGCACAGGTAGGGTCCCTAGACCTGGCGGCCCTGATCTAGGCCTTCTGGCTGTTGACCAGGGCCTCCCTTCATTCTGCACTGCCCTCTGGTTGTCAGTGCACTTTATAGCAAGCGATTGAACTCCCAGTCTCCTGGTTGACCTCCCAACAGGATACTTTGAATATCAGCCTTTTATATATATAGATACACAATCACAATCTCTTTCTCTCTCTCTCTCTCTCTTACTGAGAACACAAAATATAAATTATAATAAAGCAAAACACTCATGTTCCCACTTAAGAAACAGATCATCACCAACACTTCTGAGGTATAGGTGTACCTCTCTGTTTTTGTTGCCCTCATTATTACCATGACTTATTACTTCTAGCTACTGTGTCACCAGTTTTACTGTAGAGCTAAACATCCTCAGCTTTTCCTTTTTTTCTACTCCATAGTTTATATTTGCTCATTTAATATAGCCCTTTTGAGATTTTCTAATGCTCCTTACTATAGAAGAACTGGGAGAAGTTAAAGGACAGAAACTAAGTACAGGGAAACTATAAGGTTACATACACACACACACACACACACACACACACAAGCTGCCTCTTATGTTCATTAGAAAATAAATGGAGATGATCAATGATCTCTTTGGCTCCTCCTTGTAAAGTTGCATCATCTGTATCTTCTTCCTTAACCTAGTAGACTACAAAGCAATTAATAAAGCATTTAGAAAAGAAAATACCTATAGGTTTTTAGGTTTTATTTTATTTACAATTTTATTTACCATGTTTTCTTTGAAATTGATTTCTGTTTTCATTGTTTTTAGGTTTACTTTTGCAAATTATTGTTAAAGTATTTTATGAAGATACAGGAAGGGAATTGCCTGAAAAGATACAGAAACCATCTTACTCATGCAACCGAGCTTGCCATCTAGTGGACACTACTTTGGAATGCAGTAAGGTACATCAGCTTCAGTTATATAAAGCTGTACATTTCAAGTTTCTAAATAGAAATAGCATGGCATAATGTCATCAAGGTAGGAAACATTAAGGAAGTCCCTCGTCTATAGAAAATGATTACAACATGCACATCTCCTACTGGTTTGGCTCAGTGGATGGAGCGTCGGACTGAAAGGTCTCAGGTTCGATTCCGGTCAAGGGCATGTGCTTTGGTTGCAGGCACATCCCTGGTGGGGGGTGTGCAAGAGGCAGCTGATCGATGATTCTCTCTTATTAATGTTTCTAACTCTCTATCCCTCTCTCTTCCTCTCTGCGAAAAATCAATAAAAAATATATTAAAAAAGAAAAGAAAATGATTACAACATGACAATGTGAATTAGATAAGAGATTAAAGAACAAAAAGACCTCTGACTTCAGATTATGGCTTCTTATTAATCATGCAATCTGCTACCTATTCCCTCAACCTCCAACCCAACACAAATAATCAAAATGTGAACTGAAACTAGACTTTACTCAGATTAACAACTATGAGCAATCAACATTTAATATCCTATTTTAATGTCAATTATTGGGGGCTGGGTAGCAATAGGCAGCAAGAGCATAACTGAATTCTAAATAAAAAACATTCTGAAATGTACAAAACTACTTACCAGGGGCTTGGGAAGTGAAAGGTAGCCATACTTCTCTCCTACAAACAACACATAGAACTTAAAACAAATTTTCTATTATTCACATCTAATTTAAAAACATTATTAAATAAACAGGAATGTCAGCTGATTCATTTTAAAATGTTGGCTATTAATCACATATGATTAAAAAATAAAAGTGTAATTTGATGGTGAACACAGAGACTGTCAGCAGTGCATCTTTTTTTTTTAAATATATTTTATTGATTTTTTTATAGAGAGAAAGAGAGAGGGATAGAGTGGAAGAGAGAGGATAGAGAGTTAGAAACATCGATGAGAGAGAAACATTAATCAGCTGCCTCCTGCACACCTCCTACTGGGGATGTGCCCGCAACCAAGGTACATGCCCTTGACCGGAATCGAACCTGGGACCTTTCAGTCTGCAGACAAATGCTCAATCCACTGAGCCAAACCGGTTTCAGCCATAATACCTCTTTAAAAATGATCTTAATAAGCATGAGAAGAGGGCATAATCATACTTATGGATAATTAGCTTAGGGGAGCAATCTTGTGTTATCTACCCTTGTGACCCCCTGCAGTGCCCATGATCCTGAAATGTTCACACTTACTCTCCAAAAGGGAAAAAAATAGCCAACTGTTTCAGTGTTTCTTATTTCTCTAAGGTACAAAAGAATTAAAGAAACCAGAAGGTAGGGATAAATAAACCATAAGAGAGCCTTTATATAGTCAGGTCTGCTACGTTCCCACTCACAGTCCCTAGTACCAGCAGTTCCACTCCCTGAGACCCTCCTTCAGCTACTGTGCTTGGCTCTGCTCCACATTCCTGCCCTCAGTGAGACCCAGAAGGCTTGATGATCATTGCAAAACTGATCATTCTTGCCAAGTAAGTTGATAAAATAAAATAAAAAAGATGAATCTGAATAATTTTATAATTGTTTCCATACAAGTCTAATTATTGCCATTAATTTGAAGCAGAGCAAGAATATATTGACTCAATTATGCTTAGCTATTACATCAAATTAAGGAGGCTGTCTCTGATGAAAACATGTTCTAAACATTAGGAATAATTGGAAAAACAAATATTTAGGGAGCACATACTTGGTACAGATATTTGTTTTACAGAATTATTTTCAAAGCACTAAATCCTTTGTTTAATACCGCCTAAATCAAAACCATAATTGTGCCATCTTTATTTCTGAGTTTATACTTCAAGATCAATTAAGCTCACCATTAAGTCCCAAAGGCCCTCTCATCTTATGAGAGTACCAAAATAATTTCTTTTGAAAACCTAAATGAGAAGTGCTGTTCCCGTTTTTAATATTCAGAGCTTTTCTGCATCTCTACAAAATAAGACAAATTCCCCAGGGACATATAAGCCTCATCATTTCATTTCACTGAAGATGTGCTACATTACTCCCTACAAGAAGGCCAGTTAGCTTTTCTGGGTTCAAGAGGGGCTCTCTACGACACGCTTGATCAGAAAAGAAGCCATGTCCCCAGAGCCACTTAAAACGAATCCCTAACCACTGGACAGTCAGATGATTGGCTAACCTCAGGAGTGGGACTGACAGATTGAAATCCAAACCCAATCGTCAACTTCAAACCCTTCTTTACTTTCACATTCAATCACCAAATCCTATCAATATTATTTGTAAAACTCTCCTGTTATCAGTCCTCTTATTTCCATGTCTACTACCCTCAAACCATCAACTCTTGTCTGAATGGATCACTTCCATGTTCCAGACTCATGTGTTCCCCAAATAAGCTTGTATTTATCCACAAGCATGTTCCTCTTCCTGCACTCCCCAAGTCACCCACCAGCACCCTATGCATCCAACCTGCCAGGTGATGAATTACACGCACGGCTATGAGACAGGGCTACCACACATCCTTAAAAACTGAGCTTAATCATGTGAACTCTAACATGGGTCCAACAGAACCAAGGAAATGCAGCTTCCTTAAAGGGGGGATAGAGTCTGCAAGCCAGGAGAAGGCTTCTTCCTGACATTTGTCTAAAATAATCTCAAGTTCTAAATGCTGTTACATTCTCATCACTAAGAGAAAGTCAAGTCTTTATCTGGTCCCTTCTAATATGAAGGCTACGGAAGTTTGGTGAAAAGACAAAAAGATCAGCTCTAACTGGTTTGGCTCATAGAGCATCGGCCTGTGAACTCAAGGGTCCCAGGTTCAATTCCAGTCAAGGGCATGTACCTTGATTGCAGGCACATCCCCAGTGCGGGGGAGGGGGATGCAGGAGGCAGCTGGTCGATGTTTCTCTCTTATCAATGTTTCTAACTCTCTATCCCTCTCCTTTCCTCTCTGTAAAAAAAATCAATAATATATATTAAAGACAAAAGACCAGAAGACAAATATTGATTTTTTAATTCTTTTTAAAAAATACCTTTTTATTTATTTCAGAGAGGAAAATAGAAACAATGAGAGAGAATCATTGATCGGCTGCCTCCTGCATGCCCCACACTAGATATCGAGCCCACAACCTGGGCATGTGTTCCAACCAGGAATCAAATTATGACCTCCTGGTTCATAGATCAACACTCAACCACTGCGCCACACTGGTCGGGCTGATTTTTGAGTTCTTAAAACAATCCCATGAGGCCCGACTGTGAAATGTGAGTGTCTTGAGTAAAGAGAACAATGACTGAACTCTCAGAATGACTCAAGTATGAAAACACTTTCTCATCGCTTAGCATGTTGTTTGCCACTTAATTGGTTGGTTCCATGATAGTTGTAAATATATCTGATAATTTTCCCAATTGTGAGAGTCAACATGTGCAGGGCAGAGCTCTGGTGGCTATGACAGTTGTAACACGAGTTATTACAGCGGCAGAGAGAAGTGGGATCGGAAAAATACCCTCAGCGCTGGATGGCAAGCAGTGGGCAGGTGCAAGGTGAACAGGCAGGTCAAGGACTCAGCCCAATCAATAACGGCAAACTCAGAGGTGGATTTCGTGGGAAAAAGCTTTTCTTAAGAGCTTCGTGATAAAAAGCAAGGATAAAGAAAGTCACTGTAAGAAATTAACTCTATCTCAGTGAACCCCACATAAAGATATCACCTGATATCTTTACCAGTTAAACAGTGGGTGTTCCATGGATAGAATGCAGCAGAGTTTTTTCCTCCTAAAAAGGAATTTCTGTTTCGCCCTAAGGAGGTTAAAGTAATCCTGAAATGTTTTTTTCAAAAATATGTTTTTATTGATATTAGAGAGCAAGGGAAAGAGAGAGAGAGAGAAACATCGATGAGAGAGAGAAAGAAACATCGATCACTGCCTCCTACATCCCCCTACTAGGGATCGGGCCCACAACCCGGGCATGTGCCCGAACCCGGAACTGAAGCAGCCACCTCTCTGGTGCATGGGACGATGTTCAACCAACTGAGCTACACCAGCCAGGGCAATCCTGAATTTTTTAGGATAGGTTACCCAAACCTAAAGAAGACCTAAAGAAGAGGTCTATTACATAATCTCCAGCTTGAAAGTCAAAGAAACCACAGTGACCATGTAGTCTAAAATAAGTCTGTGACTTTTCCTGTGTCAAGTCTGGCCTATCTGCTGTGCATGCGAGTGCTAAGAAAGGCTGGGAGCCACTTCTCTTCCTTTCCTAGCCAAGTCCAAGGGCTAAGAGATCATTCTCCTGTAAATGCGGCTCAGTTACCTCACTTTACCTTTTAATGCACGAAGTTTGCCTCACTTAAAAACCCATGTAACCATAAATACTTTATCCAAGCATCAAAATGATATGCCATTCAGACTAGCCCTCACAGAAATCTTTAGATGTATAAGCATGATAAACTTTTATTATATTTTATAAATGATGATATATCTATAAAGTCTATACCATTCCGATTTTTTAAGCATATCAGCAATTATTCTAAGTAGATATTTTCAAAAATATGTTTGAATGTCCTTAATCAGTAAAAAATATCTAATTTGATATTATTGTGACTTTAAATGCATTTTATTTTAAAAACTAAGCATGCTTGACACTAACAGAAGCCATTTGAAAGGGAAAATATATAAAAATGCAAACAAATAACAGGATACACAGCACAACGGGAAATAAAAATCCCAGTTGATGTTAAAATAGAAAGTAAAAATGATGCCCTCCTGCACATTGTATGGTGTGATTCTACATGTTGTAGAAATAATGAACTTACCCACCATAGGAAATATTCCCAGGTCAGGTGGTCATCAAGGAAAACGATTCCATCCAAGTGGAAGGAAAGCAATTCAAAAATCAAACAACTACATTCATTTCATTATGAAATTAGTAGAAATAAATCAGATAATCACTGAGTTGCAGAAGAAATTTGTACTAAAACTAAAAAACAATTTAGAATTAACATAAAATTGCTTAATGTCAATAGGAAAACTAGAATGCTAATGTTAACTCAAAGAAATCTACTACGCTGTTGTACAACAAACTTTACTGCTTCGATGCTAAATAAAGGACAAATATTATTTTCATGATTTTTTGTGGAAGATATCTTACTATAAAAATAACTCAGGATATGACAAGATAATTCATTTTGCATCTGAAGTGTGAAATTGAAAAACTAATAGCGTTACAATAAAATAAATATATTTCAATATGTGGACAGTCTCACCTCGTTTTCCTTCAAACACATCATTGATTTCTCTTAGCAACGTTGACATGTCACTAATTTGGGATTCCCATGCTTCACAAAATACATCTAGGTTTTCTTTAGCAATTTTACTAGATGGATGCAATGTCAATGTTTCAGCAGCAGAAATTATCTGAAGAAATACAATATAAACAAGTGTGATTTTCAAAATCTTAGCACTTAGAATCAATGCAAGACCAAACTTAAGTGTGTACTGTCGCAATCAACTCAATACACAACTATGAATGAAGTAATTTCCACTGATAAGCCTGTTGGCCAATGTGGAGATACATAGTAGGACAAAACTTACTGTTTCTTATAACCCTATCTACAGACAAATAGTACGTGTTATTCTGTACAAACCTTGATTTCAAGACCAATTATATTTGTGTGTGTGTGTGGGGGGGTGTTTTGTTTTTTATTTCGAGAGTACATTTATTAAAGTGGGGAACAGTGAAACCAGGAAGGATCTGAGATAGAAGAAGCCACAGGAGAGAGAATGGATGGGCTGCTTTGGCTCTCTAGAAAGGTTATGAGAAAGAAGTGAAAAGAAACCACAATTGGCTTCTCTTGAATGAGCCAATCTTAATCCACAATGGACTGCTGTCAGCTCACTGTGGAGTCAAAGAAAAGGAGAATTTGGGGGCAAATTTAGGGGGGGTATCCTGGGACGAGCTGCCACTGCCCATTGCTCCTCTGGTTGCCAGTCTGGTGGGGACCTTCAGAGTAGTAGTAGTAGTAGTAGTAGTAGTAGTAGTAGCAGCATTGGTGGTGCTGGCACTAGCAGTGGTAAAACAGTAGTGTCGGTATCAATAGTAGTGCGAGTAGTAGTGTAGCTAGATAGCAGTGGTGGTGGTGGCGGTATTGATATTATAAGTGGTAGAGGTAGTAGTAGTACCATATGCACACAACTATGAGCGCATCGTAGATATATTCTTGAGATACCATGTTAGGTGTTTGACATACATTGATATTAATCCTCAAACACACACAAACAGCCCTCGCTGGTATGGCTCAGTTGGTTGAGTGTCCTCCCACACACTGAGAGGTCGCTAGTTCAATTCTGGTCAAGGGCACATGCCTGGGTTGCAGGCTGGATCCCCAGAAGGGGGCGTGCAGGAGGCAGCCAAACGATGATTCTCTTTCCTCGTTGATGTTCTCTCTCTCTCCTTCTCCCTTCCTCTCTGAAATCAATAAAAAATTTTAAAAATTAAATTTCATAAAAAAGGAAGGTCACCAATGGCCATGCGATGGTGAAACCTCCACAGTAAGGACTGGATTGTATGAGCAAGGAAGAAAGTCACTGGAGTGCTCTCAGAGACTGGCATGTCAGAGATATGCTACGTTCAAGGAAACTAGAACTACATGCTTCTCCTGGGGGGCATGGCTGCATGGGCACAGGGCTGACAAGCTGGTGGCAGCCTTATGAGCAGAACACGGTCCCCATCTGCAGGGAAGGCGGAACCCTGGGCTGGCCAGCCAGGTTTTATCACTGCCCTCCTCACTGGAGCCACGGAACAGCGTGTAACCTGCTCACTGTGCCTAGCACTTTAAAGGAAATATGAAAATGGCATTGCTAAAGCAGAGAGCTCCAGAAATAAATAAGTATCCAAGAGGCATGCTCTATTTCCAAAATAGACAGATTTCCTAAAAATCCCTTTGAGAGGCAGATGGCAAAGACTAGGTAAAAGCCAAGGTGATGGGCACAGAAAAAACTTCTCAAATTTAGAAGTTGACAACAGGCTCTATCATCATCGTGGGGAAGAAAATCCAGCTTTTCCTAATCATTGCTGCAGTAGAAACAGTAAACAGAACTGCGACCAGCTGGTTGCACACAAGCAGGAGGGTCACATGCTCTTTTTTTTCTTCTTCTTTTTTTTTTTTGTCAATCCTTACCCGAGGATATTTTCCCCATTGATTTTTTTTATAGAGAGTGAGAGGGAAGGAGAGACTGGAATTGAACCTGGGACCCTTCAGTCTGCAGGCCGATGCTCTATCCACTGAGCCAAACCAGGGAGGGCGGTTTGCTTGTTTTCTGTTGTAGTTGTTTATCTCCTCAGTCCTTAAGAATAACGGGGTCAAAATGTGAATATTTTTATGGCTTGTTTTGTAGCGATAGCTTACTTTTCAAACATGTTACAACAACCCACAATGTCAACAGCTTCGTTAAAGGAGATATAAACTAGGCTTCTCTTGAATGAGCCAATCTCCGGGTTGGCAGATGACCAGATAACCCAGAGGAATGCCAGCTATGTTCCGGTGCTGTACCTAGGAAAATTCCAGAGTCTGCATTTCTCTTGGTAGATTTGGCCTGTAGTTAAGCAGAACCACTTTCTCCTCCTTGCACACGATCTGTTATGACACTCAGACAAAACTCACTACAGAAGGAGCAATCTGCTGCTGGGCATACCTGCTGGCCAGTCACCTGAAAAGTCTCTTCTGCATGGACGCAGGTTATTTCGAGAGGCTCTGTCCCAGATACATGGCGCAACAACCGGCAGGTCTGCAAGAGAGCATTTCTGCATTCAACTTCCACATTTGCGTTCTTCACAAGGCAGACTCGTTTTATAATTTATAACGACAATAAAACACGAAAACCCACACACATAAGTCTTTACATCAAGGAGAAATTATCATACTATATTGGTTACTAACAGAGTCTCGAGGAACAAGGAAGGGTACAGAGTCTTGTTTTTGTGTCCTATCTGATCATGGCAAAGTGTTCACAGACTTCTCGGACCGGGAGCAACCTTGGAAAGGATCTCGCAGCGCCCACACATTTTATGTATGAAGACACCCAGCTCAGAGAAGTGACTTGCCCAAGGTCTCTAGGCTAAACTACGTCAATTACTAAAAGCTAAGTATTCTTCCTGTCAACAAAAACCACTTTCCTTCATGGGAAATTAACTAACGCACCTTTCATTGGAGATAACACTGGATTAGGCAAGACCGATGTAATGAGTGGAGAGCCCACCATTAATATCAGCAAAAATTATTGAAAACCTTGAGGCTTGAAACAGAAATTTAGAAAAAAGTATGTTTTCATCTTTTAAAAAGATTTGCTGCAGGAACCTTATAATTACCAAGTTTGCTTACAGTCATAATATTTGGCTTACAGATAAAACAGCATCAAAACTATTTTAAAAGAAGATGACTCTACACTCATTTTAAGAATGCTCCTGCCCTGGCCGGTTGCTCAGTGGTTAGAGCACCAGCCCTCGGACCAGAGAGTCTCAGATCCTATTTCCAGTCAAGGGCATGTACCTGGGTTGCAGGTTTGATCCCTAGCTCAGGTCAGGGTGCATGCAGGAGGCAACCAATCAGTGTCTCTCTCTCATTGATGTTTCTCCCTCCCTCCCTCCCACCCTCTCTAAAAAATCAAGGGGAAAAATATCCTCGGGTAAGGATTGACAAAAAAAAAAAAAAAAAAAAAAAAAAAAAAAAAGCTCCTTAGCAGTTTTAAGATATAATCAAATGAAGGAGAGGAAGCTAGTCCAGTTGATCTAAAGGTTTCTTCAGCCCTAAGTCTTTGAGATATGATGAGCAGGGTATATTAGAAAATCTAAAGCCAGTTAGATGGCTCATATTTGTGCATTTATATGCATGTGGGCTAAGTCCTACCTTTTATATACAAGATACACATGGGTTGAGTATGTATTTTTTTTACTAGCAGATCAGATGTCAGACACTCTTAATAGGTAGAAGGCTTAGAATATCAATTAATAATTGGAATGATAACAAAGGTGGCAGATAAGCACCAGTAACATGTAACAGATTTGGGAAGAACAGGAGAGGTTCAGAGAAGGCATTTTGTACTGGATGGCTTCTCCTTGTCCCTCCATATTTACCCTCCTTCTCTCTCAAATCTGCTTTTGTCCTGGGACACTGACCTGCGTGGTCTGCAGCTATGTTTGGCCGGTGGGAACCCCCAGCAATAGACCAGCAGGCAAGAGGAGAGTAAAGACCTTTAGTCCCATCTCCTTCCCCTGCAGGGTCACCTTGGACTGTCTCTATGTCTAGTCCTAGAACCACCTCTCAAGGTGTCTCTCTGGAAGACTCCATGCCCTTCCAGTCTCTAATAACCACTCACCCCCACCTCCCACCCCCATCAGGTTGGGCATGGGGGTGACACCAGCTCTGCTCTCACCCCAGTTACTGCACTTCCATGGTCCCCACCCCCCACCCATCGTGTATGCCACTGTAAACAGCTCCTTTATTAAACCATCTTTAGAGGATCCGAACTTGAGTGTGCCATTCTTTTCCTGCTGAGACCCAGGTTCAAACAGAAACAAGGTCAGACAGTGCCTCTGCCTCCATAGCGCTACTGAGACTGAGATCCCAGGAGAATAAGGAAAAGATTACTAAGAAGTGCTTTTGTGGGTTCAGGCAGTTTGGGTTGTTTTGTTTTAGAAGCCAGGCTGCTGAAAGATTGGCACAGATAAACATAATACCTTTAGAATTCCAAACGAGAGAGAAAATGCTCACAAAAGTTGCCCCGAAGCTGCATTGCGTTAACATTCCCTGGTGATCTACAGCGACCGTTAAACCACCATTTCTGGAACGAGTAAACGGATCACTCACCTCGACAAGCTGCTCTTTCTGTTCTGAGAATTTACAGGCATACTCAGCCAACCTTTCTAAATTGCCTTCCACTCCCGTAAGTTTTAACGCTTTCAGAACCACGTGGTCAGCATGGTATTTTAACAGATCGGCTGCCAGCTGCGTTGCTGTGCTGTGAAGCTGCAGAGGTGGGGGGAGAAGGCAAACAACAAACCATAAGACTTCATGGCCAAGCGCCTCAGAATCACTTTCAAACCCAGTGGGACCTCTCAGGGGGAGTGGACGGTTCCCCGTGGTGATGGTAGCAGTTGTGTAGACCTGGGCGGGTGATAGAACATCTGAGAGGCCCCTGTGTGGGAATTATGCTGTTTGCAGAAAAATGAACTCGATCCCTTGTTCATTCTATTATCAATCAGCTTTTTCCTACATAGCTCCTCTCTCACCTTAAAAAAAATGCTTCTGCTACTCTTCAAGTTAGTGGAGAATAGAGCAGTATTACCACATGGTATCCAAAGTATTACAAAAAAAAAAAAAAAAAAATCAATGGTAGTTTGTGATCACGAGTGAGTGTATTTAAAAAAAAAAAATAAAATTATTGCCCTAACTGGTTTGGCTCAGTGGATTGAGCGTCAGCTTACGGACTGTAAGGTCCCAGGTTCGCTTCTGGTCAAGGGCATGTACCTTGGTTGCGGGCATATCCCAAGAGGGGGATGTGCAGGAGGCAGCTGATCGATGTTTCTAACTCTCTATCCCTCTCCCTTCCTCTCTGTAAGAAAATCAATAAAATATATATATAAAATATATATATTTTTTATTGACTTTAGGGAGGAAGGAGGAGAGAGAGAGAGAGAGAGAGAGAGAGAGAGAGAAATATCAGTGATGAGAGGATCATTTATTGGCTGCTTCCTGCATGCCCCCCAGGCATGTGCCCTGACAGGAATGGAACTGTGACCTCCTGGTTCATAGGTTGCACTCATCCATTGAGGCAGTTTTTATCTGACTTTTGAAAAAGGATCAATGTGGGATTTAGACAATAAGGTAGTCACCACAATGTGATTGAACACCTGCATCACGGCAGGCACTGGGTTAGAGCCTGGGCCCACATGACAAATAGGACATCACCCTCCCCTCAGTGGGGTTACAGTCTATCTATAGTTGTTACCCAGAACTTTATTCTTAACACCTGGGTCGCAGGAGATGTGATACATAAAAGGGTAACAAAACCTCCAAGGTTATTTTTGACTTTAGAGTGCATTTTAAGCATGGCCCTCTCACATGGATCTCTTTGGGTACTATTAACTACAAAGTCTTCTTATACTGACCTTAAAAAAAGAAATGTGATAGGCCCTAGCTGGTTTTGCTCAGTGGATAGAGCATTGGCCTATGGACTGCAGGGTCCCGGGTTCAGTCAAGGGCACATTCCCAGGTTGTGGGCTTGATCCCAGGTAGAGGGCATGCATGCAGGAGGCAGCCAATCAACGACTACCTCTCATCATTGATGTTTCTATCTCTCTCTCCCTCTCCCTTTCTCTCTGAAATCAATAAAATTATATGCATAAAAATAATGTGACAGGTTATTTTGGGGTTCTCCAGAAAGAGATCACTTTTCATAACACTGTCCCCAGAAAAAAAAAAAAATCTGACCTTGAGTGGAGCCCATTTGAATGAAGTGATTTTTTTCCCCCTGGAAGTAATCCAATGTCAACTCAAATTACAGGACTTGCTATTAAATTAACAATAGGCAGTCCACATTCACGCAATCAAGTGAGAATAATTAGTCTGAAACAAAGACATTAAAATGCCCTCCTTTTTTCGGAAACAAAATACCACATGAGAATTCTAAGACTTTGTTTAGCCACTAAGGCCTTAGAGAATAGTTAATGCCAGCCCTTATTTTACTGACTATGAAAAGGTGGAGTCGCTTGTCCAAGGCCACACAAATTTTACAATTTATGACCAACCCTAATGGCGGAAGGGGGAATAAAATCAATTCGTAGTCCATGCAATGTACTGACAACAGCTTTTTAACATTATTGCCTGTAATTCTTACAAGATCCCAGGTTGTTGTTATACCCATTTCAGAGGTAAAAAAAATGAAGATTGAGGAAAGCCACTCCACCTCGGGGATTTTGTGCTCTTCAGATAGTCATCTTTTTAACAATAGTTCAGTTGAAATTGAATGGGGGGTGGGGTGGTGGTTAGGGTTTGTTTAAACCATAGAAAATGGTATCCTTCTAGGTCTAATAGGACGTGAAAATGAAGATTTCAATAGAGGTCAGTACCAAGTAAGATGTGAAACCGGTCATCATGTATATAATTTTTATTGCTCAACAATATTTCGTGTAGTCACACCAAAATCCGTTTCATCAATTCCCAATGATGAAATTTTAGGTTGTTTCATTTTGGGGCCATTATAAGTAGAGCTACTGTGAGCATTCCTGTACAAGCTTTAAGACGATGGCACCAATAAAATGGTGGCTTCAAAATAACAAAGTCAAAGAAAAACTTTAAGAAATTATTTTCTGTGCACAGCGACATACTAATGCATTTTCTATGTACCATACACAACATGAAAATTTGCAAAGAGTGAAAAGAAGCTAGATTTCAAACTATACTTACTTCTTTCTTAAGTTCATTGAGGCCATGACTGATTTTCAATATACTGAGTTCCAGCTCTTCAGCGATGCTTTTTGTTCTCTTGCTTTGCTAACAAATTTAAAAAGTATATACATAGGGTTACCTCATCTTTTTCATCTGATGACTCCAATTTTACTTGAACTATAAATTATAATAAATTTTTAATATCATTCTGTGCATTATAAGAAAAGTTGATTTTAAAAATTCACCTGCTTATGGTTAGAATAGCAAATAGAATTTTAAGTATTTAGTTATATTTTCCCACTCTAACTATACATGGGTTAATTTCTAAACTCTAACTTTCTTGAATAAATTCATCATGTCTAAGACTCAGCTATTTTATCTGTGACTAGGATGCCCATCATCATTCTTGACCTAGTTAAAAATTAAAACATGAATCCTTTTCAAGTCCTTACACCTTCTCAGATCACACTACCTAATGAGACCCCCTTCTTACCCATGCTAACTCTCAGTCTAAGACATCATTCCAGTATGCCATTCTTTTTTATTCGTTTGTTTAATGTCTGTCTTCCCCACAAGGCATTGGTAAGCTCCATGAAGACTGCAATCATATTTAATTTGCTCACCACTGAATCCACAATCCCTGGCACAGCAAATGGAAGGAAGGAAGTGTTCAGGAGGTCTTTGAATGAATAAATCCAAGTTAAATGTCAATATCCTCAACAAGCCATCTTCATTTTTCTCCCTGAATAAAAATCCATCCTCCCACCATGCCCCCACCAAAACCAGTTTGGTTCAGTGGATAGGCCTGCAGACTGGGGGGTCCCGGATTCAATTCCAGTCAAGGGCATGTACCTTGGTTGTGGGCACATCCCCAGTGGGGGTGTGCAGGAGGCAGCTTATCGATGGTTCTCTCTCATCGATGTTTCTAACTCTCTGTCCCTCTCTCTTCCTCTCTGTAAAAAAATCAATGAAATATATATTTTTAAAAATCCATCCCCCTTCAATCCTCTCAACTCACACATGGTCTGTCTGCCTCTTTGGATGCTTACATCTCTCTGTACTTGCCTCACCCCACCCCACATTCCTATCCATTGCAAAACTCTTGCAGGCAAATATTTTATCTTCTTCATCTTTAGATGGCATATAAAAAGCACATGGTAACAACTGAAGTAGATGAATGCGTGAACAATACATCTGGAATGCAGAACTGGAGATGCCAGTGCTTGTAAAATATCTGAACGGTGCTACTTGCAAATCTAAGTACTAATAGAATAAGATTCCCAACGCAGACAGCATTTCCTCACAGAAACGTTTTTCCCTGAATGTTGGGCTTACACATTTAACACAAAGCAATCTATACTTCAGATTAGATAGCCCACAGATCATTCAAACTAGACAGAAAATACTGCTTTCATTCCTGACACCACTCTACCCTAGGTCAAGTTTTCCTACTAATGTGAGCATTTGCCATGCTGTGATGCCAAGAAAAATAGGAGAGAAATCTTCATTCATAAATGAATGTATTAAAGGAAGTAAGCTCTGCTCTGTTCAGGACAATCCCAGCCACGTTCACCCTTCCTCTTCATCTTTACTGCCAAAGCTTTCCTTTAAGATGCCCAGATTTGTTCTCTCCGTGCTGTATGTTCCAGATTTGTTCTCTCCAAGCTATATGTTGAAAACCACATTGAATACTGTTTTGATGCAGCCAAGGTCTAAGAATAAAGGTCCAGTGTCATCTCAGGCTTCTGTCTCTCAATGTTGTAACCCACCCTCTGAAAGGCACCTGCTCCCTGTGCTGTTCCACCTCTGCCAGCCTTTACCTCTCCTGCCCTGAGAGCTGCCCATGTTTTAAGTAGACCACTAGCCTATGAAGGCTCTTTCAGAGTCTGCCCACAGACTGGGAATCTGTGTGAGGGTGAGCAATCTACCACCGGCCAGCTGAATCTACCCTGTCTTCACTGCATCTGGACCTCAATAAGCTTCCTACAACATTGTGTCTGCAAACCAGCTGTCCTCGGAGGGAAGTGCTGTGCCTCAGGTAAGACTCATCTGAGTGCCTCAGGTAAGACTCAAGTCCCAAGACCCTCAAGGTGGGGACTCCTCTGCTCTTCACTCTGAAGAAGCATTTTGGGGAGGAATATTCCAGAGGTGAGCTTGGTGGAAGAGCAGAGACAACAGGTGAACTATGACAGTGACTGTGGCACAGAGTCCAGACTGGCCAGGATGGGAAACAGGCTGGCGGTGTCAGGTGCTCTGAGTGCTGCGCTGATGGTAAGGGAGCTTTGACCAAGCAGGAGGGAGACGACGGATGAGAAGCCCTTGCCTCCCTCTGGGCCACATCCACATCCCTGGTGATGTGCTTAGCGCCCCCATCTCTCACAACTTTAGGGGAGAGCTACTAGACAAGAGTTACTTCCATGGAAGCGGGTCTTACAGCGTGCATCCACACGGAGGCGAGCTGCTGGAGCTCGGCCCGTGCGTGGGCCGCCAGGTCCAGGATGCGCTCCCGGTGCTCGTGGCTGGTGTAGGCGGAATCGGTGAAGTCCTCCGTGCGCTCCAGGACGGCTTCCAACGTCGCAGAGAGATTCTCCTTCGACTGAAAATAAAGGTTCTCCCGGAGAGCTTCTATATTCATCTGAGAACAAAAACAACGTACACCCACGAGTCAGTGTTCCCACCTAACCAAAAGGGGCTGTGGCTTCTAGCAGTGCCCAGGGAGGCACAGCAATGTCTTGCCTGATCTGGGGGCTCAGTGGGGAGCAACCTCCAGTGATGACTGCATTCTCCACTAACACGGAGGACACAGAGCTCAGGACACCACCCCACCCCTCAAAGGCCATGCAGAGCCTCGCTCCCATAGCTGTTGACACACATTTCTGTGAGGTCAGTGAAGACGAAGGCAGGAAGAGCATTAGCATGTAGCAAAGACAGGAAGAGCATTAGCATGTAGCAAAGGCAGGAAGAGCATTAGCATGTAGCAAAGGCAGGAAGAGCATTAGCATGTAGCAACCGGTAGAAAACGTGAACCCTCCTCCACATCAAGGATCTGCTTCTGAGAAAACGCTGAGGCAAAGTCCTAGAAAATGCTACACCCAAAAAAGAAAAATGTCCTGAGCCCAGGGGAAGGGTGTGGAGGGTGGAGGGTATGGGAAGGACTGGGAAAGGATTCAATTTTTCCTTAATTAACTCAGCAAAACACAACCATTTTGTCTTATGTCCCCCAACAGCACCTCCCTGCCCAGTACCCTCGGCCAGGGGGCCCTGGGTCATCTTTCTGAAAGGGTGAAGCTTCTGATATTGACCCCCTCTCTACCTGGCTCCTCACCACCTATGAAATCCAGTCCAACCCTCTATGGTAAAGCACAAAATCCCCAGGGCCCTGCCTCTATATACCTCTCTAACAGTCTCTCTCACCCCACGCTCACTTCACCACCTGGTGCTTCGAGTCCCTTCGCTGTGTGACAGTGTCCCTGGACAGCCTTCCTCCCTGTCGGTTTTCTAAGATACGCTATGCCATCTCTAGTTCATGAAACATATCACAGCAATAACTGTGATAATAGGCCCTGGCCAGGCAGCTCAGTTAGAGTGCCATCCTGATAAGACGAAGTTGTGAGTTTGACACCTGGTCAGTGCACATATAAGAAGCAACCAAGGAATGTATAAATAAATCAGTGGAACAACAAATCAATGTTTCTCCCCCCACCTTCCTCTCCCTCCCTTCCTCTATCTCCTTCTCTCTCTCAAATCAATTTTTTAAATATTACATAAAAAATACGGGTATAATAATATTCACCTAAAAAGGGTGTTAGAGATTAAATAATATTTATTAAGAGCACAGCCCCTAAAAATAAAGGACCTTTCACCCCATATTCCTATTTAGACTTTCACATAATTAAAACTCAAAGCGGAGGATCCAGGATGGCAGTGGAGAAGGTGGGAGTTACACTCACCTCCTCCACGAACCAAAGCGGAAACACAACTAAACCATAGAACAATCAAGCTGAAAAGTGCAAGTGCAGTAAGATGAAAACCATGCCATCCCCGTCCTGTCACAGCCCTGAGGATCAGAGAGGTGGCCACCCGTAGGCAAATCAGTTCATTTCTGAGGGCCCTACTTTTCCCAGCTGCTGAATAAGGGGTTGTGATAGCTGATTTCCTAGGGCCCCTGACTTAGACGCGGCTCTGAGTCAAAGAGCAGCTTCACCATCTCTCTGACTTCTGAGGAGAAGTTCTGTCCTAAAATGATGGGATTCTGGAGTCAGACTTGCTAGATTCAGATCCCGACTCTGGCGCTTCCTAGCTGGCAAGTACACTTACGTAATCCGTTTCTCAGTTTCCCCAACAGTCTATGTCGGGGTGGGGAACCTTCTTCCTGCCAAGGGCCATGTGGGTATTTATAACATCATTTCGTGGGCCATACAAAATTATCACCTTAACAATCAGCCAGCTATGTTTGGTCACATATTTAATGAACTCGCTCCTAATGTCTTGGCCAGACCAAACAATTTCGTGGGCCTAATATGGCCCACGGGCCAGACGTTCCCCACCCCTGGCCTATACGGATAAGAACAATAGTTCTTGTGAGAATCAGACATACACATACATTTAAAGAACTCAGAACAGGGCTGGCACACGGTAAATGCTCCACAAATGTAAGCATGTATTAAGGTTCATTTAAAATTTTAATTATCATAAATACTATTACTACCATGTTTCCCTGAAAATAAGACATAGCACATGGAAAGATAAGACATCCCCTGAAAATAAAACCTCATGCAACTTTGGGAGAAAAAATTAATATAAGACACTGTCTTATTTTCGGGGAAACAGGTTACTATTACCATCTCAATTATAAGTCCTATATCCCAGGAAAGAGAGAAATCCCAGCAGAAATGATTTGCTGTCTGCCACCATTTGTGGATGGTGTAGCTCTGCTCCAAAGTCTTGGTTAGGGACAGACTTCTAAACAGATGATAGGAGGCTGCTGCAAACCATACAGCTAACCAGGGTCCGAGTAGCTGGGAAAACCCAAGACCAGTGTTCTTTGTACATTCCACACTAAGCCACGTGTTACTGGTTATTATGTTTGTACCTCCTGGCATTTTCAAGAGAGAAATATCGCCGGGACCGGTTTGGCTCAATGGATAGAGCGTCGGCTTGGGGACTGAAAGATCCCGGGTTCGATTCCGGTCAAGGGCATGTACCTTGGTTGCGGGCATATCCCCAGTAGGGGGTGTGCAAGAGGCAGCTGATCGATGACTCTCTCTCATCGATGTTTCTAACTCTCTATCTCTCTCCCTTCCTCTCTGTACAAAATCAATAAAATATATTAAAAAAAAAAAAAAAAAAAAGAAGAGAGAAATATCTGCCTTTGTGAAGCATATATTCTAGAATATTACACAAAAATAAATATATTCCATAGAAAGAATGAAATAAATATATTCCATGGAAAGAAAAAAAATATTCTAAATATATTCTATATTCTAAATATAGAATAAAGCATATATTCTAAAATATTACACAAAAATAAATATATTCCATAGAAAGAATGGAATAAATATATTCCATGGAAAGAAAAAAAAATCAAAATATATTCTCTTAATTCTTACCTTGAATTCTTTAATTCCGGTAAAAATACTGATGGCTGCAACGTCAGTCTCTCCGTTGGGCTTGCAGTCAGTCACAATTTCAATGACCTTATCCAGGGCCACTTTCATTCGGTCGAATACCCCTTCTTTGTTTTTATGGGCCGATTCACAGTTGGGATGCCTGAGACATGTCTTCAAAACAAGTGAAGCTTTTTATTTTAAGATCTGATCCAAATCCTAACACACAAAATCTTACAGAGAACATGTCATGCTAATAAAAATGGTTCTTTACCAAAATCTCCCGGGTCCCTGGCTCCCCCAGCTGCTTCTCCTCACTAAAAGTGGAAGCAGGATGAGTAAAAAGCGATAGCAAGGTTAAGTGAAAAAGGCAGAGTGCAAGACTATATCTTTATACTTCAATAATCAGTTTACTTAAAATTTTTGGAAAAAAAAAACCCTATCTATATCTTTATCATGATTAAAAAATATTTTTAAATGTAGTCTTATGCATGTAAGAACTGAAAAACAATGAGGAAAATATAAATTATGAACAGGTGAGATGTGACTGTGGATATATGCTTGCCTTTTCAAAAAAATGACATAAATGCACGACTACTCAAGGGCCAGACACTAACAGAGGCTGCCACCTAGGCTCCAGATAAACCTGTTTTTTGTAGCTTTACTGATCGCAGCAGAATAAATATTTCTGAGCAGAAAAGGCAATTCTAAACACATTGCTAATGAGATGTTGACTAGTTCATTCTTGAATTGTACCAATTTGCTAGCCAGCTGCAGTTAGGAGTTACAAGCTCTTGATTGACAATTGTGTGTAAAGCAGGTTAAGGAATTAGAGATATGAACTTCCAGAATAAACAAACTAAGGGCTGACTTGACACTCCAATTACTTAACAGATTCTAACTTGCCTAGCTTGCGCTAGAGATAGGTGTGCTGGCTGCCTAACGAGACTGGCAAAACCCTGCAGGCAGTAGCCACGTGGAACAGGCCTCCATTCTAGCACCTAACCCAGCACCTTCTGCTCAGCTGCTCAAGCAAAGCTGACTCGGAGGTTAACTGCAGTTTGGAACCGGGGGAAAAGAGTTAGCATTCTTGCCAAAGAATAACTGAGATTCAACTAGGAGAGCCTATATTCCAATGTGTCATTGTGATCATCTTTAAAATGTGCAATATGTAAATTAGATGTACTTAATGAGGTTCTCTAATTAATTTGCAGTACAGTGAAACAAAAAGTGTCCTTACTTTTGAAGCTGTGAGAAGCATCATCGTACATTTTTCAAGAACTGCCCTCGCTGCTGCCATTTTGGCCTTTTTCTTTTCATCTTTCAGATCCTAAAAAGAGAGAGAAATCACTGAGCATGCCAGGGACAATCCAGTTTCTTGAAAAATTATTTACTCAATAGTGACAATATTCAACGGTGAAGTGGCATGGTTAAAAAAGTGACGTGAAAAAAACTAGAATGAAGTTTCATAGTGTCCCCTCTTCCATCCACAGAACAGAAGGGAATAAAACAGCTGCCCTTCGCCAGGACGCAGAGCCAGGGCTGAGCCTCAGGGAGGTGCTGCCATGTGATTACTCTCTGGTGGCCTCGTGGACACAGCTCACTCCTAACCAGAAACGATCACCCCGAGCTTTACTTAAAGAAAAGTGGCTTATTTACTGAGCATTCGTTTCCTTCAAAATAGATACTTAGAAGGCAACTCTTTCCAGGGACCATGTCTGATGAATCCCATCGAAGTACTAATTCATATGAGGTTGGTTTGTCCTACACTTAACCAACTTGCTGCTCTGAAATGTTTGTTCTTAGGCTGTTTCGCAGATATATAATCTTCTCCAACTAGATTATGAACTCTGAGGCAAAAGCTGTATTTTGAAATTTTTTTCTTTTGATTTCTCTGCATAGAGCCCTTGATGGAATGTGTGCTTATCACAGAAGTTTCGAATATTACTTATCCAACCTAGAACCCACTACTCCTCATAATGATTCGGTTATGACCATCTAATTCAGAGGTCAGCAGATATTTTCAATAAAAGGCCAGATAATAAGCTTTTAGGTTTCTTGAACCATATGGTGGTCTCTATCACAACTACTTAGTCCTATCACTGTAGTGGGAATACTGTCCCAGATAATACCTAAACAAATTAGGTATGGCTCAGTGGTTAGAGTGTCAAGCTGCGCCAATAAATTGTTACTTGTGGACACTGACATTTAAATTACATAATATTTCCACCTGCCACATTAGTCGGTCTTTCTTCATTTCAAGTTGAGTGACAAGCCCTTTCTTACAAAAAACAAAAGACTCAAAGTTTGAGAATCATTTGCCTTTTATTTGTTTTAGTAAATTATTATAGTGGATTCAGAGTTATGCCTATAATATCACTCATTCACTTGCATCCCAATAGAGCTTTCTTTGGACCAAACGTTAATTTATGCCACAAGACCACATCCCAAAGGACAGTGTCCTACCTGTGAACATCATCCATCATGTATATCAAAAGTAAAAGCTGAGGTTACTTCTAAAATTTCCCCTTGGTCTTTAACATATTGAACAGGACTTCCTGCAAAACAACCTGTGGGCCTAGCTGACAATGCATCAAGCACGTGTGCCACACACACAAGACACTTGTAAAGCCACACACTGTATCATATTGTGGATGGTGATGGCAAGTGAGGGGCAAAGATGGCATCTCAATCTAAGAGGGCTGGTCCACAGGACGAAACAAAGGCCGCCATAAATCCCAGATGGTCCAAGAAGCATCGAGGGAAGCACCACCACCTGGTCTGGCACTTCCCAGGCCAATACCCACCTCCCAACTCCAGCTACAGCCAGAAAGTTTACGCCCCAGACCACCGCCTGTGGGGCTACACCAAAGCACCCCAAGAAAAGGTTGATTACTATATATTCAACCTGTTTACAAATAACCTCACAAGGAAAAGTCAGTCCTAAATAAAATAGGGTCTTCCATCTTCCTAAACTTCAGAGCGTCCAGTCTGAAATGGGGAACAGACCTATAAAGAACTTCTATTATGGTTTCGTTTGAAAACTATAGGTTTTAGACTCAGGCATAACTGAGCCCAATTTATGAGAAGAGTGACCATGGGAAAGTTTATTATCTTCTCAGATTTAGTTTCCTCACATTCACGATAACAATACCTACTTCACAGGGATGTTTTGAGAATTAAATGAAATCATGGATATTAAGTACCTAACACATAGCCAATGCAAATAAATAATGAGCCCTGATTGAAAAGTGAAATGGAAAGTTTCACAAAAGAGGAAGTACTTGAATTGGGCCTTGAAGGCAAGTCTGACCTTCCCCAGTGTGTGAGATGGAACAAATAACTGTTATTTGTGCACCAGAAAAGTGTGCATGTACTTGAAAACTTTAACATGTGGTAAATACATACATTTTGTCTATCTCCAGTCAGGTGTGCAAACTCCACCATTTCATTTCCAAACTGACTGAATATCTGGACGAACTCTTGAAAGCTATTCACTTTCTCCAGTCTCTCCATAGTTGCAAGAACCTGCAAACCACAGAATATTTTATTCTCAGGTGTAGACATGCCAGAGACTAAGAGGTCAGGACTGAGGAGAGAGAGGGAAAGAGAAATTGAAATTGGAGGCAACAGGGGGCTCAGAGAAGCAGAGGCAGATCCAAAGGTGAGACTTAACGAGGGGACAAGTTGTTTTTAGGATGGGGAGACTTGAACTCACTTGAAAATCAAAAGGAAAAAGCATAAAAGAAAGGACTAATATGCAAGAGAATATCCAAAAGAATATCCAAGAGAAGAAATGGTGTATGTAGCGAATGCTGGAGAAGGTGAGGACCGGTAGGACTATCTTCCGAGGACCCGGAGGGGGTGAGGCTAAGAGACCATTCAAATTTTAAGGTCAGTCAACCAGGCGTGGGAACACCCTTTTTCTGAGAACAGGGGAAGGAAGGAATCTGCAGAGTGGGGAGTAGAGAAGGAGGCTTGGGGACTTCAGGAGCAGGAAACAGGGTGGATCAGACAGGAACTGCCTGTGTTAAAAGAATTCATCGCCAAGAAGCTTTGGGCAGCCAGGAGTGAATAGAGAGCATGAACCTGTAGTAGAGGCAACAGAAAATGTCATGCATATTCTTAAAAATAAATAAATAAATAAAAATAATAAAAAAAAAAATATATATATATATTATTGTTTTTCACAGAGAGGAAGGGAGAGGGATAGAGAGTTAGAAACATCGATGAGAGAGAGTCATCAATCAGCTGCCTTCTGTACCCCCCCCCCCCCCCCCGCAACCAAGGTACATGCCCTTGACTGGAATCGAACCCGGGACCCTTCAGTCCATAGACTGACGCTCTATCCACTGAGTCAAACCGGTTTTGGCTCATGCATATTCTTTTTTTTTTTTTTTTTTTTTTTTTAAGTTTTTGGTTTTTTTTTCTTCTTCTTCTTCTTCTTTTTTTAATATATTTTATTGATATTTTATAGAGAGGAGGAAGGGAGAGAGATAGAGAGCTAGACACGTCGATGAGAGAGAAACATCGACCAGCTGCCTCTTGCACACCCCCTACCAGGGATGTGCCCGCAATCAATGTACATGCCCTTGACCGGAATCGAACCCGGGACCCTTCAGTCTGCAGGCCGACGCTCTATCCACTGAGCCAAACCGGTCTCGACTCATGCATATTCTTGACATTAGAAATAAAGTAAATAGCCTGGCTGTTTTGGCTCAGGGGTTAGAGTGTCAGGCTGCAGACTAAAGGGTCGTGGGCTGGATTCCAGGTCAGGGACACATGCCTCAGTTGCAGGCTTGATCCCCGGCCCCAGTCCCTGATGGGGTGAATTCTGGAGGCAATTGGTTGATGTACTAGTACCTGTGTGTGTGTGTGTGTGTGTGTTTCCCCTTTTTCCCTCCCTAGTACTCTTTGAACATCAATGAAAACAATATCCTTGGGTGAGGATTAAAAAAATAATTTAAAAAATTTAAAAATAATAAAAATAAAAAGGAAAGTAAATAGATGTGAAACAGTATTTCAAATATTTTTTCTCTAAAATAACACTGCTGGATTAGCTTTAGTCTGACTGAGCTAAGTAAAGAAAACACAGATATCCTGTGTTTCCTTCTCTCTAATGAGGATATGATGGATGCTTGGCGAGTTAATCTGCCCGGGCCGCTCAGGAAGTCCCGGCGACTCCACAGATAAGACAGGTTGCCGCCACTGAGCAGAGCGTTTGTCTTTCAGAGACCAGAAGGTGGTTTTCATTCCTCTAGCACTGCCCGATCCATTCACCTCTCCAATTTCTTCCTCTCTTTAAACTTACACTTCTAAATCACTCCACACTGGTCAGGTGGCTTTGTCCCTTAAACACGATTGGACCCACCTCGTCCCTGGCTGAGTGCCTCCTTGCCTAGTGCATTATCCAGGGAAACAAGTAATAGTTACCCCCCCCCTCATTCCCCCCCTCACCCTCCAGCTTCCTGGATGACGGAGGAGCACTGTTATCTGAGACACTGGAAGAGTTTAAATCTATTCTCAAAGGTTTGTAACTTTTCAGGAATACTCAGGGACTTTGCATAGGAAAATTCTACATTGTGGGTAATTGTGGTTTCTGATGATTGTTTTCTTGAGCTTCTAAATTGTTACTCTCTGAATTGTAAAAAAAAAAAAAAAATGGGCACTGAGAAATTCAGTATTTTTACCAACTAGGTTTCTACTATATACATTGCAATGGTGTTCAGTGGACAAGCATTGCTAAATTACCTGCAGTTAAACCTAAAAATAACAACAAACTTTGTGAACAACCCTGGAAGACCCAGTACGGAAACAACAGGCAGGAAAGTACCTTATTTCTCGAAGTTATTATCTGCTTAATGACCACCCGGTCTGCCAGCAGCAACACTTTTGTCACTGAAGAAAGGAGTAATCTCGCAGCCTTTATAACTCCCGTTTTGTCCGTAAAAATGGTGATCTGGCCACCAGATTCGAGGTGATGCGGGGTGCTTACATCTGTAAGGGCTGCAATCGTTTCTCCTAACAAGAAAGGCAAGGAAGAAATGTCACATTGGGAATTAAACACACTTAAGTTAAAGTCCAGATTTTTCTCATATGTTGAAGGCATCACAATGCCCATCTCCATAACCTGAAGGCACTGGAGTTTTTGTGGACGCCCAGGGAGAGAAGACAAGGCTTTGGGCCCCAGTGAGAGGCACCTCAGTGAAAAGGGGGCCTGGAAGAATCATCCATAAGCAAAAGGAAACCATAAGCGAGATGGTATGTTGGCCAGCCTGAGCTCTGGGTGGAAAGCAAAATAAAGAAGAGCATCCTGGGAATTCAGTCCAGGCCGCCCCTCACTCAGGCTTGCTGTTTGAACTGATACTTCCTATGACACCCGGCAGGAGTCATTCTGCCGAGTGAACTCCCAACCCTCTAGAAAAAGTTCTTCACTGCTGCTATCAAAACTTTTTATATATGTATATATATATTTTTTTTTTTGAAAACCTTTTGACCTTGAATAACAATGGTCAATCTATAAAACAATACAAATATTTGCTCAAAAATGAAACAAGTGTGTAATTGTTTCTAAACCTTATTTTAACAAGATTAGAAAAAAATTAACTTTTGCCCTGGCCAGGTGGCTCAGATGGTTGGAGTGTCATCCCATACATCAAAAGGTGTGGGTTCGATCCCTGGCTGAGACACATATGGGAGGCAACCAATCAATGTTTTTCTTTCTCCTTTCCTCTCTATCTAAAAATCAATAAAAACATATCCTTGGGTGAGTATTAAAAAAACAAACTTAATTATCTTGTAATGTTCTAGATGATCTTTTAAATCCTAAATAAACCTGAGTGCATAATAGATTGATTTTCTCACAAATTTACTCTTTGTCAATAACATTGCATACATCCACATGGACCAGCCCATGTACTCAGGATCCTGAGTAGAAGTATGGGCACATTCCTAGGTTTTTTGTTTGTTCCCTGGTCAAGGCCTGTACAGGAGGCAATTGATTGTTTCTCTCTCACACTGATTTTCTCTATCTCTCTCTCTCTCTCTCTCTCTCTCTCTCTCTCTCTCTCTCTCCCACCCCCACTTCATCTCTAAAATCAATATTCAAATCCTCAGGTGAGGATTTAAAAAAAAAAAAGATTTGGGAGATACTGATAAAATAAAATATAAAATTAGTACCTGAACAGTTGATAAGGAAAGTGAAAAATAAAACTAGCTTCAAGCCGATACCGGTTTGGCTCAGTGGATGGGGCATCGGCTTGGGGACTGAAGGGTCCCGGGTTCGGTTCCAGTCAAGGGCATGTGCCTTGGTTGCGGGCATATCCCCAGTGGGGGGTGTGCAGGAGGCAGCTAATCCATAACTCTCTCTCATCGATGTTTCTAGCTCTCTATCTCTCTCCCTTCCTTTCTGTACAAAATCAATAAAATATATATTTTTTTAAATAGTTTTAAGGTGCAAACCTAAGTTACTTAAAATCAGAAGGGCATGGAAAGGGAGAGGGTAAATTTAGTGTCGACAACAGGAATTTGAAATGTCACAGGAAAGCCCAAATGATAAGCCACTTCATGTGGATGTTAAAGCTCTGCTAATAGGTGAAGTCTGTGATCGCCAAGCCCCCAGGGATCCCCACCTCCTGGGATCTACATTCTTGAGTTTGTCCCTCCCTCGTCATACGAGGTTTATATGGCAGTTTGATGGTATGTCATTTCCTACATTGAATTATTAGGCATCGAGGTAGCCATTTTGGTGTTCTCTCTCCCTCTCTCTCTTCCTCCCTCCCTCTCTTTCTCTCTCTCTCAGAAGGAAGGCAGCTACCATGCTGTAAGCAATTGTTACTACAGAGAGGCATTCACGAGGCATGAAACTGAGGCCTCTGGTCAATGGTCAAGAAAGATGTGATGCCTGCCAATGGCCTTGAGAAGGAGCTGGGAAGCAGGCCCTGCAGGCAATCCACTCTCAGATCACTGCAGGCTCAGCCACACCGTAAGTGCAGCCACATGAGCCAGTCCCAGAGCCGACCAATGAGCCACTCCCGGTGCCTGGCCCTCGGAGAAGATGTGAGGTAATAAACGTTTGCAGTTGAAGTTGCTAAGTTTGGGTTAATTAGTTACACAGCCATAGGGAGCCATTACCAAGTTTTATGTAGCCAAATATGCAGAGAAAAGCATTAAGCATTAAACCTAATACACACCGAGAGGGGCGGGAGAAGAAGTGTAAGTTGGCGTCTAACAGCAAGAGCTGAAAGGACGAAAACGTTTCCTCTGGAAAATGTTACTTTCCCTGTGGCTCCCCATCACCGAAAGCGTTACACATGAGCCTGCACATATGGCATCATTTAACCTTTCTGACTAAGCCCCTGGCATTGAACTTCAAGTACGTGCGTTGGTCGCATTTGGCCTGCTCCACCAACAAGGTTCGGTGCTCCCTGAACATGATGAAGTCGTGCCAAGTGTAGACGGCTCAGAAATCAGTTCCCTGAAGGAGCCACAGAGCTTTCTTATAGCTCCACGGCTGTCATCTCCAACGTATGTGTAACTAGCTAGTATTGTATCTGTTCTCCACCCTGTGAACGGCTACAAACCCAAGTCACCCGGCACCTCCCTTTCCTTTAATCCACAACTGACTTCTAGCTACTCACCGCGCTGGGGGTGCTTTGTGCATTCCTCCTGCTCTTTCCATAGCTCGGACCCTGCCTTACTGCAGCCTAGCTTACTGTAAACCCTTCCCCGCCTTCAGTCTCCACTCTCTCAGTCAGCCCTCATGTGTTCATTCCCTCCATACTACCAGAAGCTTTCTAACACCAAACAACAAGTCTTTTGTCTGGCTCAAAATTCCTCCGATCACCATCTGCGGAATAATGCCCACAGTCAGTCATGTAACATACAGAACCATGGCTGATCTGGTTGGCCTCTCCACGTTTATTTGGCCTTACCTCCTCCCCTCACTCCCCCCCCCCCCTCCCACAATGGTAACTCTCCAAATCACCTGCTCCCCTCTCAGGGGTGCCCGTGGAAGTAAACAGCGCCATCGTTTACCCAGCTGTTCATCCTCCACACCTAGACCTTTCTTTCCACCACATCCCACCACTAAACTGTCAGAAAACCCTGCCAGTGTCGCCTTGACGATATAACAAAATGCCACCTCTTTTCACCACCTGGTCTAAGTCACCATCATCTATCACCTGAGCCGCTGCAACAGCCTCTCAACCGGTCTCTCTGATTTCACCTCTTAGCGCCCAAAAACCCTTCTCCAAACAGGAGCCAGCAGTCATCCTTTTAAAATATAAATGACATCAGATCACCACCCTACAAAAATCTTCCACTAGCTCCCCTGTTACGCTTACAACACAACCCGAGGTTCTTACCTTCGCCTAGAAGGCCAGACCTGGTTTTCTTCTTTTTCCCAGGAATCCACATAGCTGGGCAGTCTCTGCTCCAATGTTACTTCCTTAGAGGGATTTCTTGATGCACACACCCCCGCCCCATCTCATAATTCTCAACTGGGGACATGTGAGGAGGTCTGGAGACATTATAGGTTGTCACAATGGGGACGGAGAGGACCTACTGGCAGCTAATAGGGAGAAGCTAGGGATTCTGCTTAACAGTCGACAATGGAGAGTTACTACCCCCAACGAAGGATTATCAACAAACCATTATCCAGCCCAAAATGTCAACGGCATCTACTCTCTCTGAAATATACTTCCATTGGTTTCCTAACCCTTTCTGTGTTTTGTCACTTTCTTCGTGATAACTATCACTAATCGACCTCATATATTGATTCATTTGTTTATGGTCTGGACAGAGGTGTATCTCCCTTACTATACCAGAATCCGAGTTCCATGAAGGCAGACTTTTGACTAATCTGTGCATGGCTAGATACCTGTGGCCTAGAAAAATGCCTGGCATACAGCCAGCATGCAGTAGACACTAAAAGAGCTCTGGCTGGTGTGGCTCTTGGTTGGGTCTTGTACCCATGCACCAAAAGGTTGCTAATTCAATTCCAGGTCAGGGCACAAGCCTGGGCTGTGGGCTTGATCCCCAGTCGGGAGCATGCAGGAGGCAGCTGGGCAATGTTTCACTCTCATATCAATGTTTCTCTCTCTCTCCCTCTACCTCTCTCTCTAAAAAATAAAAAAACATTAATAATAAAACGTATTGCCGAAACCAGTTTGGTTCAATCGGTCTGCGGACTAAAAGGTCCTGGGTTCTATTCCGGTCAAGGGTACGTACCTTGGTTGCGGGTACACCCCCAGTTGGGGGTGTGCGAGAGGCAGTTGGTCAATGTTTCTCTCTCATTGATGTTTCTAACTCTCTATCCCTCTCAATTCATCTCTGTGTAAAATCAATAAAATACATTTAAAAAATAATAAAACAAATTTATTAAAAGAATAAATGGATAAATGATACTTTCAGACCCAGAGCTTGAGCCAAGAGAAGTTCTGTAGACCTAGAAGCTAATCCTGTCCTTCTATGTTCCAGCGTCTGTAATAATCATTGGGCTAAACACAGTGCACATCTTTACTCAAAATGAGACAATAGTTGATAATCATGTCCAAAGCAGCACAACTGGTATCAACACACTTCGATATGAACATCCACATACCTGCTTGTTTAGCTTCAATACAGGCAATAGTTATTTCTTCTTTCAAATCCCAGTTTTCATTGGCTATAGCTTCCCCTACTTTAACAAATCTTCCAACTGCCAAGTTGACGGCTTGTCCTACACGCTGAATTGCTTGCAGGGTTTTATCAGACTTTTTGGTATTATCTTTGTGATTAATAAGCGTGGTAATCTAAAAATAAAAGACAAAAGGAACTTGTTTAAATTTTATTGCAATCACTTGTTTTTAAAGCAGTATCACAAAGGCCAAGTACATTAATCCTGGCATCCTGGATCACCTAACAGATCCAATTCAAAGTTTAATGCTTCAATCCAGAGGGAAACAGGAAGCATCCTGCATCGCTCCTCAGGACAATGCTCCCATTGATAGCAATTTCAAATTTATGAGAGGACAGATAGCTTGAGCATGCAGTTCCAGAAGCCCTCCAGGTATTTCAACAAATCTTTGAGACAGGAGAAAAATAAGAGAGGCTAGATCATTAAGGTCAAAGAATCCACAGAAAATCAAAGTATTTCAATTTTAGTTTCTTTTGCTATGACTTGAGTTACTATGAATAGAAAGCATTTTTATTATTATTTACTGATTTTCAAGAGAGAGGAATGAGAGAGGTAGAGAGAGGTGGAGAGAGGTAGAGAAAGGTGGAGAGAGGTGGAGAGAGAGAGAGAGAGAGAGAGAGAGAGAGAGAGAGAGAGAGATCCATTTGTTGCTTCACTCATTCATGCATTCATTGGCTGATTCCTATAAGTGCCTTGACCAGGGATTGAACCTACAACCTTGATTGTATCAGGATGACACTCTAATCAACTGAGCTGACCGGCCAGGGCTAGAGACAGTATCTTCACCTTGCATTCCACTCTACTGCCTAGCACAAGTTCATAGCTTGTACAAAATGATGTCATACATGTTTACTGAATTCAGTAGATACTGAGAATGACCATTATAACCTATGTTCCCTGAGTTTTGTTGTAGCTCAAAGTAAATGAAATATCAAGAGTCTGAACACTTGGTTACAGGCCCTGAAATAAAATACAAAAGGTGATAAGTTAAGCTGGTTGAAACAAAGATAAATCTTCAAAATGTCTTATAAAATTAGCATGTGAACTTTGCTGACTTATAAAAATATTTACAGAATGTTACATAAAATATAGATCCTAAGTAGTAGATGGCCATGGAACATAACTTTGAACTGATTTCTATAAATATATCAACAAAGACCAAATGGAGAATTAAGAGAACAGGAAGGGAATCACTGTCTGTGCAATAATTATGTGCCAAGCACATTCTAAGTTATGGTATTAATAGTTTAGAATCAGGAAGGCCTGCGTGTGAGCCTTGACTCTATCTGGACTAGCTACATGACCTAGGGAAATAAATTTACTCTCTTTAAATGTCCTCATCTATAATACTGGTTTTCAAATTTTAAATACTTCCCAGATGCCAGACCCTAAGGATGCATCAGTAAACAAGACAATTACAATCCTGCCTCTGTCTGGTTAACTGTCCAATAGAATAACAATTATATATATAGTATGCAAATCAACCAAATGGCAGAACCACCACAATGACCACCCACTTGACCAGTCACTAGGAGGTGCACTGACCACCTGGTCAGCAGGCTCCGATCACCCGATGGCAAATGGGGAACCAGGGGTGGGGCCTGTTGCCAGCAGCCAGGGAAGATGGCCCTGATCATAGGCCAGGCCTAGGGACTGTACCCATACAGGAATTTCATGCACCAGACCTCTAGTTCAATTATATAAACTATATTTGTTGCACACCTATCATATGCCAAATAAAATTCCAAGCAATGATGAAACAGCAATGAACAAGAAAGGCCCATGCTTTCATAAAATTTACATTGTAATGTTGGGGGACACAATAATCACATAACTAGGTAAACAAAAAATCTTAAATATAAGTGCTATGCAAATATTAAAATAGGAAAGTGAAAGAAAGTATGTGTAGCTGAAAGTAATTTCTCTTCCTTTCTGAGAAAATGATATTTAAGTTGAAATGTAAATGACATCAAGTAGCCAGGCTGGCCAACATCAGGGAAAAAGTATTCTAGCGAAAAGAAATCATTGTTTTAAAAAAGAGGGGGGACCCCTAAGGAAGGAGGTAAGGCCAGAAGTGGTTAAGGTGAGCCAGAGGGCAAGTATAAGACTGACATCCAACTGGTAGGCAGAGATCGGCTATGAAGGCTATGAGTGGGAGTAGAGTTTGTATTTTCTTATAAGTGCAATAGAAGCAGGAAAGTGATAGACTCTCTAGTGGTTTTGATGTGTGTCCACAGTAGAGTCTTTGATATTTCACCTTTTGAGAGCGGGAGCCTCATTCCTCTCTCCCTAAGCATGGGCTGCACTGGGAATAAAGCAGAAGCGACAACACGCTACTTTTGAGGACATGTCATAATGATACTCCAATTCGCATCTCCCTCTGCTCTGAGATTATTCACTTTAGGAGAACCAGTTGCCCTGTCATGAAGATATCAAAGTTTTAGAGTTTTCAGTGTACAGATCTTTCACCTCCTTGGTTAAGTCTACTCTTAAGTATTTTTATTGTCTTTGATGCTATTGATAATAGAATGGTTTTCTTTATTTCTTTTTCAGAGATTTTATTGTTAGCATATAAAAACAACTGATTTCTTTCAACAATAAATATTTTTAAAATAAAAATAAAAGGAAACTAAATAAAAACAACTGATTTCGCCAAATCCGGTTTGGCTCAATGGATAGAATGTCGGCCTGTGGACTGAAAGGTCCAGGGTTCGATTCTGGTCAAGGGCATGTACCTTGGTTGCGGGCACATCCCCAGTAGAGGGTGTGCAAGAGCCAGCTGATCAATGATTCTCTCTCATTGATGTTTCTAACTCTCTATCCCTCTCTCTTCCTCTTTGTAAAAAAATCAATAAAATATGTTAAATTAAAAAATAAATAAATAAAAACAACTGATTTCTTTCAACAATAAATATTTTTAAAATAAAAATAAAAGGAAACTTGCCGAAACTGGTTTGGCTCAGTGGTAGAGCGTCGGTATGCGGACTGAAAAGTCCCAGGTTCGATTCCGGTCAAAGGCATGTACCTGAGTTGCGGGCACAACCCCAGTAGGGGGTGTGCAAGAGGCAGCTGGTCGATGTTTCTGTCTCATCGACGTTTCTAGCTCTCTATATCTCTCCCTTCCTCTCTGTAAAAAATCAATAAAATATATTTTTAAAAATAAAAAAATAAATAAAAAAATAAAAGGAAACTAAATAAAAACAACTGATTTTTGTATATTGATTTTTAAAAATTAAATTTATTGAGGTAGCATTGGTTAATAACCTTATATAAACTTCAGGTATACAACATTATACTTTGATATCTGTATACTATATTGCCTGTTCAATATCAAAAATTTAGTTTCTTTTTATTACCTTAGAAACCAAGAAGAATCTTTAAGCAAGAATGTTAGGCTACCTTTATTTTCTATTTTCAAAATTTTATTCTTATTAATAGTTGATTGTATGTTGTTGTTTTTTATCCTGCAATTTTATTGAATTTGTTTATTAGTTCTAACAGTATTTTGGCGGAGTCTTTAGAATTTTCTCTATATAAGCTCATGTCATCTGCAAATAGAGACAATTTTACTTTTTCTTTTCCTATTAGAATGCCTTTTATTCTTTTTGTTGTTGTTGTTAATCCTCACCTGAGGATATTTTACCATTGACTTTTAGAGATTGGAAGGGAAGGGGAGAGAGAGAGAGAAACATCAATGTGAGAGAGACACATCACAAAGGTAGATTGCCTCCTGCACATGTCCCAACCAGGGTCAGGGATCTAGCTGCAACTAGAATCAAGCCCCGGACTCTTCAACCTGAGGGCTGACCCTCTATCCACTGAACCAAACCAGCTAGGGTCTTTTATTCATTTTTATTGCCTGATTGTTCTAGATAAGACTTTCAATACTATTCTGAATAGATGAAATGAGTGGGCATCTTTGTCTTATTCCTGATCTTAGAGGAAAATCTTTCAACTTTTTACTATTATATTGAGATATGGTCCTACTATATCCAATTTATTGAGCATTTTCATTATGAAAAAATGTTAAATTGTGTCAAATGCTTTCTGTGCATATATTGAGATGATCATATGATTTTTTTCCCCCTTTCGTTCTGTTAATGTGGCATATCACATTTATTGATTTGCATTTGTTGAACCATCCTTGCATTGCAGAGAGGAATCCCACTTGTTCCAACTTTTATTTATTATTTTTTTAAAATATATTTTATTGATTTTTCATCGAGAGAAAGAGAGAGGGATAGAGAGTCAGAAAGATTGATGAGAGAGAATCATCAATCAGCTGCCTCTTGCATACCCCATACTGGGGATGTGCCCACAACCAAGGTACATGCCCTTGACAGGAATCGAACCCGGGACCTTTCAGTCCACAGACCAATACTCTATCCACTGAGCCAAACCAGTCCCGGCAAGTTAAAACTTTTATTTTTTTATTTTTTATTTTTTTTCAAGTTCAAATTTTTAAATACTATCCTATAGTGCTTCAAAAAATTCCCAATGAAGCAGGTATTTCCAAATGAAATTGGACATCATGAAGAGTAAAGAAATTAGACATCAAAAAGACATTCTGAGTCTAGACATTCTGACTCCAGAGCCTAGCTTCTTAATCATTTAGCATACTGTCTTATCTGCCTATGTTTATAAGAGGATTAAGTGAAATGATCCACATATTGTGTTTAACAAAGTACCAAGTTTATAGCAAGCACTCAAGGTATATTAGAATTAGCTCTCTTATTTAATTCTCAGGCATTATTAAAGATAAGAAAACTGCGGCTGAGTGAAGTGAAGATTTGGCTCACACAGCTAAAAAGTGACCTAGTTCAGGATGTGAACCCAAGTTTGTCTGACACCAAAGCCCACCCAGTACTCTCCTTTAGTGGAGGTTTTTAATCTTCCTGATTTTTTTTTTTGAGGGTGGCAGAACACTGTCTTCAAAATAAAATATTACCTGAAGCCATTAGATTATCATGTCATAGAGGAGTTGCTAAGGGTGAATTTTGTGGGTGACTGTAGGCCATGCAGCTGGGAAGCAGGGAGACAAACATGAACCCTTTAGCATCAGCTTGGTTTTTCTCCACATCCGATAGACTAGGGAACTCTCCAGACCACCTGGGG